ATCCGCGTGCCCCCACAAGCACCCACACACTGACCTGTTTCACGTCCCCCTTCCAGACCGTGCTGTTGGCCAAGGAGGTCCTGCCGCACCTCACCGGCCGCGTTCATGCACAGACTTCACCCGCCCTCGCGCACGACACACAGCGCACCGTCGCCCACGCCAGACGCCTCGTCGACCTCTTTGGGGCTCAAGGTATTCCCAGGTGCGTCGCCCGCAGTCCCGGCCATCGCTCGTGCCCATGTGACGACGCCGCTTTGTACCAGGTCCCGCGTGTGCATCAAGATTCCCGCCACGCCAGAGTCGATCCTGGCCTGCCAGCAGCTCGAACAGGAGGGCATCCGCACCTTGGCGACTTGCCTCTTCAACGTCCCGCAGGCGCTGGCCGCGTCCCAGGCCGGCTGCCTGTACGTCGCACCCTACTTCAACGGTATGTGCTGGCCCTCGTGCGGTCCACCGCACCACTCGCTGACGATCTCGTTGTAGAGCTTCCCGTGCACTTTGACCCGGCCGTTTGGCGGGCGTATGAAGACACGGTCCGCGAGCACCCTGCGAGCCCCGTTATCGCCGCGGTCATCAAGTGTTTCAAGGCGATTGGATCAAAGACCTTGGTCATGCCTGCAAGGCGAGTGCACAGAGTGTACCTGAGATCCTAGATTGAATCGCTGCGACAGCATCGTCACGCCTGAGGAGGTATGTTGCTTCGCCAGCTAAAGTCGACAGGATAAGCGCTCACCCTCGCTTCCGCAGGTGGTGGCCCTAACTGCTCTGGGACCTGATCATCTCACGCTCTCGGGTTCGGTACTGGACAAGCTCGCTGCCCAGCCATACAAAGAAGTCCCATCTCAAACGGTCGACACCATCAACGTCCCTGCTCAAGGTATGCATTCTGTGCCTCGCAATGCCGTGACATCACCTACGTGTCTACCCAGTGCTCGAAACCGACTTCCTGAAAGACAACGCAGAGGCCCTACGTGTCGCCCTAGCGCAGGACACAGAAGCGACACGCAAGCTCGCAGACGCACTGAGGATCTTTGACGAGATGGAGCAGAAGACAAAGGTGCTGATCCGTGCCCAGCTCTCAGCCTGAAGGTAACTGCGATCGCGATGGGAACGTGCCGCCGTGATCTGTGACGATCTCAATCTATGTAAACCAGCTTTAGCTCGTGTCAAACGGAATGTACAACAAAGTAGTTACCTCTGTATCTTCGTCATTGGCACCTACCACAGTACTACTAGCCTCCCCATCCACATGCATCTCGGCGAGCTCCTCGACGAGCTCGTGCATCGTGCGCATCGTCCCAGCCTTGTGCTCGAGCTTCGTTCGCTCAAAGAGCCACGCGCAGTCGAGCGACACGCAGCGCACCGGCTCGGCCTGCGGGACGCCCGAGCACGACGCGCAGACGCGGTGCACGTCCGCGAGCCGCCTCTCCGTCCTGTGCACGCGCGCGAGCAGCGTCCCGATCGTCTCCTGCGGACGGGAGCAGCATGCCTCGCATAGAGCTAGACCAGGAGACAAAGAAAAGGTGATAAAGAAGGAGAAAAAAGGGGGAAAGTAACGCGATCAGTGTGGTGTCCGGGGTCCACCAGTGCCGGCGCACTCACCGCTCTCCTCCTCCGTGGGCGACCGACATGCCAGGCAGTGCGCGCTCAGGAAGTGCTCATCGATCCTGGGCCGGCCCGCCAGCGCCTCCTGCTGGTGCTGTTGCTGCTGTTGCCGGGCGCGCCTGCGCGGCGTGAGCGACGGGTCCGCGGGTGCTTCTGCGCGGTGCGCGCGCGGCGCCTCGTCGTACCAACCACGCACGTCCGCGCCGACGAGGTTGAAGATGCGCTCGAGTGGCGGGATGAGCACGCGCGTGATGTAATAGTGTGCGTCGAGCCGCAGGTGCCTGGAACATTGTCTCGTGAGAAAAGAAAAGAAAACAAAGAAAACAAATCGGGGCGCGAGATGTTGAGACGCCGCCAAGTACTGACCCGTCGTTGAGCACGGCCTCGGGCGGCACCGCGCGATCGACGAGGCGCGCGCCCGGCGCGCCGCGCACGATGACGTACGGCACGCGGTCGCCGTACTGAATCTCGTCGTTCGCGTCTTCGAGCATGCGGCGCGTCGCGACGGCGACGCCCGGCGGCGGGGGCCCGTCGTTGCCGTACGTCCCGAGCCGGACCTCCTTCGCAAAAATGAAGTCTTGCAGGGACGCCCGGTTCTCGAGGATCTGTGCCCACGTGCTGCAGCAGTAGTCTTTGACCTGGCTGAGGTCTTGGGTCCTGAAGAGGATCCTGGGGGCGGGAGGTTTGAGTGAGGTCCGGACGGGACGGGGTGAGGGAGGGGCTCACTTGAGGCACGTCTCCACCATCTTCTGCTGCGCAGGCACGCCATCGCGCCTCACCGTCTCGATACCCTTCGCGTCGAAACTCGGCTCTTCCTCGTCGGGGCTCTCATATTTGAACCCCACGTACCGCTTCTTGGCCAAAAGCACGCAGGGCAGATACACCTGACAAACGACGTTGACTCGCCGTCCAGGCGCGTCTGCGACTGGATCTCACCTTCTCAAACTTCAGCTTGATAGGCGCGGGGCTCGTGGCGGTCACGGTGTCGGCAATGTCTTGTCCGATGCGGAACGCCTGCTCCTTGGTCTTGCCACGGAGATATATAAACAAAGAGTCCGTGTCGCCGTACACGACTCTTGCGCCCCACTTCGGCGTCGAGTCGATCAGTCTTATGGCCTGGTACTGGATTAGACAGGATCCATCTAGAGTGCCGCAGACATACCTTCTCCAGTGTCTCTCTGCCAGTCTGCACAATCGCATCTGCAATTTCGACAGCGGGCATGCGTCCAGAATACGTCGCGCTGGTGTACCCGTACGTGACGTTTGCTATGAACTTCAGAGAAAGCTGTCTTGCTTCCAGGACTCTTGATAACGCCTGGTATCGGTATCCGAGATGAGTATATGCGTAGTATTTTGACAAGGTAAGATATGCCTTATTGTCCTTGACACGCTTCATGGCCTGTTTCACCATGACTCGGGTGTCCAACAGCTCTGTCAACATGCGCCCGAGCAGCCCTTTTCGGACCGCCGGCTTCACGAAGACCATGCCGTTGGGAGATACTGTGGTGTCAATGTCAGCCGTGAGTCCTAAAGCGAACGGCAACAACATACTATTGATATAGTCTTCAAGGGTCTTGAGAAGCTCAGGCGGCTGGTGCAACTCTGACACGCCAAATTTGTTCTGGCCCTTGAAGTCGACGACACGTCCGAGGCACGTGGAGTAGCAATAATTGTACGCGATCATTACGGAAGGGTATAGCGACTGGAAGTCGAGGACCACGAGTGGGCTGCTGTAGAAGGCAGACAGGGGCTCCATGATGAGCGGCATGCATTCTGCCGCGTTCTGCTTGCCGACCTGTATGCGTGATGAGAAAGGGAACGCGATTGAGAAAGGGCAAATTTACGTCTTGTTTGCTCGGAGAGAGTAGGACAAAGCTTTCTGGCTTCGCAATTCGGAACATGAAGGACTCTACTTTGAACTGCGAGCCACGGCTCAGCACCGAGAAAAAGTCGACCCCAAACACACGCGCGAACTCGCTGGTGAAGCATTAGACAAGAGGCAGAAAAGGGTAGGCTTCACGCACGAATTCTTGGTGATCACCTCCGCTACCTCCAACATCTCTACAACGATTGTTGCCCGCGCAAGGCAATATCGAATTAGGCGGGAGGTATGCTCCGGTATTTTGCTATGGTACCACTCTGTCAGCGTGCCTGGAGAGTGCCGCGGAGTCCTGTAACCGAGCACGAGTTAGCGAAAGCATAAGTCACGGATACGCACTACATACCGTCGACGCAGAACATGAAATACGGCATTCTCCAGCGAATAGCTGGATAGGCTAAGCTCGGATCGCATGATTCGCCACAGGTTTAGAACATGCCGACCAATGACCCGGAATGTCGAAGTTGTACGAAGTCCCCATTGATCGCTTTGTACAGCGTGCGCTCGGCCAGGGGCGCGAGAGATCTGTTCTCCGAAGTCCAGACCTGCCGCACGCGTGATTAGCGGCTTTACAATCCAGCAACGCTGCGATGCGTACCGTAGGTGCCAGCACGAGCGGAAAGATAGCTCCATGATCCTGCTTGCACGTCCCAGCCCACCAGGATGTCAGGATCGAGGTCTTGGACTACGTCGACGACATGGTTGATCAGGTCGAGCTCTGACTCCACGGATTCAAACCTCCAATCTCGCAGCCGAAGCGGATCGAACTGAGGGTTCTCTAGAAGCAGGACACCAGTCTCGCACTCAAACGGCGTGCCGTGGTCCACCCTTGGACAGTTCGAATCGTAGAGGGCGTAAAAAATCGCAACGGCCTCATCAAGGCCGGGATCGGGGAGTTTGTCCTCCCGAGACGGAGCTGCGGGTTATGAGTTGCGGACTGAATTAGAGGAACGGAAATTTACCAAAGACTTCGATTGACAATGCAGTCATGCCGCCCTTGTCCCGAGCTACGGGTCGTGTTGGCGGAGAAGCTTTCATGCCGTAACGGTTCACCTGAGTCGGGCCCACGATCTGGAGGGAGCATAAACAGATATTGTGCATCGTCGTGAATAAAGACATGCCTGTGAGCTGTTCTTTGGCTTCGAATCGGCCTCGTCAAGGCGATGTGTCTCCAGCCACAGTCGTGTTTGCTTCACGCTCGGAGGGACACTAGCATATTCCCAGCCGTAAACCCCGGTATTATCCAATTTGCGTAGTCCGCTTGAGGGTTCATGACCAGCCCACTCTTCCAAAGCGCTGATGCCGGTGCCTCCTTTGAGGTTATATACAAGCCCTGCATACTCCCGAGCGTGTTCCGGTGCATCTTCCTCGTTTGAGTAGAATGGATCCTGGTACACTTTGGCTGGTACGCCACATGCGTCTAGGGTCGCTAACAGCTCGGAGGTGGTGGGTGGCGGAAGGCGGTACTCATGGCTACTAGTCCTACTCGGTGTCTTGAGGCTTGCCGGAGGGAATGGTGTTCCCTTGGGTACGGAGGTAGCTTGAGACGACGCAGCGACCGGGGTGTGCAGATTTGATAGATCGAGCTTGCGTCGCTTCCGAGGCCTTGGGGTCTCTGGCAAATTTGCGAATGAAGCGGATGAGGCATCGAAGTAATCGACAGCACCCTCGTATCCAGGCTGATCTATCTGCTGGAACAGCGGGTCGGGTTTTACGAGGTAAGGCGTCCGGTCGAAAATTTCCCTGAAGCGCGTACGGTCAAAGTTTGCCTAGCGCCACAGATAGACACAGCCTTACCCTGCTTCGGCCTTTCGCAAAAACTCGTCCAAAAAAGGGTTGTCAGCTGAAAGATCAACAATAGGGCCGAGGGCAGTTGGCGATTGTGGTCGCAAGGTCGGGGAAGACAACCTTGACCTGATACGACGCACATCGGTAAGCACGAACTGCGACGGAAGATTGCAACTCACTCTTCAGATGCTTCGCTTTGCTCGGCCAGATCTCGATCATCTCTGTATAAAAATTGAGCATAAATCATGACTTCAGCTTCTATACGTACTCTGGTAGTTTCCCCCACGCATCGCTGAAAGGATTCCGTTGTCTAAGTGAAGATGGTCTCCTTTCGACTGAGGTCCCGAATCTGGATCACGAGGTGAGCCACTGCACACGCGAGAAATTTAGAGCAATTCGGAGCACACGCCTTTGCGTATTTTTTGACTTAACCGGAGTGTTCTCTCCATACTCGTGCTCTGGTGGCGGTCCTTCCTCAGCGGCGCGTTCAGCGTCAGCGCCATCGTCACGCTCAATTACGTCTTCCTGATGCTGAGTCCATTCGAGCTCCTCGTGCTCGACCAGGCTGTTCAATTCTTGACTCGAAAGAATCGTCTCGTCGACATCAGCCTCTGTTGGCTTTGTTTGATGTAGTTGGGTGGACCTGCCCGTAGCTGGGGCCTCGAACGGATTCTCTACTTGCTTCTGCTGATCCTCCATAGGCTGAACTTGTGCGGCTTCTCTCCGTTTCGGTCGCCAAGCTCGGTATTCTTCCTCCCAAAGAGCTTCAGTACTCTCAAAAGCGGTCATCACCCAGCGTTCCCAGGGCCCTTCTTCACTCGTTAAAGGTTGCAATGGCTGAGCTTGCTCGATACGTTTTCGGAACTCGTCCCACCATCGTGCTTCCGAACTCCACCCTCCGCCAGGACCTCTTGACTCTGCATTAGGGTCTTTTGGCATTGGAGGTGACGGAGATAAGCCACGCTCAGCACGGCGCCGGCGCTCATCTTCCCATAGTTCGCGCACACTCAGCACCACGGGCTCATCTGGTAGATGTGGCGCAGGAATCATGAGCTTGTGATTAAAATTGCGAGAGGCAAGCTTGTGGCGGTTGAGAATTTGGTGCGCGGCGACGTCCAGCTCAAGAGGCATACGGGTTTGACGATAGTACGGCGAGGATCTGGAAGCAATTTGCTGCTCTTCGTCTTCGTCTTGTCCTCTGACCCACACTTCTGCGAGGTCAATCCAGCCACATCCATATAGCCCGAAATCACACATAAATTGGAGGGGAAAGCTCAGGTGGCTTTCGTATATCCTAAAATGCGTCTTCATAACCGTGCCAGAGCGCATCAGCGTGACTGCGCGGTTCATAAGAGCGGGATCGGCGATATGAACCTTGAGGAAAGGGGAGTAAGAGGCGTGGAAACCGTAGAAGTGGACCCCTTTGACGAGGACTATCGCGCGTACAACTTGCGAGTTGTGCGAGTTTGGATTGCGTTTCAAGGATAAAGAGATGGCATGGTTCAACGAATGGCTTAATTTTGCGATGTAGTTATTTACTGGCGGTGACCCTGAGCATAGACACGACGCGGGGCGTTGTGAAGGACTTACCATTCCCAGGCTTCACTTGCCCGTCGTATTCAACAAAAAAGTAAGGATACACTTGATGTACATGCAGACATGCCTTCTTCCCAACCGATGACTCGCCATAGATACGTATAATGGGCACTCTGGGTAAGGCGCCGTTATCGAGGGGGCCAGCCGGTTCGACGATGTAGTCAATTTGGTTGACGCGAATGCGTAGGTTGGGCTCCTGGTCGTCCATTACAGGTCATGTCTCTTCAGAGCATGATAAATACCGAGAATCTGAGATCGGGGAAAAGTCGAAGCAGTGGCCATATTCATCGCGGGCACGTCGCGTTGAACATAGAAACGTGACGTGACCGGATCAGGTGCATCTATGTCACGAATTGCTCTGGCTCACTCCCTCCGGCTCCGAGGACAAGCGTATGTCTGATATCTGTTGTATATAGTACATTGTCTTCTTTAGCAACGCCGATGCTTGCTTATAACCCGGGAGCAATTGCACCGAGTGAGCCATCGGTCACTGTCAGGACCTGTTGGCCAACCCAAGTCTCACCCCCGGCAAGCACGACGAAACCTCGGACATATCCAGGCTCAACGCAGACGTACTTCTCCCTACACAAAACGTTAGCCTACTGCCTTCCAGATTAAGCACGAGCAGGGCATACCACCCGCCGCCTTCCATATCTCCAATCTTGGAGCCAGCCTCTGCTTGAGGATTCCAAATCACGACGTCCTTCAGATTCCTGGTCTTAACCTGAACACCGCCTCCGGGCCAGGCCACCTGGTACTTTCCGCCAGCATTCTCGTACACTGAGTCGGTGAATGTCTTCACGTCTACCCCAGACCTGGTCTCTGTCTTGGGCTGAGCTTTAAGCTCGTCAGTTGCCTCCGTTTTGTCATAGTAGGTCACGCCTTGGAGTGGAGTGACAAGCACGTCATTAGCCGTAGCACGGATATAGTTGTGGAAGAGAGCTTGGAATTCTAGGGTCGCAGAACCGGGTGTGCCAGGGTTCTTGACGTGGAGGTCGGTGCTCAGCTGGTGTTCGGAGAGTGTGACAACATAGGCAAGCTCAAAGGGTTTTCCAAACCTGGCTTGAATACTGTCGTTAGGCAGAAGTGCTGTAACAAGGTATGATGTTAGCCTGAACGCTGATCCGCTTGTTATAATATAATACTCACTTAACCTCACAGATACACCGGCCTCGTTATCCAGTACCACGTCGCTAAACGACCAGGTCTCGCTTCTGGCAAAGCCATGTTGAGGAAGCTTTGAGTGGTCGGGGTGAGAAGGAGCCCCAAAGCACGGGAAAACAACTGGGATGCCGCCTCGGACTGGCTTGCTACCATCTAGAGCAGCCTTGCCTGATACAAAGAGTCGCTCCTTCGGCATGACATCGGTTGCAGAAGCTGCTTTCCAGGAGAGCACAGTAGCACCGTACAGGAGGATCTCTGCAGACGCTCCCTGCGAATACAAGGAGTTAGCACAACCATAGGATGATCATGCGCGATCTCAAGCGTATCTACCTTAGGATGCTTCAGGACGACCTTACCTTGCGATTGTTCGATGGGCATGACGACTGTAGCACAACTCTTGAGTAAGCGGGGTGATTTGTGAGCCTAGAAGAAAGTGATGTCGAAATCTAAGAGACCCTCATATCACGCCGTATCGCAAAGTAGGTATGGCGGCGAGTATGACGACATGCCACCACACATGGAAATCATTTTCCACGCTTTCGACAAGCGTCAGCTCGCAGCAGGCTTGGCATCGACCACAACACTCTCTATCCTCCGCGATATTGCCTGCTTACGCCTACCTCCCAACTCTCAGCAACATGTCATGCTCAGCCAGACTAACATAAAGATATGCAAGCAGTCCAAAAATAATTGTGGTTTTCATTGCTGTTCGGGGCCCGTGATCATTATATTGCAGGCAACACGTTACACGAGCAGACCTGGATAGGGACTTGTCATATGGCCCAAGCTTCAAACAAGAAAAACGAGACAAATTGTGGTAGTCTCGAGTCGGATGGTACGAGGAGCTCTGATGAATTGAGCTCTGTCGGCTGTCCTCTGTGCTGCTTGTGCGGCGAGACGAAGGCCATCAGAGATAGGCACGCAAAATACGTTGACTTGTTGACAATTTGAAGTGCAGGAGTCCGCGAGAGACGAGATCGATTGCTGCGAAATGGTACATGCAGATATACTTGTTATGCCTTGTCATCTGGCACGGCTCGCTGGACGATGGCGGGCACACACATCAGTGCGCGTTCAGTCGAAGAGCATGGGATTCCGCCTAATTTTTGGACTCTCCCTTCTCTTCGCGAGAAGCTGTTTGGGTGGCCTACCTCGTTGTATACTTACTAAGTGGGACATATATTTCATTGACTGAGAGACATCTCCAAGTTTCGCGGGCGATTGAGATGCTTCTGCCACTGCGCATAATCCTGTTGCTTCCTAAATTTCCATCGTTCAGGCTCGTGGGACAGCGCATGTAGCCCTTAGAGCTTAGATCTTTAGAGCTTTGGGGGCTAGCTAATATATCTCAACGTTGGCGCTAAAGAAAGTCACTTCTGGACAACTGCCTCGTTTCGTTCGTCACCTTGGTAGAGTGAGTGGCTTGGCTCTACACCACAAGTATTCATCCCTATACTCCTCCTTTGCGACGTTTGCCTGGATCGATATCTTAGGACGTAAACTCAGAATAGATCCACTGGTTGTCACCAACACACGTCGCCCAGCATGGACCCTGGATTTAACCCGGATGAGGTCGGTCGTGTGTTAACCCCTTGTTCGCTGGATTTTGAGCGAAGTTATGTTTAGATTGCTCCAATTGCCATTCTCATGGACGAGCTTCGCTCAGAGGACGTACAACTACGTCTCAATGCCATCCATCGCATCTCCACCATCGCCCTCGCTCTCGGACCAGAACGCGCCAGAGAGGAGTTGATACCCTTTCTTCAAGACTCTGTAGACGACGAAGATGAAGTCCTACTTGCCCTTTCCGAGGAGCTGGGTCGTAATTTCGAAGAGTACATTGGTGGCCCCCAGTTCGCCCATCTCTTGTTGGGGCCGTTGGAAAACCTATCTGCCGTAGAAGAGACGTTGGTGAGGGATAAAGTATGTGACGTTCACCCAAGGACAGCTACGATATAGCATGCTCATTGTCGTGTGTGGCATTCGCCTAGGCGGCCGAATCTATCACCAAGATTTCTGCTATCCTTAGCTCCCAGCAGATCGAACAGTACTACATTCCCCTCCTCCAGAAGCTGTCGCGCGGCGAATGGTTCACTTCTCGCACATCTGCCTGTGCTCTCTATCACCCTGCGTACGATAAGGTCTCGCCACAAATCCAGGACGATCTGAGGAGGGGCTTCGCGTCATTGGGATCTGATGACACGCCGATGGTTCGGAGGGCTGCAGCCAAGTGGCTTGGAGTATGTGTCAGAGCACCATTCATCCAAGACCCATGCCCTTACCATCCTTGATTCGCGCAGCACTTCGTCAAGAAGTTGTCGAAACAACACGTCCTGAACGAAGGTCTCACTATCTACCGCCGCCTTCAGGGTGATGACCAAGACTCTGTCCGCCTACTAACGGTCGAGGACTTGATTGCGATTGCGCAGCAGCTGACACCAGCTGAAGCGAAGGAGCAGCTTTTGAAGCAGATTCGCCAGTCCATGACAGACAAGAGCTGGCGCGTGCGGTACATGGCGGCGTCGCATTTCAATGAAGTAAGCAAATATATGTTTAAGTATAAGCGGCATTAAATAACGAAATGCATCAGCTCGCTGAAGCTGTTGGTCAAGAGTTGGTCAAGGATGAGCTCATACAGCACTACGTTCAGCTTCTCAGGGACAATGAAGCTGAAGTCCGTACTGCCGCTGCTGGCCAGATACCAGGTGCTTGCTATTATTTGACGACGCTTAGACCGATATTTAGCTATTCTAGGCTTCTCCAAGCTCTTAGACAAGGAAGTCATCTTGCTGCGCATCATTCCCTGCGTCCGCGACCTTTGCCAGGACACCTCTCAGCACGTCCGCGCTGCTGTCGCGATTCAGATAGCTGGCCTCGCACCGCTCCTTGGAAAAGAGGCAACCATCGAACACCTTCTCCCGCTGTTCTTGCATCTGCTCAAGGACGAATTCCCCGAAGTTCGGCTGAACATCATCAGCAAGCTCGAAACCGTCAATCAAGGTCTGTTGCTTTCTCACAAGCCCCGATCACATTCTCATTTATCTCTCATCGCAGTAATCGGTATCGAGCTGCTGTCGGAAAGCCTGCTACCAGCCATTATCGAACTTGCTGAAGACAAATCCTGGCGAGTCCGGCAGGCAATTATCGAGCACATCCCCCTGTTGGCGACGCAGCTCGGCAAGCCGTTCTTTGACGAGCAGCTCGGTAACCTCTGCATGTCTTGGTTGGGAGACAACGTGTACAGCATTCGTGAAGCTGCAACTGTCAATCTGAAGAAGTTAGCGGCGGTGTTCGGCGTGGAGTGGGCGAAGTCTCAAATTGTCCCGAAAGTCATTGGCATGGGCCAGCATCCCACATACTTATTCCGCATGACAACGGTTCAGGCCATCACGGTATGATTCCATGATTGACAGTTAAAACATTGAATTCATCTGCACTGTTCGCCTCAGACCATTGCGCCTGTCCTCACCTTGGACATCATCAGCGGTGATATCATAGAGACACTGCTTCAGCTTGGACAGGACCCCATCCCGAACATCCGTTTCAACGTTGCCAAATCGCTCGAGGTCCTCGCTTCCACGTTTGGTAACGCGCCTGAAGGCAAGCAGCTTGTACTACAGAAGATTGTCCCGACGTTGGAGGCTCAGCAGAAGGACCCGGATGCCGACGTGCGGTTCTTCGCATCAAAAGCGCTGCAGCAAGTTCGTGCGCTCGAAGGAGGTACGGGATTGCTTGTGCAACATCGACAGCTGCATACTGACATATCGCTTTTGCGCCGGTCAGCATAAGCATAGGGTTTTGGTCTCGAACGGTCTCGCGAAAGCCCGTGCTGTTCATCATATTGTGGTCCTAAAGTACGAATTGGTATCATATGTAGTTTACGAAACCGGTTTCAACGTGATGCAACGTACAATTATGCGGCTCAATTAAGCCTGCAAACAGCCATGCGGGCTTGTGAACGTACGTGACATTCGTTCAATCTCCCTCCTGCTGGGAACACAGGGACGATGGCGCCTCTTGACGAACTTCCAGAACGGTGAGCTGCTGGACAATGGTCCGTGGTTACGGCACTAATCTGATGGACTCCCTGTTTATTTTACGGTGCAACGATGACACGAGAGGACATTGTTATCAATTTTGCTGGCCGCGCATTCGTGGACGGGCTCGAGGATCCACCGAGAGACGGCCTAGCGACCCCGTGGCGGGTTGGAAGCGGGGCGGGGCCGTGGGAACTTCTGGCTGATGGCCTATTTGGGTCATCAAGATCGAAGCGCAACATCCGCCGATTGCATGAGCGGTACCGCCGCGCCTTGCTTAGCGACGGATGCTAGTTCCTCGGTCGCAAACAGCACAAAGCAACTATACGAGGCGCGTTTTCTCGTGGACTGCTAGACGGAGCTGTCCTTTGTTGACAGCGCGGAATTAGAATACAACAACGCGTGGACTTGTGAATGGACGAGACAAGGAGCAGGTCATGCAAGATCGCGGAACACACGGCTCATCAAAATGATTCTGTCGGAATTTCTGCCGTGATGGCTACGACCGCGAGTCTGGTTCCTTTCTGAAAGATGGCCGAACTACCAAGGGCCGGCCTTATAAGCCCAAACACAGCTCAGCCCGCCCAGAACCCATTTCCCTTCTCTCGGTCTCCCCTCGCAGTTGTTCTGCTGTCGTTCTTTTGGCTCATCGCTCCTTAATAATGGCTCGCCTGTCGAGCGTACTGCTATTCGCGGCGGCCGCCCTTCCATACGTCGTTGCTACCAGCTCCAGCGACTGTGGGTCTAATGAATTCTTGTACGTTTTACAACTCCTTCGGTTGTGGGCCTTGCGCTTATGTTGCGACGCAGCTTCCAAGAAAAATCTTGCTGTCTTCCACAGGGTGGCCAGCCCAGCCCTCCCAGCCCTCCCGCGGGAACTTCTTGCCCGACCAATGGCTGGTACTGGCACTCCGACAATGAGTGCTGCGTCCCTTCCCAGCCTCAGACCCCCAGCAGCCCGCCACCTCAATGCACTGATGATTGCTTATGGAGCTCGCTTGACTTGAAGTGCATTCCTAACGGCAGTTCGGCGCCCTCGACCCCTGCTCAACCCACGAAGCCCACGACTCCCGCTACCCCCACGCAGCCCACTACTCCTGCTGCGCCGTCCAGCAGCAGCGATTGTGGCAACGGTCTCTTCTTGTAAGTGTATACACTCTTTTGTGTTGAATCTTGATTAACCCTCGTCTTTAGCTTTGGTCCCAAGACTTGCTGTCTCCCTCAAGGTGGCCAGCCCAGTCCTCCTAGCCCTCCTGCAGGTACTTCTTGCCCGACCAATGGCTGGTACTGGCACTCCGACAATGAGTGCTGTGTCCCTTCCCAGCCTCAGACCCCAAGCAGCCCGCCACCTCAATGCACTGATGATTGCTTATGGAGCTCGCTTGACTTGAAGTGCATTCCCAGCGGTAGTAGCTCGGTGCCCTCAACTCCCGCTCAGCCCACACACCCCTCGACCCCTTCAGCTCCGTCTCCTCCGTCGACCCCCACCAGTCCCGCTCACCCCTCGACTCCTTCTGGCAGCTGCAGCAATAACGAGTTTTGGTATGTTCACTCGTCTGCGTTAGGCTACATTTATTCACTCTGCATAGGTTCGACCCTAAGACGTGCTGCTTGCCCAACGGCGGCCAGCCCAACCCTCCCTCGCCTCCTGGTGGTACCTCCTGCCCTCCCTCGTCTTGGTACTGGCATACCGGCAAGCAATGCTGTGTTCCATCGAACCCCGTCCCTCCCAACGGTCCTCCGCCTCAGTGCCAGAACGGCTGGACCTGGAGTGGCGGTGATCTCAAGTGCTATCCCCAGCCACCTAGCACGCCTGCTTCCCCGCCACCCAAGCCTTCTGGTCATGCTGGCTACAAGCGTCATGCCAAGTCTCGGGCGTTCACTCTCTGCCCGACGCCTATGACCGCTTGCCCCATCAAGGGCCTGATGGCCACCTCGGGAGATTACGAGTGTCTCGACACTACTGCCGACCTCCACTCGTGCGGTGGTTGCGCTTCCACTAGCGTTGGACAGGACTGTACTACCATTCCCAACGCGTACGAGGTTGCTTGCACCAAGAGCACCTGCATTGGTGAGCATATATCCCTTAGTGCCTTCAGCGATAGATTGCTGATGGTTTCGTATTCTAGTCTCGTCGTGCACAAAGGGCTTCAAGGTGGCCTCCGGCGCCGACTCTTGCATTCCTCTTTAAGGGCGTCTCAGAGCCTACTATCCCGACACTGGACGCATCAGCTTGCGCTGTGGTGCCAGGAGAACTTTGAGAGATTTCGGAAAAGACAATTTGTCTCACGATCGTTTCACAACACACTCTTTGGACATTCAGGTGTCGTCGCTGACACCAAAGACTCTGGGTACTTGTGTACTTACGCGTGGCGGCGCTCTGTCCTGCGTGGATGGTGCTGCAGTCCTTCGGGTTAGGAAGTGGACTATTTATCCGCTTACATTAGATATCCCTTTCGCAGTCTATTTTGTGAATATAGATTCTGCTCTTCGGTAACTTTGGTAGTATTCAGATCCCTTCCCGGTTTATCGAACGCGTCGTCGAAGCACCGGAAGGCGCCGCAGATTAAAGTTCAGGCTCGTGTAAGGTATAAGAGCCTGGTTCGAAACGAACCAGCCCCCGTCGCACTTCGTCTGCAACCACTTCCATCCCAGGCTATCCGGTACCTTACTCGCCTTTTAATCTTAGTGCGCTAGCCGCCACCTAACGACATCGACGATAAACTGCAAGTCAGTCTGCCGCCCGCTTCGCTCGAACAAGATGTACTCGCCTCTGCGTGCCCTGTTCCTGGTTCTCAACCTTCTCGGCTGGTCGACCCTGGTTTTTTTCGGCACTGCCTCTCTTGTCGCACCAGCTCGTGCTCTGCCCATCGCCTTCCCTATGATCCACAACGCGGACTACGCGCCTGCCCCGAATGCGTCGACCCCAGTCTTTGCTCAGCACGTGTCGCCCGGCTCCCCTATGGTTCGAAGGGACGTCTTGGACTCTATTGAGCAACTCGGAGCTGCTGGTGAGGCTATCCAGCGCCGCGACATCAACACCGTTCTCGGCGACATCAACATCCTGAACAATTACTATGTTCAGATGACGCAGCATGCCTCGAACTTCCGTGAGTGATATGCCCGCCCGCCCGAGAGCTCGCCTAACACCTCTGCAGATCAATTGGCGCAGGAGCCCGCCTCTAGTCGTTCCGCCAACTTTGAGCAACAAAGCGCAAACGAAGTGTCAGGATTCCATACCAACCTCTTGGGCTTCCAGAATACTCTTGCTGAGCTCGGCGCCGACAAGGGTCTTGCCAACTATGACCGCGACGACGACATCGAGACCTTGATGAAAGATCTCGTCAATGCTAACAAGTACCTCCTCAACGATATCGACGAGATGGTGTACGACATTCCCGGTCTTGGTCCAACGCTAGGTCCCAGTAAGTCCGGTGAATGTTGGTGCCCGCGCCTTGCTCTGATGGTCCTTCCCAGTTGTCTATGAGATCAAATGCATCCTCGATGAGGTTCTCGACACGGTGGAGAACCTTACCGACGCGATCATCAACGCTATAAAACCTCTCCTCCAAGGTCTCATTGGCGACGCGTCTCAGACGGCTTGCAACTCTGGGATCCAATTGGCTGGTCTGTGCGTGTTAGTCTGAGACCGTAAAAAGTCGCCGCGTAGATTTAGTCTTCGCGATACGTGACGTCGGATTGATTTGTACGCATGTGATGCTTTGCACGAACACTGGCTGGTCCGTGTAACTGTACGAGACTCACACCTTCTGTCGATATGTATGACTCCTCGCATCGAACTGCATTCCTATTCCTGTTGAATCATCGATTATACTCTGGCATTGGCCAGAACGTGGGGAAGACGGCGTGATTGTGAGGAGGACTTGTCACGGGAAGTACTGGACAATGGACGGTACACCTACGGGTTGATTCGCTCGTCTGGGAAGTTACAGCATGCAAACCCGAGATCCATTCTTGAACATAGTACAAATAGATGCGTGTGAGTAGCGTAGCATTACTCTTCAGTAACCCATCGGTCAGCTATTGCACCGACGATAGGCAGCTGGAAGCGAGACAGGCCGTAACGCGCGGCACCCGTATAAGCTTGCCACCTAAAAGAAATCAGCAGTTGATGTCGTATGAACACACGAAACATACGTCATGTATAGCGAGGGTACCACAACGATAAATGTGAATATTGTCCGTAAAAACTGAGGGAATCGCAGCAGCGAGACGAGCATTCGGAGTAGGACAAGTGGGCCGGTTAAAAGGGCGGATTGATAGGCTGCGAAGGAGACCGACCATGAGTAGTTAGCTACTCAACGGTGCCATGACGCACCGTGAAAGCGGACGTAGTCGTTGTGTGTCTCGAGGACGAGGATCAGCAGGGCTGCCAACGCAATTATTTGAGCGCATCCAAGACAAGTGCACCGCACAGACGACGTACCGGAGACGGGTCCTAGTATATACGCAGCCGCAGCAAGTATGTCGACCCTCATCCCGAACCGCGTCTCCCATGCGCTCACTCCAGACTCGGCTTCCGCTACCTCTGTCGCCCCCGCACCCCCGGCTTGCGAGGTGTTGAATGTGGGTAGCCCACCAGACTGATATGATATTACATGTTGCGACGGGAACCACGCCCTCTGTGTAGTTGGTCTAGAGGATGACGCATCGAGCGACGGGTCGTCCGGGGGCGGGGTCTGTCGGGGATTGTTATCGGGAAGATTCTTCAGAAAATTAGAGAGGGACCGCGACGTACATAGGGTGCGAAAGTAGGTGCATATTTGGCGGTGCTCATAGTAGTTTCATACAGTCTCAGGCTATGAATGTCAGCTAGCAAGGGCAGACATGGCGCTCAGCCGGGGCTGCGGCACAAAGCTGGGGTTAAGTGATCGACAGCCGCTTTCGGAAGGCGTGCAAATACGGAGCAAATAGCGCTTGTGTTCGGCAATTGCCATTCTAGAGTGAGGTAGCCAGCGACAACCAAGGTAAAATCGACAGCAAGGCCCAGTAAACCATGGTCAGTGCTTATTCTACCGTTATACTGCATGTACGAGGAGCCTGTGGTTCGAGGGAGGGGTCTAACAAGTGATATTGGCAATAGGAGGGATGGATGTGGCTGGATGGATAACTCCTAGCTTGGATGTAGCTCGGCTCGCCTGATAACCTTAGTACGTCTTTGCTAACACTTTCGCGTTCTTTCACCATGCAGGCCGACACTCAAGCACCTGTCACTATCCGGACACGCAAGTTCATCACCAACCGGCTCTTGGCCCGCCGCCAGTTCGTTGTGGACATACTCCACCCATCGCGCGCAAACGTCTCCAAGTCTGAGCTCCAGGAGAAGATCGCCGCCATCTACAAGAGCCAGAAGGACCGTGTCGTTACCTTTGGTCTTCGGACACAGTTTGGTGGTGGACGGACCACTGGCTTTGCCTTGATCTACGATGATGAGGCCTCGCAGAGGAAGTTCGAGCCCAAGTACCGGTTGATTCGGGTGCGTACCGCGAATGCTGTCACTTTAAGACGAGTATTAAAAGATTTACTTCGTCACCCTAGTCTGGTCTTCTTCAAGCCCCACCAAAGACCAACCGCAAGCTCCGCAAGGAGCGTAAGAACCGTGCCAAGAAGGTGCGCTTCGGTCATTCAATCCGTCAGAAATATGTTCTTATAGGTTATTCCAGCTCCGTGGTACTAAGAAGACGAAGGCCGCGGAGCCTCCCAAGAAGGGAAAGTAAACTACTGCGCTTACTCTCTGTCTTTCGGTCGCCGTACTTGGCCTATCGTACTCGTCGCATCGGTTCCGCATACCGACCCCTGCAAAAGCTGTCTGGTAAATGTATCTTACGCGTATGCTTGCCTCTCTTTTCCTTGCCTCTCCCATGAATTCCTATGCGCATGCACAGCCCCCGGAAACATCTCGGCCTCGCTGTCGTTTGAACTTGTACGCAGAAAGGCGAAAATGCCTTTCTGAGCTCAGTGATCTGGGCTTCATAACGGTACGCATTACTCGTGAGGAGATTACAATGAGGGGTATCAACCGTGATGTACTCGATAACAAAAACAGACTGCCAATGCTCCTACGGGCGAAAAGAATGATACCTGCACCCTAAAAGCCAAGCTTCTTGTGAATGATGTCTGGGTCTTCCTGGTACTCCTCGGCTGAGACCCACATCTGCAAGAGATCATCAGGACACAGTACTGAAGGGGCATTACTCTACAGACCTTCTTGAACGTGTTCAGACCAGCGAGAATAGAGCCACCTATCCAGGTGGAGTATTTACGCTCTGGTGGGGCGAAAATCTTGATTTTGACATCCTTCAGAGCTAGCTTCTTGACCTCGTTCAAAAGACGATCACCGAAACCTACGATCATTGAGCTTCAAAGTGAATAATAGTAAATTTTAAACGGCGAACCTCTGCAGAGAGTGCTACCTCCGCTCAGAACAATATTCGAGAAGAGACTTTTCCGCAAATCGAGATCGACACGGTTTATCGCGTCTACGACAACTTGATGCACGCCGGCATATTCCTGTCCGATCAGTTCTGGGTTGAAGAGAATCTCGGGCGCACGGAAACGTTCCGGGCCCAGCTATGTCGTGGCTTAGCGGTTTTGATATAGTGAAAGGAAAGGGCTCGCACTTGTACAGAGTTGCCATCAGGCAGCTTGAACTCTTCAGTTCGTCCTTGCGATTCTTTCTCCTCTTTCGCGGGGTTGAGGGCGATGTAGCAGCATTTCTCCTTGATTGTTCGAACGACCTCGCGTTCTGCTGTCGTGTGTAGGTGGTGTCCGGACTTACGGAGGAGTAGTTGAAGGTGGTCCGTTACGTCGCTATCAGTTGGACGCCTATGTCAGATAACGCGTTTCATCGTGCGTAGAACGCACCGTCCTGCCACATCCACTCTTCGGATGGCATGGGGCATGGAAAAGCCTTCGAATACCGGAACAGCGTGTGTTACACCGTCTCCGGAATCTAGGACGATACCTGTCGTCCGGCCAGAGGAGTATCTGAAAGAGCTGTTTCAATTGCTGCCTTGTGACCAGTGTCATCTGGCTGCTTACAGTGATAGCACAGCCTGTACGGAGATGAACATTGCAGGTACATTGAATGTGTCGAAGAATATTTGCGCGGCGACGTCTCGGTTGTGTCGCGGGTTCAATGGGGCTTCCGTTAATAGTACAGGGTGCTGGCGGACGTTCGAACTTCAATGCCTTAGGACAGTCGATTACAACACACACCTCTTCGCTCAGTGTTCCCAGCTCCTCAGCGTATACCCAACTCCATATCCGCTCCATGTCATCCCAGTCTGTGACAATGCCGTGTTCCATAGGGTACTTGATCTTGAGGAGCCCACGGAACTCCTGGGCCTTTCGGCCGATAAACACGTCGCCCTCAAGCGCACCTGCCATGACGCGTATGTGCTTCGGGCGTCCGACACTACATCGTAATTCCCCAATGCAGGAGTAGCGAAACGTTAGCGAATGCGGGTCGCGGATGCAGGGGTGGCCCTAACCGTAAAGGACGCACAAGGACGGGAAAAAACATTTTGGGTGGTCTTGCCCAGCGAAGCCAGCCTTTATTGCACCAGATCCCTGGCATATCGCAAGAGAGGAGTATAGTCAGTACGCGTCAGACCACCCAGCTATCGTCCGCAGGACTCACATTGTCGATGACAACCGGCTGGTTGGTGAGCACGTCCTCAAACTCTGCCATGGCCTGTCCAGTGTCGCTTGAGATACTCTGTTAGCGGTTCAGCAAGTCTAGGGAACGGGAGACGGGCGCGTTGCAGGCCGTGCAATGAAGGGTGGCGACCTGGAAGATGCGAACCTGCCGCTTAGGAAAGCGCGTAGCAGCGCGGCTCGGGCGCCAAACGGATGCAGTTCTCTCTCCGCAACGATGTCCTGGCTGGTGCGCAAGACTAGCTGGCTGCCGACCCTCGTCCTGCTGGTGCTACTTTCTCTTCCAGTACGTTATGTCTCCCAGTGCTCACAAGCTGCAGGGCTTAATTGGGTCTGACCAGCTTTCCAGTTATGCGATTTTAGGACACAAATGGGAGGCGACTAACTTCTGCAAGTGTAAGTCCTATTCGAATTTCGTGTCCCCATATGGCCCAAATACTCAATGGTAGACCAGGCATCTGCTTTGGAACGAACTACACCATCCTGCACATGGAGATACCGGACAACCCGAGCAAGCCCTGTCTGACCTGCACCAAGCAATGGTGTCTGAACCAGAATCTTCCCATTTGTGCGGGTGCCAAGATTGGAGATACTAACCCGGACACTGGGACAGGGAAAGAGGGGGACGTCGAGGCCCGGTGTTTCCGTAGGTATCCGCTTTCTCGCTGCTGGTTCTGTCTCTCATCCATAACAGAGCGCGATTCGCCCAGGGACCAGCTCGTGGTGACCCTCTTCCTCCTCACCGTATTCGGCCTGCTACTTGGCGTAGGTATCAAGAATAGAATGATCAAGGCCGGCCTCGATACTAGCTCGCCGTGGAACGCGGGTCGGCGGTGGTGGGAGGTGCGTTGAGGCTGTCCAGAGCTCGTCTTCTCCCCGACTCATGTTACACACGTTTTTGCAGGCGTTAGTACCGAACAGACAGATGGATGAGCTCAATCTCGGCCGCCGCCTGTTCAGCAGGTCAGACGGGCGAGAGGGACGGGGCGATTATGAGAACGTTCCTGGCTCTCCCGCAACGTGACGTCGTGATTGTCGTACGCTAACTGTTTCGCGTAATATATCAATCTGCTGTACTAGTACACCCATTGTTTAATACCCCTGAGCCTTCCTTAGTTCATTTGGGCTTTTGCAGGTGCGGTGTAGCTGCATTACCCGCCCTGCCGTTCACTCGAGACTCCCACTTGTATGACGGTGCCTTTTCATTTCATCTGGGCAATTCCGAATGATAGGAGCTCCGCAGAACTTTATTGCTCTGATACTCTGCAGATCGCCCCTTCCTGCGTTCAAGTTTGTAGAGTGCTGCTGTAGCCTGATCAATGACCCATATAGCGGGCGCTTCGGAGTGTGCGCGGGGCAAGCTAAGCCTGCGCTGACGGCCGGGTGCGCCAAGTTTACCTTACGCCAACTTGAGCTGCTACCTACACACCGTACTGATAGAGAGAGCATAGTACATGGGGTCTCTATGCTCGAAGCCAGGCACGCACTCCGAAGACGGTACCCAGCTACGCCGCGTACAAAGCGCCAGACCCCCCCGTCAAGCTCCCCGTCCTAGCACTACTGCCAGGGCGCCGAAGGGCAAGGGGCAGACGTTAGGGCAGAACGGTAATGGGCAGGCCAACGGCGACCACCCCGATCCGCGCTCTGCTGCAGCACAGGCAGCGGAGGAGCGACTGAAGGCGGTAAGCTTCAAATTTCGACTGCGGGGCAGGTAATCTGAAACGCTTTGTTGCGCAGGCAAAAACCCGAGGGGTGGTATCATCGAACCCCAACAGTGGGAAGCTATCTGCGCAGCTCGAGACGAGTAAATCGCAACCGCGGGTGCCGCAGGAGCGCGAGCAAGAGCGACTCGTGGTGAGTGCATGTTTCGCGGATTTACAGCGTGTGGGGAATTAACTGGAGACCGGTACATTCTAGTGGGATTGATCTTGGCCACTTTGCTCCTTGAGCGTGCCTTGTATGTTCCATTGTCCGGATCTCCTCCTACCTAGTGCAGCTGTCTCAGTGCCGTGCGGCGTGCGTAGATTAGGCATCGGGAATAATTTGTAATATCAGGGCGAGCGATATTTCCCTAGTCGGTCCATGCCAGAGTGGGAAGAGCACACTAGGGCCCAGCTGCCTTGCTGGCAACTCTTTAGTCTCCGCGTGTTGATGTTCGCTGTTAGATTGAACACTTCCTGCGAACTACCGCAGGAAAAGGAGAGCCTTATCTCCGCCACGGGGTTGTCGTGCTGAGCTGCGACGGAGCCGGGGTGACAATCAGGACACTTTCCATTCGTGGAGCGGAGTGCGGATCAATGATGGGACACCGACGCCGCCAACGCCGAACGTGTCTCGCTGAACACCTTGTCGCAGGCAGCGAGCGTGCGATGCATGGAGCAAGACGCGGGCGGGCCTGAGTGGGAGCGGGTGCTCTGGAAGCGTCAGCCTTTCCCAGATAACTACGTCCCTAAAACGTTCCTCTCCTCCCTGAGCACAAACGGTATGCAACCATTTTCTCTGTCCCGCCACCATGTGGTTCTGACCGCTCGCTCACAGCAAATTTCAGGCCGTACACCTACGGTTCGCTCGTGCTGGCATCATGCACCATCAGCCTCCACTTCTCCGTCATTTTCGTTTTCCTCGCAATCTTCGTCAGGCTCAAGGAGCGTACCCTTGACCCAAGGCTCCTCGTCTGGATCTCCATCGTGTCTTTCATCTGCTTCTATACCCTGTGGGAGATTGTAGAGCACATTGGCAGCAACACTTCCCGCTTGGAGAACCGTGAGAGAACATCTAGCTCGTGTTCAGGGGAGGTACTGACAGAGTGCCAGGTGCAAAAGCCGTCAAGTCGTCAATACTAATTTTCCTAGCACTGCTTGCTTTGTCTCCCATGCTGAGAACCCTAACGGCTGCCACCTCCTCCGACTCAATCTGGGCTTTGTCCGCATGTCTGTTTGTCCTCAATGTCGTCCTTGCAGATTATACGCCGATGCACTCGGCGCAGCAGCACCCGCGTGAGAGGTATGCACCGCATTTGCTGACACTGTGGCGTACTAATCTGGTGCCAGACTGAGCTCAGTCATGTCCGTCAACGCGGCCATCTCGGCGTCCGTCGTACTGGCGTCTCGTCTCGTGGACGACGTCTCGGTCTTCGCCCTTATGCTCTTCTCTATCGAGGCGTTTGCACTGCTCCCGTTGCTGCGCCGCCGGCTCCAGGTGCGCTGTCAATGCCTGGCAGGAAAGGAAAATTCTCATCTTTCTGGACCACGTTGCAGATAGTGCCTTCGGTCTTTCCGACCCTCACGCTTCTCGCCGCGGGCCTCGCAGTCTCCCTTACGGCAGCGCTCTCGTCCACAGTGGCTACTCTCTATGTCGCCGTGTTCGCTTTCGTCACGCTCGTCGCGCCGAGCCTGCTAGTGTGGGCACAGCGCTACAAGAAGTGTGTTTTTGCTCCATGCATCTGTCTAATTTTTCACGCTAACGGGGGAGTGCTCCAGCGAAATCAGGGGCACCTGGGATCCCGCGGTCCCAAAGGTTAACCTGGCCCTGCATCACACACGGCCTGCGTAGTTACGCACCCATGTACAGTACCATCTCATCCAAACCGCAATCTTATCTCACCAGCTGGGCTCCACACAAAGCGTCCGAGCGCCCCGCAATCTCCCTCCACATGCACTCCTGCCATCTCACCAATCCAACGCAGAACGCAAGCTGTCATCGCCGATGCCGCGGCGGCGAGCCTAGCGATATACATTTGTATCGTTGTCTGTTGGCGAAAGCTTCTTTTCAGGCGCGTGGCGGCAGCGTTGTTGTGGGAGCCTGTTTGGGCCCGGTTCAGGGTGACGCCCATCGAGATCGCCCGGGTGCACTGGGCCCTCGCAATGCACAAACAGCCGGCCACAGTCAATCTGAGCTCGTCCGCTCTTCACAGAAGAGCTGCTGCTGCTCCCTCTGGACGCGGCTTCTCGCTCTCGGCTGCTCGAGGTTGGGACGTCAGTCAGGGCCGTGCCGCGATCTGTGTGTGTATTCGCGCAGACGAACGCACATTGGGATCACCAGCAGGAGGAGGTGCTGCAGACGAAGCAGCGACCGGGACCTGTGTGTGCGTGCGATGACATCAATGTATGCACACCGATGGCTGCATGCCGGGAGTATGCCGAGCTTGGCTTTCTCTCGCGATCTCATTTACCTCCGTGACGATCTTGCAGGATTTGGCCCCGTCCTCCCAAACACCTTTCCGCAAATGAGTGGCGAGCTCGAGTTTCTCATCTATTTTGCTTGAGATTAGGTAGCCTACAGAAAATTGCGCGCATATCTGAAACGTGCTATGTACTACACACAAGAAAACAAGAAAGAAAGCGTATAAAACTGACGAGAGCAGAAATCAAGAGGTAGATACATTAAGAGCAGCATAGAGTAGTACATATTACCTATAGCACAACAACAAAGCATGGGGTATTGCATGGTATCGTCTGGTCGTCAGTGTCATAGCGATGTTCAGTAAATCTGTCGTAGCAGGAATGGAAACGAAAATTAGAGCAAAAAGAAGAACAACAGGTGGCGGACATGATTCATGGAGGCGATGGCAGGGTGTCATGGCTCGCGCCGTTCTGCAGCTTCTGCCGTTTTGACGCGGGACCGCCGCCGGCGACCGCGATGCCGCGCGCAGAGAGCGCCTCGACAGAGAGCTTCGCCGCGTCGCCCGACGCGCGGCGTGTCCGCGGGCGCGAGCGGCGGTACGCGCCGAACGCCTGCGCCTTGATGACCGCGAGCGTGCCGCTTATCGGCGGCGGCGGCGAGGGCGACTGCGAGGAGCGGTTCGTCGCGGCGCTGCCGCCGCCCGGCGCCGTGTTCCGCCGCGAGCGCGATCGCGCGCCGCCGGCTTGGGGCTGCTGCTGTGATGTGGCGTCGTCCTCGTCGCTTTCGTGGTGCATGCCGTTCGGCGGGTACGCCGGCGGCAGGACGCCCGGGAGCGTGTTGGCGCGGCCCATGCCCATGCGGAGGCGCATGGCGTCGCCGACGGAGCCGGCGATGGGGATGTCGGCGGTGCCGCCGTGCAGTGTCATGTAGTTGGGCCGGCGCTGCGCGAACTCGGGGCGATCCTGGATCGCCGTGCCTTCTGGGAAGGTGAACTGATAGGGAGCGGCAGAGAGAGACAGGGACGACGTCGACGTCGGGGTGGAAGAGGGTGATGTCGATCTGCTCGTGGTGTACATGTACGACTGCTGCACGCCGTTGGGGCCGACCTTCTGGTCATCGCCGATAGTGTGATGCGAGGGGTAAGACAGCTCAGAAGAAGTCAGACTGGGAGACTCAACGTAGGTGGGCGATGGCGAGTGGTCGATGTTATTCCGATCAGTCACCGTTGTAGGGAGCCCGTGCTGCGGCCAGGCATCCTCAGGACTCGAGCCTTCATTTGCGTACGGAGGATACGCACCGTACCCGTTCATTCGCTGTGGGTCGACCGAGGGAGCACGGGATGGGCCAGCGACAGCGTTCGCTGGTGCGAAACCGAGCGCGGGCGACCTTTGCATGTACTCGGTGGCAGTGCTCGCCTGGTACTGGGGCGGCGCCAGTGGCGCAGAGCCGTCTGGTGCGTACTGCATGCGTGGATCTTGGTAGTGGGACGGGCTCACTGAGGCGAGCCTGTTCGGGGTGTGCATGGGTGAGGAATGGTGGATCTGGGCGTAGGACGGGAGCACGGAGTCATCCAGGGGATCGGGCGGCATGCCGGTGCTCCGCGCCTGCCAGAGGGCTCTCCAGAACTTTTCGCGGTCACGTCCTTCGTTCCGGAGCTGTATGTTCTGTGACCGGAGGTCGGTGACCTCGTCCTTGAGCTGGCGATTGGAGTCCTGGAGCTGGAGCACGACGGCCTCGAGGTTGGTGACTGGGAACGGGGAGCGTTTGAGGGAAAAGTGGGAGTGCAGGTGACGAGGAGGAGAACATACCGGTTTCCTCGAGCGTGGCGATGTAGTTGGCACGTCTTGCACGGAAGGCGGCCTGAGCGTCGGCGTTCTTCTTCTTGCGCTCTGCGGCATCGAGAGGCGCGCAGTCGTCTGAGCCGGCCTTGGAGGTCTGGGACAAGGGGCTGAGAGCGTCGGGCATGGTGACGGGAAATTGAGACAGCATTTGTGCGGAGAGGAGGGGGTATAAATTGGCGGAGGACACGAGGGCGCGGAGAGGGCAGCGCAGACCGGCCGATTGGTTGGCAGACTCGTCTCGAGACCCTGGACCAAGATTTTCCAACGCCTGATGCGGCGGAGCGAGTCTCCCCTTTCCATTTCCATCCATGTTTTTGTTGTTCTCGGCGCCTGTCCCTGCCTGTCCCCGTCCTCGTCCCCGTCCCCGTCCTCGCCGTCCCCGTCCCCGTCCTCGCCGTCCGCGCTGGCCTCCTCGCCTCGCCTGCCCGCTGCGCCGCCGCACACGCTCGCGCTCACACACCCCCAGCACCCACCGCCGAGATCGCTCGCGGTTTCCCCGAGCCCTCCCCGCGGCTAGAGGGGCCCATATCAAGCTCTGATCCCAGGCTAATCCCTCCGTCGAGGGGCCCGGCTTCCGACAGGCCCTGCCGTTTCCCGCAGGTCGGGCCCGGCCAGGCGGGACGCCACCCCCTGTGACCAGTCCGCGCCAGCTGTCTTTATTCCCTCCCGCAATCGCCGGGGGACCTCTGGTCGCCGACCCTCCCAGCGCAGCGCGCGTCGAAACAGGGCCTCCCGCCGCCGTCGTGCATGTCCTCCAGGTCCCTCGTCACCCATCTTGCCCCCTGCGGCATCACCCAGCCTGCGCTAGCCGCTCCCGAACTGTCATTCATTCTGCACTCGCGGGGACTCTCGTTCATACACCAATGTCATTCATCTACAGCGACACACCGACCGCAGCCCATCCGATCCAAACAGAAGCGTCAGCGAGCCGGCCATGGTGTTGCACGGACCCATACCTGTCCATCTTGCCACTTCCGTCACGCCGTCCCGGCTTCGCTCGACGACGCGGCCAGCGGAACATTTCCTGCCCAGCAGATCCTCGAGTCCTGTCTGTATCAAAGCGTGGGTACAACGAGGACCGAAAATCTCACGTCTGTCTGGGCTTCGATCATCCTGGCATCATACATCCCTCAATCAAGCTCTGCGCAAAAAGGCAAAGGCGGCGGCTCTGCCTGGGCGGGCAAAGATATTCTGTTGCAAATTGCGGGTCCTGCTTTGAATGCCGCGCCTGACGTCGTACACTGTTGTCTTTGTGTCCCAGTATGGCCAGCTGTCTGCAGCTGGAAGGTCACAGGGCTTTCCAAGTACGGTTTCAGCCCAAGTAGCATGAGGGAACTGTTCGCAGGAAATGTCAGCGCCATTTCTCCCACCCATTGACACTGCCTGCTACATTCCGGACCATGTTAGGTCGCCGTAGGGCAACTCGTGCATACTGAACCGCACGCACCCGAACGGATCCAAGGGATTTCGAACGTCGTTTTTGCTCCAGCCCCCGCACTACAGTCGGGGGTGTGGCCGATCGAACCCCTTCGCTGAACTTATTCGCGACGTGCGGCGACGGCCTGCATCACACTCTTGCTCAGCTAGCAGCCCCGGACGGCCTAAGCGGGGCCGCCGCATGTCCTTCTGTCCTCCACAGGACAGTGCCACCGCTCCTCGAGAAGACACTTTGCAACAGTTTAGCGGGTAAATCACCTCGCAGCGCGGTTTTTCAAATGTCAGACAATCACAGCGTGTCGAAGAACGAGCCGTGCTGGAGTGCGCCTGTCCGCGAAGCCGAGTGCAAGCCCCTGCGGGCGATCAGGGTGTCCCCGGGAGTGAGCACGACAGCGCCAGGGATTGTTCGCTTGGGATAAATCATTCGCGGTGTATATGGGGCAAGTCTTCATTAAGGCTGATGAGTGGGAGGGTCGTGCTCGTCTCCGGCCGTGATTCTGCAGGCACTAGCGTCGTTAGTCTGCTGGCGGGTAGCGGTCGTTTCGCCTACCCCATCACTCGGACCAGGAAAGCCAGCGAGGACTAACGGCGGTCGTATGAAGTGCGTTTACGGTCTGATTTGCGCGAGGGTACATCCTCGCGGGGTCGGCTGTGCGAAGGAGTGATCTGTGGGTCGTTCAGTGCTGCGACAGGATCAAAACGACGGCTTGAAGCGCAACAGCGAGCAACACGAAACAAGCGCCGGGTGGTGCGTGTCGGCGGCCGACGTCCCGCCACACCCCGCCGATTCCATTCTTACCGGGAGACGCGAAACAGGACCTCCCCGCTGGCGCCTCGCCCGAGTGTTCTTGAAAGAAAGCTGGTCCATCGATATGCACAGCAACGAAAGCTTCGCGGGCGGGCCCTGGCCGCGAGAGCCGACGTCGTGTAATTTACAAAGAGAGCTACTTCCCTTTCCGCTTGCCACCCTGCCTGCCCATCCCGCCAATCTTATCGCCTTTCTTTGCCCGGACGCCCTTCTTGCTCGCGGCGCCGCTGGCAGCCCCAGAAGCCCGCGGCCGCTGCCCGAAGTCCTTGTCGAACGCGCTGCCCTTGCCCGCCGTGACCTTCGGCTTCTTGCGAGCCTTGTCCCGAGACCTTTGCTTCGCGGACGACAGCTGCGACTGCTTCTCGCCGATCTTGGCGGGTCGCTGCGTTTTCTTGGCCGAGCGGATCGCAGCCCTGATCGCAGCCGTCTCTTGCGTGTCCTCCTCCATCGCCATCTTGCGCCTCTTCTCCCGCCGCGAGAGGCCGGAGTACTTGTCGCGCTTGGGCTGGAATGGAAGCGTTTCATACAGCCGTGAGACGTGGGACGATACGACGTACCTTATTTTCCTCCTTTTCCGCCTTCTTCCCCTTCTTGCCGGCGGCCGCGGCAGCAAAACCCGCTTCGTAACTCTCCTTGCTGACCTCTAGATGGTTGTCAGCATCGCTTACCGGAGAACGTGCGTGGATTTCGCTTACCCTTGGACTTCTGCTTCTCCTTTTCGCTTTGGAACCATGTCCTCGCCGGACGTGACTTGATCTCCTCCTCGTGCTCGATAAGGTTCTGGCCCTTCCTGAGCTCCATCTCCGCTTGACGTAGCTGCCGATGACGGTGAGCATTGGGTAGGTGGGGATAGTCGCCCAGCAAGACCCACCTGCTTCTCCTCTTTCTCCTCCTGGAGGACGCCTGCGATTTCGTCCTTGAGCTCCCCGAGCTTCTTGGACCACTTTTGGACGGCCTCGGGCGGCACATGTCGGTGGCGGACCTGGTCCTCACCCGACGCGTGCTTGATGGCAGCCTTGAGTATCTTGCGGTCGGCTTCGCCGACGAGAGTGACGGAACGACCCTTCTTGCCTGCACGCGCCGTACGACCGACGCGGTGTAAGTACTGTGCGACTTGACCAGGCATGTCGTAGTTTATGACAGTATCGATACCCTTGATATCGAGACCGCGAGACGCGAGGTCGGTCGCCATCAGGTAGTCGACGGAGCCTTCACGGAATGCCTGCAGAGCTTGTAGACGCTACACGGATCGTTAAAGTCGATGATACACGAGCTTGAAATCGACAGCTTACCTGTTCTTGCGTCAAGTCACCATGCAGCTCACTCGCTTTCATGCCCAGTAATCCAAAAACTATACGCATCTGGTGCGCAAGCTTCTTGCTCCGGAAGAAAATGAGGACTCCGCCCTTGAACGTCCGCTTGCACAAAGAGACAAGCAGAGCCGACCGTTCGTCTTCCTTACTGGCGCGTACCCGAACGAACTCTTGCAGCAGTCCTCGAGCGGTCGTGCGTTTCGGATCGACAAAGAGCCGCACTGGTTGGTTAAGCGACATTCGCACGAGCTCATCTACCGAGTCGGTCATAGTAGCAGAGAAGAGCATGGTCTGGCGAGAAACTGGACAAGACTTGATGATCTCTGCAAGCTCATCTTGGAACCCTTCGGAGAGCATACGGTCCGCCTCGTCCAGAACAAGGATGTCGAGAGTGTCGAGAGTGAACGTAGGTGTGTTGCGAATGTGGTCAATGAGACGGCCGGGAGTCGCGATGATGATATCTGGCCGCGTGCGAAGAGCCACCTCCTGAGATTTCAAAGACAGGCCACCTAGGAGGTCGTTAGTGAGCGGATGATGGAGACGAGCAATAACACACCGACTACGAGGCAGAACCTGATGTCAGTGTGAGCAGCGAGCTTCGTTCCGACTTCATAACACTGCACACCGAGCTCACGAGTCGGGACCAAAACCATGCAGCGGGTAGCAGCCGCCTTCTTCCCGCGTTCGCGGTACATAAGGCGTTCAATCATAGGGATCATGAACGCGGCGGTTTTTCCAGAACCCGTAACGGCATTGCCGACAATGTCCTTGCCGAGCAGGGCAACTGGGATAGTGGCGGCCTGGATGGGTGTCGGCTTGGTGAAGTTGAGGGAGGCGATGGCTTTTAGTACAGGTCTCGAGAGGTTCATCGACATGAAGGACGAGTGCTGTTCGACTGGTCCCGCGTCCGACGCGAAGAACGCAGTCTTGCGGTCCTTCTCTGCTTGTGTCTCCTTCTCTGAGTCCTCGTCAGAGGATTCCTTGTCTGACGCTGGTTCCTCGTTCTCCTCATCGCTTCCTCCCTTTCCCTTCATGTCTTCCTCGTCGCTGGTAGCCAGAGGATCCTTCTCCTCCTCCTCCTCCTCCTCACCCTCCAGGCCCATCATCTCCCCTTCGCTCCCCTCATCATCCTCGCCCTCGCCCTCACTGTCGTTATCCGCAGGTCCTTCCTCGCTTTCGTCCCCTTCATCATCAGAATCCCGTTTCCGCTTGCCCGTGAATCTGTGCTGTCTCCGTCGTTCGATAATGTCGTCAACAGAAATGGGCTCCTGCAACGGGTATTAGAAACATTCCGACCAACGGGAGACTCACGAAAGACGCACAGACTTGGTTCCCTTCTTGATGTAGTCCTGAATGTTAGACTCGCTCAAGAATTCGTTGTATGGGTCCCCCGAGAGATCAAAGACAAAGTCTAGGTTAAGCTGAGCCTCCTCGGCGATGTCCTTGGTCTTCGAGAGCTCGCTTGGGCCGGTCTCGTCGTCCGAGTCGATAGTCATGACAAAGTCGTCTGCCGCCATGGTGAAACCAGGTGTTTGAACGAGAAGACCAGAGGTTTAAACCAAAGAAATAATGAAGACGTACGAAGCGACAAATCTTTTCGCGTGCACGATCGGCGTATCGAATCTGAGATCAAAACTGATAGGCGCTTGTGGGAGATAGCGATTGGCGCAAGATCGAGCAGAGTAAGATCGAGTCGAAGCGCCTACGTCCCGTCCCAATATTGTAGATTTGACAACATTATATGATGTGCGAGACACTCCAAGCTAGTGCGATAGAAAAAGCAATACAATGAATATGTGCGAGGCAAACCAGCGAAAGCAAGGAGAATAGTGTGCGGAGTGAGTCCCAAAAGCAAGCTTGAAGGGTAGCAAGATATGTGCGACGCAATGATTCAATCATCACCAGAATGGTATCTTCTTCTTGAATAATCCTTCCCGGGTATGTGTAGGAGACTCTCGCGCCATCCGAGTGGTGTTTGGATCATCGAGATAATCGTCCTCCTGTCCAGCGTCCTCCGATTGATCCAACCTGAGCCGTTCTTCCTTCATCTACGAGCAGATCTCGATAAGTATCAACTCTGGACAGAGTGCGCCAGACACCTACCTCTTGGTCCATCAATAAGTTTTCCTTGTTGAATAGGAGAAGCTCTCGAGCCTTGATATCCTCGGGGAACTTTTCGTACGTTCTCGTCTCCAGACAGCTTGCTTGACATTGGGCGATGGCATCAATAAAGCGACCAATCATATTGAACTTTGCCCAATGTATGTGGGTCGGATCGTCATCGAAGAAGTCAGCATTGGCTTCGTGCGCACGCAGAAGGTCCGACAAGTGAATCTCGCTGAACATAACGGTCAGATGAATCGCACACACAGAGCCACTACTCACGTTGCCGGAATACATGCACCCTTGCTGTTTCGTAGAGCTAGCCGGTACTTGCTGTGCGCCCGCATAGCTTGCAAGAGCTGGTCGAACGACTGCAGGAGCTTGTATTGTCGATTCTCTTTGCGTTTAAAGATCCTCTTCGTCTCGTTGTAATCCAGCGCAGCGTGATTGATGCCCGCAACGATGGATCGCAAACCAGAGTAGTTATTCATATTGCGGAGGCGGCTGGCCAGCTCCACCAGCTGAAAGAGGACACGGGCACGCATTTTCGGTTTGTCGTGGCAAAGAATTAACGAAGCGACCCTGAAACGATATTAGTATATCGCCTGCCATTCCGCTACGAGAGCACGCACCATTCAGCTATGTGGTTTGAGACGTTGTTGTATTGTGTTATGGGATCCGTCTCTGCATCCTTAACACTCGGGTCCATAACCCGACGAAGCCAGTGCCGCGACTTACAGGTGATGAGCAGGGCACCACAGAAGACATTAGTCGATGACTCACCTCAATCTGGAGGAAGAAGGTTGACTCTAGTCTGCTGATCTCTTGCGCCAAGGAAGTCGGATCCGTGTTCATAAACTGATTTGACAAGTTTACGAGAATCTTCAGTTTCTTCGACGGCGGATGCTCTATTGAATCTGACAGCCCAATTTGAGTGGGCGACGTCTCCATAACGAGTATCCGCGCTGACAGCGGTAAACTGTGTTTCCGCTCTCGAGCGAGAGACTTCTGAGTCACCACCGGCGCTATGCTCTTGGATGGCGGAACCAATGAATGTGAGCTTGCGCCGGGTCTCGCAGTCTCTTTGAGACTATTGGAGTCGTCGCTCTCATCCTTGGGTCCGTCAACCTTCATCGCCCAGGCCACTTCTGAGTCTTTCAGCGTCGACAGCGTCTCCATAAAGGGGATGAACTCAGAACCGTAGTGTAGGAGGTAAGTTTTGCCCATAACAGACTTGATCAGAGCTGAAAGAGCACTCGCTGTATTGGGAACAGCGAAGTCATTCGGGTACAGCTGGATCCAATGGTCAAGCAATGCGCAAATCCTGAGACATAGTAATGTCAACAACGCCGAGATAATGTATCAAGATGAGCAACTGACTTCATCTGAGCGTAGCATGCGAACATAGGGTCAGATGTCTGCCCCTCCAACGCTCGCATACGCTTTTGCATGGCCAGTAAAACACTACGAGGGGCGGCAAAGCGGCGATAGGTCAAAAGGAAATGGGAGATGAATGTAGGGTCTGCGTGTAGAAGTCAGGCTGTCTTCGAAAGTAATAGCCCCAGGTACGCACCGTCGTCACTAACTGCGACAAAAAGAAGCTTATCCAGAAGTTCGTCTAAAGTCATCCAGCTCGGAGGTCGCCTGAAAAGACAATAAGACACGGCGTCGAAATGAAGATGATACTTACGACTCTCGTGACGCGATGCTTTGAGAAGGTTGCTTTTGCACTTCCTCGTAGTTGTCTGTCCCTTCACCAGGTAGAACAGACCGAGGTGACTCCCTATTTCTATCGCCCATAGCGGCAGATGAGATATTGCCGTCCCAGTCCTGCCCCCTTTCGGACAGCAGGTCGCTCATAGAACGCGTGCGAATAGGCGATATTGGCGTGCGGGGCGTGCGAAGGGGATCGTCAAGCTGGGGCGGTAATCGTGGTGATCGTATCCTTGGAGGCGGAAGTAGGGGTGAATGAGTGGTGGTAGAAGATGAACCCGTCGGAGTGGCGGACGAAGTCCTAGAGATGTCCCATGGGGCGGGAGTCGTCAAGATGGCCGGCGAGGCTGGATTACGGTATCCTTCTCGAGCGCCATTAACTGCATGTGTGCGATTGAGAGGGCTCAATGAAGCTAGTAGAATTTGTGTACTTACGTTTTTGGGCGAAAACTGCCTTGAAGATCCACTCGAAGGCGGTCCTTATCTTGTCTTTGCCAAAAGTGTTTGTCGTCGTAACCTCTATCAGACCGACATCATATTGCTCCAGAATGGCGGAGACCCGCTTGGGGTCTACGTGCCGCTCAAGATCAGACTTGCAAGCAAATACAATAGTCGGTAACTTCAAGCTCGCCATAGATTCTAGTCAGAGTAAGGATTGTCATATGATAAAAGTGTTACATGTTACTTACGGAGCACTTCCACTACATTGGTGAATGTAGACTCTTGTGAGGCATCGTAACAAACCACCAGGCCATCAATCGCTGGGGCGCCTTCTGGTAGGATACCACGCTGACCGTCCCCAGCGATGTCGGGAGGGATATCAACTTCAAGCACTCGTAGCAAACGATCGGTAGCCTGGTTGTAGCTAATGCGTCCGACGCGGTAGATGTCTGTGAGAGATTAAGCTGTGACGCGTCGAAGATGCCAAAGAACTCACAGCGAAAGCGCCCCCCCTCCGCCCCTGGCGGAGACGTCGACGAGTTGGCCTCCGACAAACCATATGACTTAAGACCCTTCCTAATGATGGTTGACTTGCCAGCCTCTGCAGCGCCCACCACAACCAGCGTCACGTCCGATTGGTGAGGAGACTGCGAGAAGTCAGTTGACACGCAGTCCTGCAGGAAAGACAACATACAGGTGGTATTTGAGTGTTCACGGAAATCAGTGACCTCTGCTTCGTCAGTCTGTGCTGCCCTAAGCTGCTTGTTCTCTCCGGAACGATTGGCGGCGGAGCCTTGCCCACGGTGGGAGACGAGCTGACGGTGGTGAGACGCGAGGGTAGAGATAGCTCTTCAGCCTGTGGATGCCTTCGCCACGGTGCTTTCCCTTTCCGCATCACGTTGATCATGTCTTCCGAGCGTTCTACGTCGGAGTCGTCCAGTAATGAGCTCTCGTACTCGTCGCCGGTGTTGGTACTAATGCTGGTACCCCTGCTGCGAGAAGGACCTGCCCATCGCTGAAAATTATCTGGCTCACGCCGAGACATGGAGCTTCCGCTGGAAGCTCGCGGTGCGGGATCATGGTTCCCAGAGAGTCCTTGCCCGTAGGTCTCGTTCGACCGCGGCTTCGCCGTCGTGCTCATCATATTTCCGCGAGTTGAACAAGTGGTGGGATCCAAGGGCGGCTTGTAATTAACGAAGGAGTCGACGGAGATGGATTTTCGCAAGCTGGACGGAGGAGCGAGAGGTAAAGGAGAAGATGTGGAGAGAAGCTCCGGGCCATTGGTCATTGGCGTCATATTTAATTCGGACGAGAGGGACGAATCAGCGGTCATGAAGGTATCCTGCGAGATTAGCGAGACGGAAGAGGGGTTCAGAGGCGATAGCGAGGCGCGGTCGTCGACATGGTCTGAAGGATCGAGGAAAGAAGAGGTAGACATCTCAAGGGGTGGTAATGAGGGTATCTCGGGCAGGTCCATGTGAGGAATATTCGTCGTCATGAGTAATGTCGAGGGAACACATCCGTAGAGGACGGTGGGACTTGAACGACGCGACCCAGCAGAGGAGCTTCAACTAAGCCAGTTCGATGCACAGTCGGCCGAGGGAGAAGAAGAGGAGGAGAAATTATAACAAGGCCGATGAAGACCTGCGATGAAGACTCCAGAGGCCCAATGAACCAGCCACAATACTTTCGGCGCCGCGCGCCCCGCGATCCGGGGGCGACCGCATAACAGATGGCCGGAGCCCTAGGTCTTTCCTTATGCTGTGTGCCGGCGCCCTCCGTTAACTGCGGTCTTGTCTAGACCGCCCTGTGAACCCCTGACAACGGCCGTCATCGGTGGCAACCAGCGAGAACGGATGAAGTATCGCGACTCGCCTTTGCCAAACTGACATAAGACTCTTCTGTCACTCGCATCTCCGAGGCCATCTCCTTGCGCACGATAAGGCTCATCGCTGCGTGAGGCGCCACCACCGGTGCTGTAGCTGAGGCCTGAGGCCTGAGCCCACAGTATCAGTGGTTCTTATGCAGTCGGCCTTCTGCACTCTCTGCACGTCCAGGACAAGATGACGTAGAGCACGTCCTGCGCCGATGGCTGCATCGTGTACTCCTCGTGTATGCCACAAGGATGCGCAGCTGCGGTCAGAAAGGGCGGTATACCTCTCCGCAAGCTGCACAATGTCCTCCTCCACCTTCTGGACAGTCCTCCTTGACACAGTCTTCCTGAAAGAAATGATCAGAATGACACACGGTCGAAGACGGCGACCCCAGGCTTGCGGCCAGAGGCATCCATTCTTGTTTACACTCATGACGCTCACAGCCGCGGCCGAGTTGGGCCTCACTGCGTTCCTCATCGGCGCTGGAAACGAAGTCGGGACTTCCAGCAGTCCTGGGTACTACTCCTTGTGAGTAAGAATCGAATCCCTGTGCTTTCGACCCTCATGGCATCATCGCAGACTCATCCTGCTATGTTTTGAGTCGGCCTGGACGCTGCTCTTTACTGCCGGCTACCTTCTCTGGATCATGGAGGGCGGTACCTACCTGCTCGCAAGTGTAGCGAGCTCTGTTATGTGGCTGCTCCTCACGGCAGTCTTCTGGGTTAGTTCTCATCCAATACTCTACTCATCTGACTCATCTGACTCTCCCCGCGAAGGGTGCCGCTACGGGCATCATGCACAATACGCGAACCAGAAGCCATTGCCTCGGCTCACCCCCGCTATCAAGGTGTGTGCACTGCCCGTCTGCCAGGAGATACCCTGACTCCGTTCTTTAGATGCCGTCAATCGCGAACGGTAGAAGCATTGGGTTGGACCGAGTTCACCCTCTGTGCTTTGACGCTACTTACTACCGTGTGTTGGATGACTACGGAAGTGAAAGCGAAAGGTCACACGAGAGATTCTAGGACTTTCGTATAATATTAATGTCTCGGCTGGTTATATTTAAGCTATTCCCGCACCCGTATTCGTGATACATGTTCCGCGGCTGTATTTACTATGCGTGGCTAAAGCAATGAGATTAGCGTTATGTATGACCCGGGCTGAACGTTCTAACTTACCGGCACGGATACAGAAGTCTAAATCTCACTGCTCCCAGTTTCTCCGAACTACCCTTTTATTCGCAGAACGCCGAAATTGCGTAAAGACCTCCGCAGTGTTTACGGTAGCGACTCATCTTCGTCATCTCTCACATCGATATCGGCCATGTACAAGGGACTAGGTATCCTCCAGCATCTACGCGAGAAGGTACTCTCCGGCCATAAAAAGAACTCGAAGCTCACAGCGGAGCAACGGCGTATGTACGCTTCAGAGAAGCAGATGAATTTCCGGAAGATTGCGAAGCTATGTGCTACACGCTCTCGACATGTCCTGACGGCCGACGACCTCGCTAGCCCCGAGCTGCAGCAGGAGCTCGCAGAAATAGGACAGTTCGCCGAGGTAGCGTACTCCGTACTGTCCCCGGGATATGTCTTCGAGCACCTTGACGCGTTGTCGCGTGCCGACTTCCCCCTGGAGGGATACGATGCGTTACCTGGGGCAACGCTCGTATTGGGTTTCCGCGGAGAGGTTGCGGACTTGCCGGGTTTCGTGGTATACCGACCTCAAACGAAACAGCTAGTTCTAGCAATATCGGGCACCGCGACAGTACGTCACGCGTTGTACGACGTACACTTCCGAAAGAGACGTCACCCGATCGGACAAGGATGTGCAGTGCACGCAGGATTCTGGAAACTGTATGGGGGAATAAAGCGGAAGGTGCGGGAAGGGATAGAGAGAGGTATGAAGGAGTTTGAGGTGGATGGGTTGGTCCTTACAGGACACAGCATGGGCGGGGCTATGGTGTACTTGTTCGCGTTAGACTTGCTGGGGTCTGATAGTTCCGAGTTACTGGGCGACACTTCCATAACAGTAGCAGCATTCGGGGCTCCCAGAGTAGGCAACCCTGCTCTGGTAGAGGCTTGGCAAGACGCTGTGCGAAAACGCCGCGAGAAGAAGGGAGAACAGGCCGTGCGGGAATATTCCATGAAGGCATTCAATGACGGTAAAGAGCTCTGTCAATTCCTGGGGAATGATGTCTCACGAAAGCTTGTTCAACTTACAGGCGTACCAGCCCTACCACCTGCAAGCTTCGGATATAGGCACTTCGCGGCGGTTCCGATGTACTTTTACCACGGCACCCTCTTCTGGGTTCCCGAGTCTGAGAAAGAGCATGGGATTTTTGACGTGTCAGAAGATGCTCTGATCGTGGACACGTCACTCAAGCACCCGCGTGGAGGACACAACTACTACAACAGCAGGGACCTAGAGAGGTTAAGTCGGCGGATGGGCTGGGTGCAGGAGATGATGGCAGGCGGTACGGAATGGGAGAGCAAGTATCTCACAAGGGTCGCCACATTTGAAGGCAAACGGAGCAGTTGACTTGCTGCAAGCCGATGATCGCTAAACACGAGACCAGACGTCTGCTTGTGTTCCCGACCAAGATCCAGAACAGTTCCCAGGTGCCTAGGCGCGCCGCTGCGACAAGCTTGAAACGTACCGCTGTGAGAAAGACATATCGAGGCGATGCGCTGGCGTGATGTTATGACTTCTATGAATGTACTGATGCTAGAGGCAGATGGCTCTGAAAGACGTTATGAGGCAATATTATGGACCGGATGAGCAAGATGGCTGATGCCGCAAAGCTGACTCATGGACACTCGCTTAGGGGAACTCTATGATTAGATAGCAGATTAGTCATCATTTTTACATCATTTTATAGCGTTTATCTCTTCGGGCCAGAGTTTTATCTGATAAGGAGCCCGGGCCTCCAGGTTGCCGCACTCCACCACTTCTGTCCTCTGCTCCTACAAAGCCCTCAGTTGTTTCCCCATTTCCTCCCTCCCTCACGTCCTACATCCAGATCCTCCCCTTCATATATCTTGGCCTTGCGGGCTTTACAGTCGCTTGTCATGCCTACGACTAATGACTCCACACGCCACTATCGAGATCGCTCTTCCTCGCGAAGCGCACGAGACCGCAGCCTTCAGCCGACAAGAGACGATAATACCGATATGATTGTCGACGAAGATGAGCCTGTAACGTTGGAACCTACCGAGACCATTTCGCCTGTGCGAGCCCACCTCATCCGCGCTTTGGCATTGCTCTGTGCTTGCTCCCTGAGCATCGGAAGCCATTAGTACGCTGTTTGCGAGATCAAGCGGCCTCGGGCTAATCAATGCACTTGTCATAATAGTGCTTCATATATCCTCGGCCCGTTAAAGTCACGACTCTCAAGGGAGATGGGCACGGATAATACTGAGTTCTCGTTGCTCATATCCGCGTTCTCTCTGAACAGCACCTGGACCCCACTCGTCGGCGGTGTGCTTGCCAGTAAATTTGGCACGACATCCACGAGTATTCTTGCTACTGGTGTCGTCTTTCTTGGTACGTTCTCCTTTTGAGTCATGCACAACTTCGAGCTGAACACCTTCCAGGTCAACTCTGTCTTCTCATCGGCAACCTCTCAGGCAGCGTCCGAGTCATGGCCTTCGGAATGTTCATTTTCGGCCTCGGTGTTAGCCCGCTCGCTGTCGTACAGGAAACTATCATCGTTCGATTTTTCAAATCCCATGGACTTGGAGTTTCGCTCGCTCTGGGCCTGGTCGCCGGGAAAGGCGCATCTTTCGTGTCGGCCCGCACCTCATACCCACTGGCCGAGAAGTTTGGTCCCCACGCACCTTTTTATGCCGCGACAGGCCTAGCCGCCTTCTCATTCGCCATCAACCTCGTCTACTTGTCCGCTTCGAAGTGGCTCGTTAGAGGCGCGGGCGCCGAGCTCGAAGCTAGTGAGCTGCACGCTGAAGCTGAGAGCCAAGCTGCGGACCACGTTCGGACAGGGTCCGTTCATAGTCTCTCCGAAGCCGAGGCCCTCAAAGAGGTGGCAAAGAAGCGTACGGTCAACCTCCGGGACATTACCAAGCTGGGCGACGTTTTCTGGGCTTACATTGGATTGAATGTCCTTTGCGGAGCGATATGGGCGCCCTTCACGCACCTGTGCGCCAACATCATCGAACGTCGATATCACCTGGCAGAGAACGATGCTAGTACTAAGGCATCGTATCTGCTTGCCGGCAGCGTCTTCCTGTATCCCATCGTCAGTCGCTCCTTGTCATATATACGCACTTTGCTGACCTCGTCGTAGACCGGTTACGTGGTTGATTGCATGCGCAAGCGCGGAATCGTCATGCGACTATTTATGTTGTCATCCCTCCTCACAATGGCTTGCTATTTCTGGCTAGCCCTACCTCCTTCGATGACTCAGAGTCCTGTTCCTGCCATTGCCTCCTTTGCGACTGGTCATGGTTTCTCCCCACGTAAGTAGCTCCGACCTCATTACCGTAGCGGGCCGATCTGACTTCATGTCAGTCCTTCTTGTTGTTCTGGTACCTGAGATTGTCGCCTCCAAATATGTGTCAACAACACTTGGTGCGCATAAGGCTGTAAGTGGCTTCGTGGCTACCCGCTACTGCACTTACCCATAGACTTTTGTTCTTTCAGCTGGAACAGACTGGCTCGACCATCTTCCAAACGCTAGCTGGCGTCGCACTAGATATCAAATCGAAGAAGCCAGCAGCAGAAGTCATCACCTCGCCTACAAACGGCGATACTAAAGATATCCAATATCTCCTCAATGCCTTTTTGCTTCTCAACATCGCGCAGTTCGGCGCCCTCATTGCCCTAGCTCGGTTAGACAGGAAACAGAAATGGGCCGCGGCCCGGCGTACGGCTGCGCTGCTCCCTCCCATCCATGAAGAGGATACTGATGCCGCTTCGACCGCGTCGAGCGGGCCTCGCAAAGTGGAGGACGAGTGGCAGCGTTACGATCCCTCATCGCCTACACTTGGTGGCAAGTCCGCCACTGGTACTGTGCGGAGTTACAGGAGCATCGCTGTTGCCTCACCGTCAACATCTACGGTCGCTGAACAGAGTATCCCCCTGCTTCGGTCACCGTCCATATCCTCTTCCGCGCGTAACAGCAGATACCTGAGCCTCGCGCCTGGCCAGACAACCGTCAAGATGGTGCGATCCAAAAAGGAGGTAAAGCGGGGGGAGATATTTGCGATCATCAGCGGGCTGTCGATCGCATTTGCATGGATCTTGTTCATGGTAGTTGCGTACTTTAGGCTGAGGTCGAAAGAAGAGCGGATTTCACATATAGGATTGGCTCACTAGATTTCAAAATGTGTCATCTATCATCTCCAGGGATTCATTTGTACAATAGCTACAAACTGTGCATAATATAATTACGCGTGACGACTCATAAACGTTAAATGTCTGTCCTGGACGAGGCATAGAGGAGCGGGAAGGAACGGGAAGTCCCAAGCGCCCCTCCAAATCTTCAGGCGCCACGACGCGTTGACGCCCGATACGCTTACGTAACTAAGTGAAGCGCGCCCTCGCGAGCCCTCAGAGCCAGCTAGCCCCGCCGACGATAGCCTCAAGACTTCAAGAGGTGAGTATGTTTGTATGCGGATTCGCTGTCGAGTGCATGCAGAATACCGGGATTCATGTTCGTAGCAAGAAAGTTGGAGGGAAATCGGTGGATTGCTCGTCGGATGGCTGGATGAAGAATCCCCTTACCAACTCGGACGCTTGATCTTGCGACTAACCCCCTCCTTCGTTAGCTCGCAACATGGGCGCATACAAATACATCGGCGAGCTGTACAAAAAGAAGCAGTCGGATGTCCTCCGGTTCCTTCTCCGTGTTCGGTGCGTCTTGGCTCGCTCTGCAGCCTTGGAACTGTGCCGTGTTGAGACAGCGCTGCCCGCACTTTAGGTGCTGGGAATACCGTCAGCTGAATGTCATTCACCGTGCATCCCGTCCCTCCCGCCCGGACAGGGCTCGCCGGTTGGGCTACAAGGCCAAGCAGGGCTACGTTATCTACCGTGTGCGAGTTCGCCGGGGTAACCGCAAGAAGCATGTTCCCAAGGGTACGCCAATTACTGAAAGAATCTGTCTTCGACTCGTTATTGAACGCATCTTTAGGTGCTACCTTTGGCAAGCCCGTTCGCCAGGGTGTGAACCAGATCAAGCCTCAGCGCAGTCTGCAGAGCGTCGCGGAGGAGCGTGTTGGCAGGCGGTGCGGCAACCTCCGAGTTCTCAACTCTTACTGGGTGAACCAGGACGGAGTTTACAAGTATTTCGAGGTCATCCTTGTTGATCCGTTCCACAAAGCTGTGAGCAACTTGACAACTCGAACTCTGTACAGTTCGCTGAAATGACCATTCACAGATCCGCCGAGACCCACGCATCAGCTGGATCGCTAAGCCCGTCCACAAGCACCGCGAGTCTCGTGGTCTCACCAGCACTGGCAAGAAGAACCGCGGTCTTGGCAAGGGCCACCGCTACAACCACACTCCCGGCTGGTCGACCTGGAAAAAGCACAACACACTTTCTCTCCGTCGCTACCGGTGATCTCTTTTTGTGTCGTCCTCTGCATACTCTCCTCTGCTCTACGCTCCTGTCCTTGTACACACAATTTACATCATGTTTCTCATGGTATGGGACCATGCTTTCGTGCCTGTCCGCCCACCAGAACGCGTGATTCTCTGAGCAATAGTTCGCCTTGTCGGGATTGTCTGGTTGTGTGTGTAGTGAGTGGCATGCGGACTCCGAGCTGTATGTTGCTCACGGACAAATAAAACGATGTGTTCTCTGCAGTGTTGACCACCAGCGCGTTCGCACGGTACGATGCTCCCACGGTTTGAATCCTTGTCTGGACAGTCAACTTAAGCGGCCATCTGCACGGCTGACGATAGTGTCGTAGAATGGCTCACCTTCAGCCTCAAAGATGGGGGTCATCTTCCTTCCATCTACCATGACGCCCAGCTGACCGAGCTGGCCGCTGCCCTCGGAATCTCGCCGTCTACACGTGTGAGCAGCGTAATCCCCGGAGCGCTGCCTCGTGGTGGAACAATATGAGAACGAAAGCCCGGTCCCACTTATGTGCCTGCCCTGCTCTTGCAACGTACCACATTATATCACCGTACCACCGACGACTTTCACGACCCGCACCGACATTGATGCTTCCGATAATGCTTTCGCAACTGCTGCTTGACTTACCTTCTATCACTATACACTCTCAGAACTACGCCGGACATCAACAGGTCTCTTGCCGAAATCTCCGCTTTGGTGCGATTGCCCTCCTCTTACTCTCATCTGCCTTGAGCGGCCAGGCGGTATCGCTGGAGGAGAGATCGAGCAACTTGCAAAACGCCACTGAGAGTAGCTTCGTGTGGACGATACAGGACACCTACGCTGGGAAGACATTCTTTGAGTGCGTCCTGATCATGCTCTCATTGCTTTTATAATACTCAAAGGCACAGTACATTCACCTTTTTTACTTATCCGGATCCAACGCAGTAAGTCGCAAGGCAATAGCGCGAATTACCGATCTTGCTGACACACTTGTAGCGGAACTGTAAAGTGAATTAGACAGTCCAACAGTCATTGAGCTGCTCCCGCTAATCGCCCTTCCAGTTATACAACCGCAGACTTTGCGTTTGCAAACGGCCTTGCCTATGTCGACGACAATGGAACGGTATTCATGAAGGGTGACGATACAACACAATTAGCAGCAGGTGTTTACCGGAATAGGTGCATACCTGCACAAACCCATTTATATACCCTTAGTGCTGACAAGCCGCAGCGTGCGCATTTCCAGCCAGGCACAGTACAACACTGGGTTATTCATCTTGGATCTTAACCGAGCACCGTGGGGTTGCGGTAAGCCTGTTAGGCGGAAGTACCCTCTCCCTCGTCTTTACCAATATATCGCTCTAGGTGTCTGGCCTGCGTGGTGGACGGTTGGCGGCGGCCAATGGCCTTACGTACGTGACTGAATTTGCAGTAGAGCACTGATCACCCGTTGCGCTTCAGACTGGCGAGATTGATATCATTGAAGGTGTGCACGATAACGAACACAATCAGGTTACTTGGCATACAGGCCCAAGTATGCATTACCAGTCTCGCTTCATTGGTGCTTATTACTGAGCAGCTCTGATAAGATTGTACCCTCACTCAAAATGCCAACTTTACTGGAACCATTGTGGTAGGTCTCGTGTTCACGCGCCGTGGTATATAGTTGATTCACCTTCGTCAGACTACCAACGGCCAACCCAACCTCGATTGTGACGGCAATAACAATGGCAATGCTGGCTGTGGCATCACCGAGTGGAGTCAGGCATCGTACGGCCCGACGTTCGATGCTGCCGGTGGCGGAGTCTTCGCTATGAAATGGGACGACACTGGGATCGCTGTCTGTTAGTTGGCCTGTTCATAATTTGTGGTTGGTATCGTTGACTGTGATATGCCTTGCAGGGTCCTTCTACCGGCAAGCTGTGCCTCAAGACGTCGTCCAAGGCGAACCTAGCCCAGATCTCTGGGGACCACCAGTTGCCCTCCTGGAACCAACTGGGTGTGATCCCATTGCCAACTTCGTCAACCATTCCATTGTTTTCGGTGAGTATATTTCTAACTTATTCCTCTTACGGTTACCAACGTGCAATCGTATAGACATCACGTTTTGTGGTGACTGGGCTGGTAACTCGTACGCCACTTCGGGATGCCCTGGAACATGCCCGGACCGTTTGATGGACCCCGCCAATTTCGTGGCAAGTACTCATTTGATTCCCAAGATTTGTCCTCTGCTGATTCCTGTCATGTAGAATGCCTCATGGTCTATTAACAGTCTGAAGGTATACAAAAAGGTATCTCTGATCGGAGTCACAAATGGAGCAGGCTTTGGTCACCCTGTCTCATGGAGCGTGATAGGGATGCTTGCCCTCTTGAGTTTGATTTCGATGGCCATATAACTGTGTACACTTGTACTACATACATTTCATCGGACTAAACTGGTGGATGGACATATCTTGGACCTACACCGAGTCCATGCTTGAGTTGCTCCATAACATACTCTACAACTTAACCTTCCAGAGGGCCTTCTGTTCTACGTCTTCGAGAGTCATCGGAGTCTCCCCTATCTCGTGCGGCGGCTCTGCGAACGTAGCTCGTAGAGGAGTGACACTGGCCCACCCATTGCTGAGAGCCCAGGCGTCCGAGCCGACAGGCATGTCAGCCACGTCGGGGTGGATGATTGGACGCAGGTCTGGAGAGAATTTAAACACCAGATCTTTGGGTGCACCATGAGATCCATTGCCGTTCGGTATAACGCCCTTCTCGTTAGTGTCAAGCGAGTCAGGGCCGGCTGGAGATGTCGCTGGCTTCGATATGACATCCTCTGTGAAGAGTCGGCCGTATGAGTTACGCCACATCCTTGTCCAGCAGACTCGCAAGCCCTCAGGACTGAGCAGGCCTTCAATCAGGGGAACGTTCATGCTGTAAAGATCCACCTCCCCGCTACGAATACCGCCTTCGTCAACGCCCCAATTGTCCCATAGGTGGCGAACAATGCGGGACACAAGGCTATGTGCAGGATCGAAGTAGGCAGCCGGGGTTGGCTTCGAGACTGTGGCGTAGGAGACGGCTATGGAACGGATCTTCGAGAGACTGGACGAGAGTGCGGCACCTATGGTACCAGATGATAGGGAAAAGGCGGCTGGTGTCTGGTCAGACCCGGCTCACACCTACTCAAGAGGAGACAGAAGAACAGACCTGAGCTGTTACGTCCCAAGTTTGGGCCTGAGATCTAACGGCGAATTCATCAGCCTAGCACTTGCAGGGACAAGGTCCAACGGACCAGCAGATCAATTTGGCCAGGATACAGATTGTGTAACGCGATGTTGGCGCAGGTCGCCGGAGTCTGCGGTAGGGTTTGTCAGTAATCACGGGGAACATGAAAGACCGGGGTATAAAGACTTACACCATCCAAAAGAATCCATTCTGCCACTTCGTCTTCTTTTAGAGGACGGGATTCGCTTGAGATTTCCCCAGAGCCGTCTGTCGGCTGCTGTCAGCGAGCGTACCATGAGACAGCGCCGGATATTGGCATACCGGGATCACGGGGATAGTAATACCGACCGCGAATGACATCTGTAATCTGGTACGCCTTGCCTGCACAGACCCCAGTTTCAGGTCATGTTAAAATTCACGATGGCACTGCAGCGAAGTGCGCACCTATCCAAGACTTCTGGGAGCTTGGGATGACCACCTTAACATCCCAGCCTGCGTGTATGAGACGTTATACTTTCGCTGAAGACATCTGTGCGGAATTCGCACCCAAGTCCCTGGTTAAGTGACGGTAAAGACCGTAGACGAATGGCGAGTCGCGGCCAGGAGGTCCGTCATCGTTCTGCGCTCACAGCATCAATCAGCCGAGACCTCAGTGGCTTATGGCGATGCTTACTGTGAGTAGCACACGGAGTCTGTGTTCGTTGGACATGGTGGAAGAAAGAGACGAAAAGCCAGGTCAGACACGCCCACGACGAATGATGAGCCATTATTTCTACCACTTTTTGCCGCTGCAGGGTGGCGAGGCCCTGCTTCTCGCGTTTGGTCACCCTTGTCGCGCGCGCGTTTCGATGACGCTGACGATTGACAGTGAATGACGATTTATTCCAGCCGAATGGTACATAATACGGGATGAACCATAAGCTCAAGGTATAAACGTTCCATTTTCGCACGTAGACTGTATACAACCCCTCATGCCGCGACCTTCGGACCCTAGTATAGACCGGAACGGCACAGTTAAGCGAAATCTCCCCATGGAAAACGGTGCGCATGATCCTCCAATTTCATGGAGGAAGAGCAAAAGCTCGCACGACAGTCGTGCCCTGCACAGCGCGGTGTGCAGAATCTCCCATCAAGGGATGCGAGGCTCAGATTTTACCTAAGTCTGACAAATCCGGAAGCTCTTATGCAAACGAGTATCAGAGCTCGAGCGCAAACTTGGCGAGCTTGAGAGCTCCATCCTTAGTCTTGTTGCCTGTTGGCATAACATGTTCATTTAGTGTCATCGCATCACAAGTGAACTGATACTTACCTCCGATAAAGCCGCTAGCGTGGACGAAGACGCAGCTGTCGATGCCTGAAACCTTAGAGAGCTCGTCGTCGCGGAGACCCCGCCAGATTTCAGGGAGAGCCTTGCGGCTTTCGAAGCTCTCGGGAGCCACAGGCACCGCCTGGACGCGCCATTGATCACTTGTCTCGTCAGGGTAGATAACGTAGATAGGCTTCTCGTGATCAGCGATGTCCAGGTCGCATTCCAGCTCGAAGAGATGCTCCTGCGACCTGCGTCAATGATTGCCGTCCTCAATACCAAACACATGCTTACCTTCCAAGGGGCGTAGGCGTCAAAGAGGATAATTTTACCACTAGGGTCAACGTTTCCCCTGTCTTTGAGACCTGCGGCGACGATGTCGCGGGCCGGGAGCCAAGCATTTGCGTAATATTCGAGTCTGCCAGCAAACTCGCCTCCGACGAGGGCAGATGCTTTCAGGAATAGCGTCTAACCAGTTTTTACTGTCAAAGCCGCCTACGAGACTTAGTCACAGATGCGGCTTACGTCGACGGTCTTTGCGTCAGCTGGCTGATTCCAGGCGGGGTTGAGGTGGCCGACCCTGGCAGAAATGTCCGTTCTAACGCGGTATTGCGGAGGCATGTCCGCAGGGTACTGGGAGATGCCATTGTCAATCGCGTCAATCGCGTCGATGAATTCCTGTGGTCTGTTTAACACCCTGCGGAGCTAAGGTGGAGGGATAGCGAAGCGCACTTTGTACAGTTTCAGCCAGAGGATCTCGATGCGAGGGTCGTCGAGGGTCATGTTGAGCCGGTTAGCGATAATCTCCTTGCCAAAATGTCTACGAAGATATCGGTCTTGCCAGTTCAAAGGCAGCAGTGAAGTGTGGTACTCACTTGTAGACTAAGCCAGCAGAGGAGAGCTTCGTGTTAAAACCGTGACCGAAGACCTCTGCAAATCCACGCTGATGGTGGTCAAAGCGCTGTCTGGCTTCATCGTAGATACCGCCGACATCGACGACAATCGTGCAAGTGTCGAGAATAGCCGGGTCTCTGGTACGCTTCAGGTCTATACGTGATCCGCGGTTGAGGGTGCGGGAGCAAGAGTCGCACGGCTATCACTCACCAGCTCCTGCATACTCCTGGGTAAGACGCAGCAAATAAACAGCGAGAGCTTCGTCGCAGTGGAAAGTGCCGTTGTGCGTTCCAATCATCTTTTCCATCTTCTGTCTTTTGCGTGGGTGTTCTGCAATTGTAGATGTGGACATCAACTGCCTGCGCTGAAGATGGTTCGTATAGGAATAGGATAAGCTCGTGCAGATAGAGTTCGACAGGTTTTGGGTGAGGGGCGAGAAACACGAGAGTGTACCAAAGCCCGCACGTGTCCTTGCATGGAGGTCGCTCTCAACATCAATCAAACGCCTAAAATCTTCTCTCGTCGCAGGCTACCTCAAAACACTTGGACGACAACCAAGAGCATAGCAAAGGGGGAGGAAAGTACCTGACAGCAGAAGGTAGAAGTAGTCCAAGACAACGCAGTGTATACTGGTATTATGCAGCCCCTGGTGCGTGCGTACATATGCAAAGAGAGATAGCGTAGTCCGTCCGGGAAGGGTCCGTGGATGCGACAAGATAAAACAGTATCCCTCATAATCGTCCCAGGTCTCCGAGGACCTCATCCCAACACCAACGTGCCTCCCAACGCCGCTGCTGCTATACACGCGAGGATGGAGTTGATCGGCAAAGCAAGGGCAAAGGAAATGTAACTATCCGGTGGACCATAGATGCCACCCGATCCAGACGCGCCCGGCGAGGGTGCACCGCCACCTGGGCCATCCCCTCCGCCATTTATATCTGTCGGCGCGGTCGGCAGCGGCCCTGTCGACGAGGGGCTGCTACTTGAGGAGTTGGTGTTATTGCCTGAGGTATTGTTCCCCGAAGAGGTGGGAGAGGGAGTGATAGTGAGGACAACAGGAGACGTGAAGGTGGTTGTAACACGCCCTGGACCCAGCGAGACACCGGTCGTGAACGATGTCGATAGAATGACCGAAGGGGATTGCGATGCAGAGCCAGAGCTGGCAGGAGCTGATGTGGAGCCGGACGCAGTAGATGCAGATGTAGCATTGTTATTCTGCGCAAGGGACTGGGTGTGAAACAAGATTTGTAGTCGACCGACGGAAGGGGACATACCTGCGCAACTGCGAGGAACGGTAGGGCAAGTACAGCAATCAGAGCGGTAAGACGCATATTGGAAGACGAAGTGGTATGGTCGTCAAAAGAGCGTGCTTCAGTGAGGAACCTAGGCGGGATAAAGCTCGTCGTCGGAGATGGTATCAAAGTCGCAGAAGGGCACTGAAGACCACCGTTACGCCTAGTGTTACAGAATTGTGTCACGGACAATGTCACGATGGCATATGTCACGGGTATCGGCCGGCGGGGATCCCGGACGGCGGGCGGTGTGCGAATTTGAACGTTCACGAGGGCATTTGATGGCGATTTTGTAATTCAGCATGGAACTTGGCCCAAGAGTGGGTGCCGCAGGTGCTCCCGCATATGTATATGAGCGGCCGCAGATGACTACGAACCTTAGCAACTCTCCCCTCCCCCGCACCCCGCAAAACTCCCCCGCACGACATGTCGCCCTCCCCCCTCTCCCTGGGCACCGTCCACACCGCCCTCCAGTACATCGCGCCCCCTTCACAGCTTGACCAGCCGCTTCCACCGTTCCTGCTCTCGAGGCCATTACTGCAACGTCACCACTTCCTCTCTATATCCACGGACGATCCGGTGCAGTACCTTTGCTGGCCGTCCGAGACGTCCACGAGAGCAGTCGACCTTTTGGAGAACCTGCCGCGCCCTGTGGACGACGACGCCTTACGGACATATTCCGTGCGGTACACCTCTGATACCGAACATACCTATGCCCATGTCGCGCTGCACGCTCCTGGGGAGGCTGACGCGGTGCGACTCGTCTTCCAATGGGACGAGCTTGATGGCTGGAAGTTCCACGATACCAAGTTGATGCCATTCCCCAAGGAATGCAAGACGGAACTTAGTGAAGTCTCGTCATTCCAGGCGTCACTCAGCAGCTCTCCCCAAAGCGATGCTGTGGCCCCCGCGTACAACCCGTATAGATTTAGCGACCAAAGCGACGACGAGAGTGACGACGACTACTGGAATGCTTACGGGGCCAGCGACGCCGATGGCCCCTCTGCGATGAATGCGCTAGCGTCTTCCAAAGATGCAGACGACGGCGAAGATGCATATTGGGCACGCTATGCCACCGTTCAGGGTACGTCGCTGTATTGATAATTGCGGCGTCTCTGCTAACCACATACGTGCTCCCCAATGATTAGGAACGGCCGATTCCACGATACCATCTCCACCTATTCAGAGGCGTAGACCTGATCCTTACGCCGACCCTTCCCATGATACACATGCTGTGGAGTCTCCATATGCGCTCCCCGTGCCCGCTTGTGTAGACAGCGAAGTCTTGCAGATCCCTCCTTCCCTCATGCGCCAGGAACGCCCGACGGGCTCCCGCATGTCAGATCCAGCGTCGCCCAAGGCACTGGCCCGCCTCTTGGCAGAGATATCCCCCCGCCACAGTCTGGCAGTCCTTGACGACTTCGAGGATATCGAGGCGCCAGCACTCGAAAGCGACACCTCCGACGCAGCCACCTCGTCCGATGACGCACTCGGGCTCATTACCAGCGCTGAGGAATCCCCAGTCGTGCACGAGGCCCTGGGCGCCACTACTAAGGAGTTCGGTGCAGCCTTGGAGAGAGACGAGGAGGACGAGGCTTTGCGACAAAGTCTCAAGGGGCTGTATACGCTTTGGAAGCAGAGCAGAAATGGGAGGGGTGCCTCATTCGGGCACGGGAGCAGAGCGTCTTTCTTGCGAATTGTTCAGGACGTTGTCGACTGCTAATTATTGTCGCAAATCTGTATCGTTAGATCTTCCATGGGCACCTGGTCCCATATTGTGCATCGTATATCTCAGTTCCTTGTAATAATAATTGTCACCGTTGGTCTTAGAGAAAAAGTATGCATTCGTGTAAGGCTTATCTCGTGACCCGACACGCTTTCCGCGTCCCTCAAGAGTCAAGACACGCAAGCGCTAGTGTACTCTGTTCCTGGTCTTTGTCTTTCTTGTTTCTGAATCTTCGAGGCAGGCGGTAGATTTATAGCCGTCCCGGAAGTTCTGCTGTGAGGACCTTGGATGCGTCCTTGCAGACATGGATGACCCGGAAGATGGTAGCACGACGGGAGAGTATGAACAATGGTGAGCACCGCGTTAACTCTTACTATGCGATAGCTTGTCTGATCCTTGTCGCACAAGGGAACGCCTTTTGAACGAACAGACAGGTGCGTCTCGTCGCCGATTGCCTCTGTGTGCATATGACGAAGTTATCTGCTGTGCTACTCAACAGGTCTTTTCAGGAGGACCACCGCCCGTAACAAAGAGCTTGAGGCGAGGGTCGAAGAGCTCGAAAGAGAAGTCGCCGTCTGGAAAATCGCTCACAAGGCTGTAGAAGATGAGAAAAACGCCTCGAACAAACAGGTCTCCAGGTTAGAGCGTAGTATTGGGTCGTTAAAGGCATGAACACTTCGCCTTCTCTACACCTTCGCTGCTAAAAGATAGCATGTCCACAGGAGGATAGCCCCCTTATCTTATGTCTTATAGATGGCGACGGAAACATTTTCTCGCCGCAGCTAATTCGTGACGGTCTGGCGGGAGGACGGCGTGCGGCGAAGGTACTCACGCAAGGCCTCACCGAGCACATGGCGAGCCTTGATCCCGGGCACGGCGGCTCCGCAGGACGCGGCGAGATTTGGCTCACGATATACTGCAACAAGAAAGGACTCACCGAGGCGCTGACGGCGAACGATCTGTGCACGGCGGAACAATTTGATCAGTTTGTTATGGGCTTTAATCAGGCGACGCCCTTGTTCTCATTCGTCGATGTGGGCGTCGGGAAAGAAGCGGCGGATTCAAAGATCAAAGGTCAGTTTCGATACTGACTGTGCTTCGACGTAGGAGGCTAATCAAGCATGATAGAATTTCTCCGTGTATTTACTCGCTTCCCCCAGACCTCGCGTGTATTCTTCGGAGGAGCACATGACAATGGCTATACCTCCGCACTGAATTATCTCGCCAACGAGGGTCTGCACCACAAATTAACGATCCTGCGAGGCTATAGAGAATTTGCATTTGAAGTCAAGAGCTTAAACCTCCCATTCCTTGACATCCCGGGCCTTTTTATGACGGAGAGGCTCCAAACTATCAACTACAAGAGACAGCAAAATGTTCATACGGGCAATATTCAGCCGGTTCAAGTACAGGATTTCGACAAATTCAGAAACAGACCCTCGCCTGCATTGCAGACTCAAGGTGTGCCTGGGTCGCCGGGCAAGAAGGCTGAGAATGGTCGGATGCCAATCCCAGGACTGGTACGTCCGAAACTGTTACCTGTCACGATCCAATAGCCGACTTCGTCTCGTTCTCTAGCCGTTGCATAAGCGTATGTGTGGACATATCTATGCGTTCTATTGAATTGCTGAATGATTTTACAGATCGCCCGCCTCCATGCAATTTCTTCTATTTGATGCACTGTAAACACGGCAACAAATGCCGATACGCTCACGATTACATTCTCGATGAGAAGCACGTCATGGAGCTACGGGAAAATGCTAAAAAGTGGCCTTGTCCTGATCTCAACAGAGGTATGCTGGCGGTACAATTATCACTCGTTCGATCCGTTAACATGCTACCAGATAAACCCTGTCTTCTGGGGATAGTTTGTCCTATGGCTCACCAGTGTCCGAACGGCGCTAAGTGCATTTATGCGAAAACTGGGAAGTGCAAGTTCTCAAGTGGGTGATCCATCGGTTGATTGGCGAATAACTGTTGACCTATTCTGCGCAGAGCCCATGCATGTTGGTGCTGCTGATTCAACGCAAGCATCGACCCCTGTCAGAAGTCCCAGCCCAGCTTCGACGACCAACCCGTACATCGAGACATCGTCCACACCGGACGACTCGGCATACGATGACGTTTTTATGCCTTTCTTCGGTGCACCACCTGGGCTATCCAAGCCGCAGAAACCGCCACAGAAAAGTCGTTCGCATTCACCATGACAGGCCGCGGGTACAGTCTGATTGGACGCGGTCACATGACATCCACGTGGCGAGGTTGGAATTGTTGGGATTCCATACTTAAAGTCTTCCTGTATCGTACACTCTGCATTCTCCCTACACACACCCAGTGCTCGCTCTATACACATTATGGACGCGTTTGAGGAACAACGTGAGGCCAATATCGCCCGCAATAGGAAGATGCTCCAAGACATGGGAATCGAGGTCATCAAGAACGAAATCGTCATGTCCAGGCCCAAGCAGGCACCCAAAACAAAACCAAAAGCGCAGAAAAAGCGTAAGCAGACCACCTCTGACGCGGAAAGTGGCGAGGAGGAAGGCAAGCCCGAGAAGAAGCCACGTAAAACTGTACTCATCGAGAATGTCGACACGCCCCCCGATGGTCTCCGACGCAGCGGGCGCAACGCCGGAAAGAAGATTGATTACAGGGGTGATGGAGACTTCCTAAAGAGAGACGATGGGCCTCGCATTATCAGCAAGAACGCGCGGAATCATGAGTTGTCCGAAGCGAGAAGTCCACTGGAGAGGAAACACGATCCGTGAGTCGCCCGGTCCATGTCCCAGGCTTGCACGGCCAATCTCACTTTCAGCCTCTAGGAAGGTGTTTGGATCTATTCTCGGCATCGAAGTTGGAGTATGGTGGGCAACTAGGTGAGTTGCCTTGCAAATTGTAGCCTATCTTATCTGTCTAATGCCCGGCCCACCAGGGAGGAGTGCAGTAGAGATGCTATTCATGCGTACGCGCTTCTCCGGACGCGTACAGTGCTATCCCTGACCAGATCTAATCTAGGCCATACGTTGCCGGCATCTCTGGCGGTCCTGAGGGATGCTACTCGGTGGCTCTCTCAGGAGGCTACGAGGATGATGTTGACATGGGGGAAGGATTGTGCGTGAAGTTTCTTACCTTTGTAATGATTAGTTCTGACATTACGTAGCACTTACACAGGTGCAGGTGTGTGATATGTGGCCGCTACCACGATACTCCTCTCATGTCTTCTCGCTAAACAGGCGGACGCGACTTGAAGGGTACGAAGGAAAAGCCAAAGAACGTATGTCATTGCCATCCTGAATGATATATAAGCCAACTTCTCTGCCAGCTCCGTACGGCGCCACAGAGCTGTGACCAAGATTTCGAAAATAGGAGTAACAAGGCTCTCTTAGTATGCCTCTACATTGTAGAACATGGTCACTTTACTGAAACCCTTCTTTAGAAATCTGTGGAGACCAAGAAACCCATCCGTGTTATCCGGGGCTACAAGCTGGAGTCGAAATATGCTCCTTTGGAAGGCTATCGTTATGACGGCCTCTACACCGTCGAAAAAGTGAGGTTGTATTAGCACTACCTATGCGAGTCTGCTAATCATTGCATAGGCGTGGCGGGAGAAAGGTCTGAATCCCAAGGGCTACCTTGTCTGCAAATTCATCTTCAAGGTATGCCGCTATATCTAAGACCGATTACCTCACCTGATCTCGCATGTATTTCAGCGTATCGAGGGTCAACCTCCGCTCTCTGTTTACGAGGATGAGGCTAAGGGTTCGGACGCCATATCGGATATAGAAGAGGAAGGCAACGACAAGGATGCGTCCGATTCCGACTAACTCCGACAGTCCGTACTGGAACCTGATCGCGTCGGATGCTTGGAAAAGGTTCAGTGCAGTGCGTATATACCCCGTAATATTTCTTGGATCTTGCCGATGTCAGCTCGCTATTCTCCGTTGAGTCCTTGTCGAGCCTTGTCAATTATCTACCAGCGCTTCTACTCTCATAACGGAGGCTATGCACGTTGCTGGGATCCTTCAGTACAAGAAACATATTTTTCCTGTTCTTGCTTGCTATTTCGCGTCGAATTGTACCTAATCTGTTTTTTGGGGGAATTAAGAATATAAATGGTCCTTGTTGATCAGCTTGTGCCAGGATACAGTGTAGGACCACTCCTTGGGACAGACCTGTCACGCCTAAGCTCGGTGGAATCATGCCCGATGGATTCTGGCTCGACACTTAACGTTTGAGAATTACTGTAGAACGTATGGTAGCAACGTCACGCATCGCACACCACTAGACGCGTTTCTTATCTGGCTCGATGTCACGCGTCACAGTCAGTTGGCTGCTAGTTTCTGTGCAAGTTGCACCTGCGGCGGCGGTTTCTTATTAGGCCTTAGGTCACAAGTCACACATGACCAGTTGCCCGTCATAAAGCGTCACGCCTCGCCCTCGGTTGCTACCATACATTCCTCTACAGTATGCGCATTTTCACATAAATGGAGCATACAATTGAGTATTAATGAATATTTTCACAAATTTTAAGCTCATTGTGCGACTCCGGTGACGCTTGACAATTTTCGACACTTTTTGCTCCCCCACCTACGCTACAATCACCGGCTCCAATTTTTAATGTCACATAGATATGGATGTATTATATACAGGAAAGTAGCAACAATAGGCCCTACAGGCTATGCGAGGGCAGAAAGCGGCGTGTCCCAAGGAGTGGTCCTACGCTGTATACTAAAGAATTAAAAATTCACTGCTTTTGCGCGAGCGCCTCAAGGACGCACAGCCAGCGTTGCAGCCTGTTGCAACTTGCAACCATTTCCTAAGTCTTCCTTCGCTCTCACCTTGTCTCACCCTCGTTGTTCCCCCACTTCCTACCCCGTGATACACTAACATGTCTTTCTTCAAGCGCAAGGAGAAGAATCTGATACCCCCAGTCCCTGATCCCATTTCCACACGAGGCCCATCACCGGGAGCTGGTGTCTCCCCCACGTCCTCATACCGCTCGAACTCCAGCACGTACGTCGCGAGTCGCGATGGCGACCTCGCCAAATTTTCTTCTACGCCTCCCCCACAGCCATCCTACGAGGGTCGCTACACCCGACAGAACGCCATCGGCGACGTCTACTCGCGCGGCGAGAAGGACATTAACCAAGATCGCGGAGAGCTCTTCGCGGGATACAACCCCGAGAAAGCAGGCTCGGGACGTTTCTTCAGCGACGGCCCTAGTGCGCGCGGGGGCGGCGAAGAGCCTGCCGAGGGCGAGGAGAACGAGGAGGACGTCGAAGGCATCAAGCAGCAGCTACGCTTTACGAAGCAGGAGAGCGTAAACTCGACTAGGAACGCCTTGCGGCTGGCCCGCGAGGCGGAAGAGACGGCAAGGAACACTCTTGGCAAGCTTGGAGACCAGTCGGGTACGCACCCAGCCTATGCACCGCCCCCGGACTGCTGATCAGCGTTTTTATTGTTCAGAGAAACTCGCAAGCACTGAGCGGCACCTTGACGTTTCCAAAGGACACTCGATGCGGGCGGAAGACAAGACGGATGAGTTGAAGCAGCTCAATCGTTCCATCTTTCGGCCTGTCATCACCTTCAACAAGGATGCGAAGCGCGCAGCAGCAGAGGCCAAAGTCCAGCAGCGCTACGATGAGGATCGCGAGGAGCGCGAGAAGGCGATGATGGACATCCGCGAGACACAGAACCGCCTTGGCCGTGCCGCTGGTTACGGTCGTGGCGACGACGACGGGGAAGGCATCGATGGTCGTCGCGCGTTGACCGGTGCGCAGCAGGCAGTTCGTAAAGAGCAGCGCAAGCGCTACCAGTTCGATGCGACTGCGTCTGACGATGAGCTCGAGGATGAGCTTGATGATAACTTGGGAGAAATTTCCGACATGACGAAGCGGCTGAAGGCTCTGGGTACCGCTATGGGCGAAGAGCTTGATAAACAGAACGAGCGTATCGGCCGCATTACCGAGAAGACAGACGGGCTCGACAATAGACTGTACAGGAACACGCAGAAGGTGAGAAAGCGTGTTTTCACTAGAGTTAACAACTTTTTGATTTCCCTCCTTCACAGCTCAACAGGATCAAGTAGATCTCCAGAGGATATATGCTTTCAGTTGGGTCACGGGACGCAAGACTCGGACGGTTTTTGGACGGTTTCAATCGTGTCTTCATGCATAGTATATAATTGGAAGACTCCATGGCTCAGTCGCAGAGCAAACAGGAATGTATTATCTGCCAGGCAGGCAGAAATGAGATATGTAATGAAAGAAAGCTAGACACACGCAAGAGCGCAGCGCTATGTTTTTGTTTTTGAAGTGCTCTCCTTGCTCTTCTTTCCGATAACGGTCACGCCCTTGCCGCTCTTCACCAGACTCTTCAGCGCTGTATCCTTCTGCTTCTTGACGTCGCCAACACCCTTCACCTTCGAGTACACCCGCGCAGTCTGCTCGAGCGTCACCCGAGCTTTCTTGTTCGCCTTCTTATGCTTCTTACGCAGTACGTTCTTCTCCCCAGGTGTGAGCTCACTCTTCGCCTTGAGCTGCGCCTGCTGAGGTGCGAACACTTCCTCGGGCGCAAGCATCGTCGTCGCAGCTTGTGTTGTCGGGAGGGCAGACTCTATGGTGGCAGTCGAGACGTTGGCAACGGTAGAAATTATTGCCTTAGGCTGAGGAAAGCTTAATCAATAAAGCGTGAGGGGTCCATGAACGAGGAGAACTAACCGCCTTGGGGGTGAAATGAGCATTGCAGAGTGCGTCGAGCTTCGAGCACATCTGCTCCCACAATTTCTCGATCTCGTCGTGCTCCTTCTTAAGCTTGCCGTCGCGATCCTCTCCGGTGACACCACCCGTCTTCGCCGCTGTATACTCATCCTCGTAGATCTCTGCGAGCGACTGCTTCGACTTCGTGTCCTGCAGCTCGAAGAAGCGCGACGGTAGGAATGGCTTGTCGTCGACGGGGCGTTTGCGTACGACGTCGTCGAACTGGTTTGCCGTGATCCGCAGCTTGATGCGCTCCTCGAGGCCCTGGACCGTCTCTTCCGTGATCACGGGCACTGACTTCATGACGCGCTCGAACTCGAGGTCTTCCTCGAGCAGCGCGTTCTGTGGTCGACTCCGCGTCGTCGCCTCGCCCATGAGAGTCCAGTGCTTTTGCGCGACATTCTCGGTCTCGAGCGCAATGATCTCCTCACGAATGGCGGACATGCGCTTCTCGTAGGTAGACAAGCCTGCAGAGAATTTAATGTGACACCGTACCAGTTGGCGAGACAACGTACCTCTGTCTTCCTCCTCGTCCTCCTCATCCGCGAACAGATCGTCTTTCAGTCGCGCGATTGTCTCGCGTGTGGCGTCGTCTTCGTCCTCAGACTGAGAGGCCATCTCGATGTCCTCGTCCTCCTCTCCGTATTCTTGATTCTCCCCCTCGTAGTCGTATCCGATACCTTCCTCGTAATCATCGCCTTCGTCCTCGTCCTCGTCTTCGCTGTCGTCCTCACCCTCCGACATCCCTTCCTCATCTTCAGGGTCGTCTTCACCAAACTCGTACATCTGCGAAAGCGACATGTTCTTGCCCTTCGCCTTGATGCTCTTGACACGAACCTCGTTATGGAAGCGGACGCCGACTTTCTTGGCTTTACCTTCTGCCTTGGAGGTAGCAGGAGCCTTGCCGTTTATCGCGACCTTTGAAGGCGGTGCGAAAAAATCGTTATATAACGGTTCTAAGTAGACATCAGTGGCATTGTAGTCGAATCCGCCAGAGGAAGTACCTTGGTCGTCATCTTCCTGCTCCAAATCATCAACAGAGGCAAACAGGTCGACCTCGTCAAAGTCAGCATCCTCGTCGTCGCTGTCATCCCTGCCAAGCTTTCCCCCCGACGATGCTCGTGCTTCCGCTTCTTCAGTCTCGGCATTGAAAGCGGCAAGATTGAAGAAGCCGTCGTCAAGTTCTGAGTGTCCCTTCCCTTTGCCTTTGCCGCGAGCTCTGCTCCCCTTGAGTGACGAGGCATCGAGCTCAATGTCTCCTTCGCCGTCCGAAGGGTCATGAAGCTCTGCGACGTCTTCACCGTACTCTTCCTCTCCCTCATCTTCTTCATTCTCCTCTTCCTCTTCTTCGTCGTCCGTTTCCTCGCTGTCGTCATCGTCGTCTTGACTGCTCATATTGTCGCTACCTTCCGCGTCCTCAAAATCCATATCATCCATGTCCGCATCTATGTCCATACCATCCCCGCCTCCCATGCCCATGTTGATACCCCGCGTCGTGCGCACCATAGAGCCGGCGTAAGACTCCTCGTCGCTCTCCGGGACTTCGCCCGTTCCCTCCAGGGCAGCCTCCAAAACATCTGTAAGGTTTTGGGCACGGAGCTCTAACTGAGCCCATATCTGGTCTTCCTCCATACTCTCGACAGTGAGCTCTGAAATAGGGGTGTCCTGGAGCTCTGGTACGTCAGGCAGCTTCTGTGGGCCATTGACTTTTTGAGCTTTCGCCTGGGCTCTCGTCTGTGGCGCTTGGGACGGCGAGAGCGAAGCGAGCAGCTCGTTTATTTGGCCGCGAGATTTGGACTCGGTCTGCAAGGCTGAAACAGTGGTACGTTTGGATGTAAGGAACGCATTAAACACTCCAGAACTAACTCACCGAGGTCAAAGACATGCTTTGCTGCTTTCAGCGCGGCCAGCCGAATGACCTCATTTCCGACAGCAAAGGACTCTGGTCTCTCGTCAATACGCAGTGACAGCTCCTGGAGCTCAGGAGGAAGCTCTATTATTTCTTCTGGTTCGACGCTGCTCGAGCGAGAGGAAGAAGACATCGCGAGTGGAGTTGCCTGTTGCAAGCTCAGAAACACCGAACGTGCAGGACTGAAACTTTTTGATCGAGATCACAGCATAGGCGCTTCTTGGTACCTAATCCCGCGCTGTTGCAAGCCTGCTCGGTTAATTCAACTGCATAGACAGCCTCCATTTGCCGCTGTCGCTCATACGGGAGCTTGCAGCTAGTCGTGCGTGCGCTACTGAGACGGCACGTCTCTCATCTCCGGAGGCACAAGAGCAATATTCGACCATGCTGCGACGCACGCTTGACGCGGTAACCGATGTCGCCACACTCAAGTCTCTCAGAAGAGATATTGCAGACACGTATGATCCAGTGGCTGCGTCTGCCGACTGCGCCGCAGGGTCAAACAGCGGTGAGCCCCGGACGTTCTCTCTTCAATAACATACATACCGAACTCTCAATGTGAATTGCAGATGGCGACCCACTCGAGACATTGAAACAGTCCGCGGCGTAAATCAAGGTCGTCGCACGATTTAGACAATGAGAAGACGATTTCAGACAAGAGCAGAATTATTAGAACCCGACGGCGCATGACGGGGGAGGTAAGTGTCGTGAGTCAGAAGCACCACCCATCTGGTATTCAGTCATTATGCCGAACGACGACCATCACTTCGCCTACTCGCCCTCAATGTTTCCACATTGACGTCGGTCCATCATTGAACTTTGTTTCAACGTCGGCCGCCAAAATGCCGCGGCTGCCCAACGGCCCATATATAAACGACGCACAACCTGTCGAATCTCCCAAGCTATTTCCATCCGCACATTCCTTTCCTCCCGACGTCATCTCCTCCAGAGACCTAGCATCATCTCTGCCACAGGAGCCATGCTTCGGAATATCCGCCTCCTTGCATGTGCCCTCTTCCTGGTCCTTACTGTTGCACAAGGTGCTTCCTCGAGTGATGCTGCTAGTAGCTCTGTTTCGGTACATACTCGCAGCTACTATATTGATTATCATGAGCTTACGCCGCTGTTTATAGCCAACCGTGTCCAGTATGCCGACTGAGACGAACACATTCACTTCTTCTACCGGAATTCAGCCGCCTCTGATATCCTCTCCAAGCTCCTTCTCCAGCGTGTTACCCACGATTTCACCCTCCTTAACCTCAACATCTACTGCACCCGGCCAAACGCCAGCGTCCTCCGATATCGAACTGCTCACGTCTCGCCGATTGGACTTCATCGTAGCGGGAGCGGGTAGCCCCTCTAACATCTCCGACTGGTAATTCGCACTGCAGGCATGGAATAGTGGATTAAATTCTGATCGGCGTTCTACAGGCTTTCGACCCTGGGCTCCGATGGCAAATGGCCAGACTCAGAGGTAGATTACACCGCAGGCTGTCCTGCCCGTCGCGCAAATTGGTGAGCGATCAACGCACGCATCCAAATAGTGCGATCACGCTTATTCTATCGACCAGGCCTGCACAAGAACATTGGCAGCGGCTAGGTATCTCGTGATATGTTCTCTGATCGGATCTGTTTGCTAAGCATGCGCCACAGTGACGATGGCAGCTGCCTGGCACGGCGGCCTGTCCGGTGCCGATCAGTGGGTCAATGACTCGGCGTTACTGGCTGCAATCCATTCGGCGATGGATTATTGGTTCGAAAACGACTTTCAAAATCCCTCATGCCTCGGCTCCGGCGGCACAGCCGCGTGTCCTTGTGGGACACCCGGTCTGTGGAACACTAACTGGTTCTCAAACGTGAGTGCATATCCCGCTGGCTAACTTACCTCCGACTGATCATCGCTGTCAAGGTAATACTAATCCCTAATCTTGTCGCTCAAAGTTGTCTGCTTGTCGCCGACAATCTCACGGACACGCAGCACGGAAACTGCACGAACATCACCGGCCGCAGCTATGAAACGTTCTCCAACAACATGCTCAGCGCCGGTATCCTCACAGGAGCCAATCTCCTTGATGTGTCGCGCATCGGCATCGACGACGGGCTTCTGAATTTCAACACGTCCTTGGTCGCCGATGCTTACCGGAGAATTCACGGCGAGGTCGTCGTTGAGAATGCGGTTGCTGCGGATGGCATCCGGGCGGACGGCTCCTTCGGCCAGCACGGCGGCGTGTTATACAACGGCAACTACGGCAAAGACTAGTAAGCTGATGACGACGGCACTAGCTCCTTAAATCTGAGCGACTTTGCCTTTAGCACAAACGACGTCTTGCTCCTCGAGATCGACGCGGGCGATACTCAGTTTGCAGCAGGGCCGGATAATCGGGACGCCTTTGCTACCTTGATGGACGGCAGCCAGTGGATGATATATCGTAACGTCCTGACCGACGTGTTGCATTGGGACTTCGTAAGCTGGCTTTATTTTCTTGAGTTATCTTCTCCATGCTGATGGTTACAGAGCGTTCTAGGTCGTTTTATAAGCTTTCCCGTGGCTGATCAACAGTGAGTCCGCGTGCGTTAGTTTCATGATAGGACTTCTGGATAACACGGACAATCAGAGCCACCGGAAGCATCAACATCAACATCACAGAGGTCCAGCAGTTAGGCGAAGAGTGGGACTCTGACACCTTGATTACGGTCTATGGTCGTCTTGCTTCGCCTTCAAATGACGCAAATGTCGGCGAATTGACCGGGAACAGAATGTTCTTTGCAAACGACTACATGGTGCGTGGTTCGCGGCCATTTAGCTTCTTAGCGAAGAGAGTCATGAATATGTGCAGGTGCAACGGGGTTCTGGCTATGTCACTACCGTGAAGATGTATTCCAATCGCACCAAGAACTCTGAATGTCTCAATGACCAGAACGTGAGTCAAACCGGTTTTTTCCCATGAGCTATTTTGGCTTACAAAATCTGCAGCCGTTCGGCTTTCACCTCTCCGACGGAACGGTGTATACATACATGCAAGGCGATGAGTACGAAGATATCGCGGCTGCATGGGATTGGAATCGTGAGTGATCATATTTGGAGCCTGCGGCGAGTATACAAGCAGGCTCACGCCACCCCAGTCATACCGGGAACATCAGTGGATTATGATGCCACACCACTGTCCTGCAACCAAGTTGAATTTACGGGCCTGAACTCGTTCGTCGGAGGAGTCTCCGACAGCAGCATTGGGATCGCAGCGATGATGTACACGAACCCTGTCACGGAAGCACTTTCGTGGCAGAAAGCCTGGTTCTTCTTGGAAGATGACGTCCAGCACGTGATGATCCCCATCATTACCTCCACACCCAACGCCTCAGTCTTCAGCGTGCTCGACCAGAAGCGCCACAACGGCGACGTCTTCGTCAACGGCGAGCCTTCGTGCGGCCAGACCAACTTCACCTCTCCGATCACCCTCTGGCACGACAGCATGGGCTACTTCTTCTACCCGTCGCCTACTCCGTGGCAGCTCTCGGTCGAGGCGGGCCCGAAGTCGGGCAACTGGAGCGACATCGGCATTTCCACCCAGGGAGTCGAAACGGTGGACCTCTTCGCAGCTTGGATCGACCATGGCGCTTGCGATTCCGGCGTACCGCTCTCTTACAGCGTGTTCCCCGCTGTCTCACAAGACGAGTTCGTCCAGAAGGCGTTGGAGACGCCGTTACAGGTGATACAGAACGACGTCGACATTTCCGCTGTGTACGACCCCGTTCACCGAGTCGCTATGTTCGTATTCTGGGACATCGCAGGGGGCTCGGCCACCTTTTACCCTTCGCCGTTCGAAGCATCGATATCCGTGGCCAGCTCTGCAAACGCCGCAGTCATCTACCGTATCGACTCCCAAAACGTCACGGTCTCGGACCCTTCCCAAACGCTGGTCAGCTTGGACATGACGTTCACAGTTGGAGAATTTGGGAGGAAACCACCACGATGGGGTTCGCAGGAATCCAAGCAGTTATGCTTCCACCTACCCACAGGAGGGATGGCAGGGGATAGCATATCTCAAATATTGTAGTGTTATTTGCCCATAGGCAAGCAACGAGATCCAGATCGGCGATAAGCAGGACCAGGAATTGCAGCGAAATGCCATAAGGATGGAAATGGGAGTAATCATACAAATCAGAAAGGCTGCTCAGCAGTCTGCTCGTACTGAGCAGTGTAACCCTCCTGAGGTTGGTAGGCGGGCTCCTCCGCTGCGGGTGCTGGTGGTGGGACAACAGCGGCAGGTTCGCGCTGCTCGGAGGTGGGTTCAACAACAACCTTGTCGAGAGGAGGCTCGAGGATCTGAACGGAATCAGGAAGGGGCTTGCGGGGGCCAAGCTGACCCTCAGGGTCCCAACCCTTCATGCTATGGAACGAGCAAGTCAGTCCCGATGCTTCCCACAAACAAATGATGACGCACATTTTGACCTTAAGACCAAGGACACCCTGGCGAAGCATGACGTGCCTGACGGCGTAGTCAACGAACTCTTCAGCGGGCTGACCGGAGTGGATCATGAAGCCGTCGGTGAACTTCATGGACTTGGCACGGGCAGCACGGAGCTTGCCAGAGACAACAACCTCGCAACCCTTGGCACTAGACTCCATGACGAAGCGAAGGACACCATAGCAAGCACTATAACAGCGATTAGATAAATTTCCTCGGAGATTTCGAATTCGCCACATACCGGCGAACAGCAAGACCACCAAGGAGCTTATAACGGAGAGACTCGCACTGAGCAATGGCAGAGAGACCACGGTACTGAACCTTTTCAGCGTAGAGTTCGAGGGAGTTTTCGGGGAACTTGAAACGCTTCTGCACAAGGGCAGTAAGCTCACGGATGCGGCGACCCTTCTCACCGAGGACCTCCTGGGTGTGGGTGGCGCGGATGATGATCTAGTAACGGCGTTCAGTCTTTCCGAAGTGCATCCGGGGATGTTATACGCACTTCAGTGCGGGCGTGTGTCACACGGACATCGCAACCAGAGTAACCCTCTTCAGAAAGCTCGCGAGCCAGGAAATCATTGAGTTCAGCCTTGAAGACACCATCAGCGACGAACTTGCGCTTCTTGCTAATCTGGCCAGACATCTTGAGGGAATGCGGCTGGGGAAACGAGAGATGGAAATGTAAGCCAAGGGGAAGTCATCCAAGATGGCTGGTACGCATCCAGCCCATCCATCGATCCCGTTCAGTTTCGACATCGACATGGGGTTTCCTGGATTGCCCTGGAGCATGATACCGACCTTTTTGGACTTGAGGGTTGCTTGAGGGAAGCTGGCGGTCGCTGTGGCGGGCGGTGGACACAGGCCTAAGGGCGTTCACACGCTTCCGCTGGGCGCTTGTATAACGCCATAAATTTGCCGACTTTCTTCTCGCTATCTTCACTCCCAATATGTAATCGTCATGATTGCAACATGTCTGATCTCGACGAGCAGATAGCGTCTCGAGTCTCAGTGAGTGTTGGTCATTATACTTGCTGGCATTTTGGTCTGCTTTCTTTCGCGTTGATGAGTGTTGTGTATTACAACCACCACTGGCACCTCTTAGTCGACCCGATACTTCGTTCGTGAGCGTGCTCCGAGTTGTATCGCTGACATAAATGACTTTCTGAGCTTTCACATTCGTCGTTCTCTCTCTCGGCACGCATTATATGACTCTAATCTTCCACGACGCAGGTCATATGGCTCCGATTGTGTATGGGTTTTGTCCGTCAAAGCGAAGGCGACGTGTGACAACCGGATTGCTATCTCTCACGTTATCTTTCCTGTACACGAGCTGTATATAAGGTAGCGAACATGCACCCTAGTACCCAACTGTCCGCACAGAGTGTCCTGCTCAAACGATGTCTGCTCGTTGGCAAGAACTCGTTGCTGACAAGAAGCTGCGTCAGACCGCGTCTATCCCTAAGATATGGCTCATCACCTCTCCTCCCGATTCCGTTCTCGACGTCAGAAAGGTTCCCGACGAGTGTGGCTTGCTCACTCCGAAGGAGGTCGTTATTACGAACACGATCGAAGTGCAGACCATCCTTGCGAACCTGGCCACCGGCAAATGGACGTCGCTCGAGGTCACACTCGCCTTCTACAAGCGCGCTATTATCGCACAGCAGCTGGCAAGCCTTGTGAACGCGTCGTCCTTCCAGTTGTTTAACGATCTTTTGTATAGGTAAACTGTCTGACAGAAATCTTTGTCGAACGCGCGCTGGCTCGGGCCAAGGAGCTTGATGAACAGCTCAAGGCTACTGGGAAATTAGCCGGTCCTCTTCACGGGTTGCCTATCTCGCTCAAGGACCAGCTCTCCATGAAGGGACTAGAGACGACGATGGGTAAGCGCTTTCTTGCGCCGGGAGAAGTCTTACATGCTAACATTATACCGGAGGATATGTCTCCTGGATCGGCAAGTATGCGGAGAGGGATTCAGTCTTGGTTCGGATCCTCTACGAAGCTGGAGCCGTCCCCTTCGTCCGTACCAACGTTCCACAAACACTCATGGTATGACCTACATCTGCATCTACCTCTGTCTGGCAGATTAACCAGTCTCACATTGCAGTGGTCTGAAACGTACAACGAAGTGTTCGGCAGGACCTTGAACCCGGCGAACAGGAAGCTCACCTCTGGAGGCTCATCCGGAGGCGAAGGCGCTCTTATGGGCATGAAAGGTAGCCCCTTGGGCGTGGGCTCCGATATTGGAGGGTGCGTCGTGGAATTATTCGCGCTTCCTAGATGCAACTACGCTGACATACTCATGTTAGCTCCATCCGTATCCCTGCCGGATACAATGGACTTTATGGCCTCCGACCTTCATATGGCCGCTTACCCTATGCGGGAGCTACGAACTCCCTAGAGGGCCAGGATTCCATACCATCCGTCCTGGGCCCGTTGTCGAATTCGATGTCGGGAATCAAAATCTTCATGCAGGCCGTGAGCGCATCTAAGCCATGGCTGAAGGATTCACTCGCACGATATGCGCCATGGGACGCGTCTCAGTACACTCTCGCAGAGCACGGCGGTGGCAAGAAGCTTTGTTTTGCGATCATGTGGAATGACGGACAGACTATCCCTCACCCCCCGGTCATTCGTGCACTCGAAATGACCAAAAACGCCGTACTTGCTGCCGGGCATAAAGGTGGGTTGTTGAGTTGTCGAAGTTGAATATAATGGGAACAAGGTCGCTGGGCATGAGTTAGTCGTTGATTGGCAGCCGTACAAGCACAAGGAAATCTGTGGCGCGGTGGTACGTTGCCTCACTTCCTTGAAATGTAGACATCTTTACCAATTCTCTTCCAGTATAGCATCTGGACCGCAGGGTCCAAGGAAGATTATGCTTCCGTCGCAGATATCACAGGCGAGCCTGTCTTAAATACCATGGAGATTGAGGCCGAACACGGCAGTGCTCCGAACTCCTTCCTACCTCATCAGGAAAACGTGACTGCCCACAAACTCTGGCAGACCCAGAAGGCCAGGACCGCATGGCGCCAGGAGTATCTCGAGCATTGGAACGAGACTGGCAGGGTAACTGGTACTGGCAGGCCAGTAGACGCCGTAATCTCACCCATATCGCCCTACGGAGGCGCACCTCCTCACGGCAAGAGCCGGTGAGTTTTCCATGTGTATTGAACCTCCACTCCACTTATCAGGCTCTAGTAATGTGGATTACACTGCGGTATGGAACGGTCTCGACTACTCCGCATGCGTCTTTCCCACTACTAGGGTTCATGCTACCCTCGACATGAAGAAGTCTCCCCACCAGTTCCTCAACGAACGGGACAAGACTCACTACAGCATGTGTATGCTCCTTTCCCTTCGTATGATGTTAGAACCGCTGTAGCTTTGTTCTCCAGGGGACCCCCAAACGTTCTGGAACGCGCCTGTTAGCCTTCAACTCGTCGGACGTTGCCAGGAGGAAGAGGCAGTCATCGCTATGACCGAGATCGTCGATGCCGCGCTGAAGAAGCAACAGGTGTCTAAGCTTTGAAGCAAATATACGCGCATTGAAGGCCAGATAAAGCAATGGATGTATTTTTCCGTGATTACGGATTGTGTAACACAAACGAAGGCAATGTGAAGGATATTTGTATTGGAGAGCTCTTTAAGTCGTTAATATCAAGGATGAGCTTCGTTAACGAAGATCGCAGCACCGCCCATTCCGCTGCCAATACACATGCTCGTGCAAAGCAGCTTGGCGTTTCGACGACGCAGCTCTGCCAGTCCGGTAACGACTTGTCGGACGCCGGCTGTCGGAGGAGAACGTTACGTGATGATCAGGAATACAGGAACGGAAGCACGTACTCATTCCGAGAGGATGTGTGAGAGCAATGGAGCCCCCGCTGTGGAGACATGTCAGAAGGGCATCACGCTACTTCAAGAAGATAAGCCAACACACTTCGGATTGATTTTGTCGATCGGGATCTGGAGCTGCTCAACGCAATACGCGAATTGTGAGGCGAAAGCCTCGTTGATCTGGCGGCAAGTTTAGCTATACCGTCGGCGTGAGTATGATGGAGTGCTTTACCTCGAAAACGTCGATGTCCTCCTTCGTCAGGCCAGTTTCTCCAAGGATTTTGGGTACAGCAGCAACTGGTGATATCCCCATGTACTTTGGCTCAACACCTGATAAATGACAATCAGCTGTTCGCTCCGCATGATCATCAAGGCCACAGCCTACCAACAAAGGTGCTCGCCACGTATTTGCCCAAGATAGGGAGGCCTGCAACCTGTGCGTGTCGCCGGGTTGTCAGGATGCAGAGAGCGGCACCATCGCCCACACCGCTGGCATTACCGGCCGTGGTGCGCCTGTCGCCCCAGTCGAAGACTGGCTTCAGCTGGGCAAGCGACTCAGATGTGACGCCTTTGCGAACAGTATCGTCTACCGACACCACTGTGCCCCGGAGTTCGATGGGAATAATCTCCTCCACAAAGATGCCCTTTTCGATAGACTGGATTGGGGCGGTTAGACGTTTACGTACGCCAACAATATAATCACAGCACCTTTTCCGCCCGGGTGTGCGAAATCAGCGCATACTGGTCTTGTTTTTCTCGCGAAACGTCGTATGCAGTCGCGACCATCTCGGAAGTCCACCCCATGGGCTAATATAACAGGGTAAGACACTTAGGCCTGTACACGTCCCGTTTCTCTGATAGACTGTACCTGGATACAATCCTCAGCCTGCTGATTCGTTCGAACGGCATCTACTACTTCTGGTGTAGGTCGAGGACTACGACAAATCAGTAGTCCGTCCATAATATGGAAATGACAGACTCACTTCAAAGTCATACTCTCGACCCCAACAGCCAATCCAAGAGATATGGACCCAGTCCGCACGGCATGGGCAATGCTCCTGATAGACTGCAGCCCAGAAGCACAGAGACGATTCACGGTAGATACTGGCACTTCAGCTGGGATGCCTGCTGCCAGAGCGGCCGCTCGCGAGATATACAAAGGCGAGGGCGGGTGGCAGGTCCCTAAGTATTGGTGCTCGCGTAAGTAGGTCCATTTAGAGCGACTTAGCCGCACCGCTCACCAATACAGATGTCATCTATTTTCGTCGGGTCGAGCTTGGTCTTCTCAAGTGTGGCCTGAAGTATGGAGCTCTAGCTTTCTCAAACACTCTATTCATGAGAACTAACCTTGAACAGAGCATGCAAAAGTTCGTCTACAGGCGTGTCCTTCAGCTGCCCTTTCCTAGCCCTGCCCATGGCCGTCCGCTTCGCAAATGTAATGACCACATCGTCAGGATTCTGTTGCAGAACAGCAGCCAGCCCGCGGGCAGCTGTAGACGCCGCTCTGGTGAACACGAGAGGCCTTCGTGTGAAACGGGGTACAAGTCTGGACAGCATGGTGGTTGACTCTCAAGTGACTTGAGCCGCACGTCTATGCGAGCGAACCGGCGTTGTATGGGAATGGTCATGGGAGACTTCGACGCGTCTTACATAGCATCTCAGTTCAGGAAGACCCGGTCGGTTGATGTCAGGCATTGCATTCACGTAAGGAACACAAGTTCCGGCCAGAAAATATTAATAATAGGCACATGAGCTCTCCTTATGTTCTACGTGTACAACCTGACTGTTGCAAACTGCAAGCAGTAGCTGTATGTATGCCGAGGTATGTGGAAGAGTCCGAGTGCAGAATCCCTTACGAAGACTCTTGCCGCGTATCTGAACGACAGATACCTCGCTTGGCATCGGCCGGAGTGAGTTGGTATCTGAAGAGAGGGGCACGCAGGCTAGAAAGAGTGGCTATTAGCTGTCCGAGGAACTAAGCGAACGGCTTTAAGACACACTTCAGTCTACCGAAACGACTCCGTGCGACGACTGGTTCTCTTTCCGCGCCTTAGCCTTCCATTCGCGGCTCAAGTTGGAGTAGCAAGTCGGACACAAATGGTGCGCAAGTTTTGCTGATCCACATCCCGGGCAGTGTACCAAGTCTATGCAAATCCGTTCTTAGTGGTACCGCAAGATACAAAAACAGTGCTACTTACTTTCTTTGTCCTTCAAGCCCTTGTTTGCGCTGCGCATGGATTTCCGCGAGTGAGAAGTCTTCTTCTTTGGCACGGCCAGAAGGAAGGGTGGGATGAGTTCACGCAGTGTCTCCCATGTCGATCCAAGCGACCAGCCAAACGCGACCGGAGCAGCCGACGCAGAGGCCACAAAAAGCGGTCTTGAGAATTGAAGCCTCAGCGCAGGAAACAGTGTCCGCGCTGTCGGGAGAGCGAGAGCGGCCATGGTGGTGAACGTGAAAGTCCGCCCAGCGTCTGTGCGCACTATCCGTATCAGGCGCTTCGGACTCTACGCGAACCACCACCGTCGCAGACCATGTTTCGTCTATCGCGTCCGCTCTTTAATCAAGTCCTCAAGACGACGACGGGAATCACAGGCCTTCATGTCCACGAGAACCCGCTTCCCGCACTTACAAAGACATATGAGACCACCCTCTTCACGTTGTCCACCTTCCCGGCAACGTCCGTGTACCGCCAAGGCGTGGAAGCCCTCACACAGAGGAAGCTCAACATCGTTAAGCACGCGAATGGAGATATCGCTGCAGTAGAGAAGCAGCTTGACGAGGGTCACATTGAGGAGTCTTTGGATATTGCTGAGGACGAGCTGAACTTGGTCCAGAAGATGGCTGAGTGGAAGGCGTGCGTCCTATTGCATCTCTCAATGTCATGTTCGCTCACCAGTGCACTTTAGTTGGGAGCCACTAGAGGAGAAACCCCCAGTGGGCCAATGGGAATACCCTGGCAGGATTGCGACCGCGGAGACATCATCATGAATTCCTTGTATGTTCTCGCAGGATATACCACTCAAACCGTCGTATCATGTTAGAGAGCAAATCAGAGCTCAGTGAATAACCATATGAAGCCAGTCTCATGCCGCGGTTTACGCTTGGTTATGTTTCTGTATATCAGCATGCAGCTGAGACGTATGAGTCTCAAATGGTCCAGGCATTGCGCAGAAGCTGGTGCACTCGTCCTCTTACATGCCATCGCTTGATGGCATATATTTGTGAGTTCAAAAGTATTCCAATTTTTTTGTGCGACATGTTTGCTAAATGATGCTCGGAATACTTCCGTTCTGATCGCAGGAAGAGCTCGCACTTGATCATAGCAATCGTACATGCACCCCATAAGGCGGAACATTCTTGCTACTTATACAGCATGCTCAGTGCTAAGCATGGCTCGTGTACTTGCTACATTGTGCCAAGGAAAGCCTCAAATTGCAGCAAGCCCGTATCATCTATCCAACTCAAGTTTGTTGGTTAAATTGCTATACATATGCACGCCTAGAGAGAAAAAATAGCGAATGATACAGGTGTTGGTGAGATAAACAGAAATTGATTTGGAAGACTGCCAAAACTATTGGTGCAGTGGATTGGGCCTTCGCTGACGCGATTTTAGAGGCTCACTACCCCCACGAAGGGAGGGGGCGAAATGGGTTGTGAGGGAGAATAAATTTGACAGCTTCCAGCATTGAATACCAACGGTCGCGGCCACGGAGGCCACGTACGTGTGCACCGAAGGGGGCGAGAACTCATCTGTGAAGCTCCACTTTGCCGGAACGTGTGTATGTAGGCAGCTCAGAGTGTCCTCGAGGAATACGTCCTTAGGGTCACCCAACGAGCTCTCCTTCCGCTCGGGGTCCTCTCCGCACACAGTTGTCCAAGATGTGGTACTGTCTTCCTCGACGTAGGTGGCATCCGAGAAGCTGTCGCAGACGGACTCGCCATCAGTTTCGTATGCCGCGATGTAGCCCAAGAACGGCTCCTCGTCCCATGAGTATGAACGCTCTTCTCCCCGCAACAAGGGTGGGTCTCGCAAGGACAGCGAAGTGATTCCTTCGCAGATATCTTCAACGGTTTCGGAGGGGTGTTGAATAGATGTTAGGGGGGTGGTTTCATGGTCTTGGAGGGAAAGTCGTGCCACCATGGCGCACAGCTCGTCTATGGCTCGAGAGAAAGGGACCGAGGATTGGATAACCAACAACTCCGTGGGCTTCGTTGTTGGACATAAGGCAAGTATCCATGTATCGAGTCCGCCCAACGGTGATATGAGGCAGACAGGGGCATTGCCCCCGGAGATCGAGTGGGGGGAATGCAGCAGCACTCGCTGGTCATCTCCAGTCGAGCTATTATCGAATTTAAGTGCGGAAGACAGGTCTCGCCACCCTCCGCGTGAGGTCGTCTGCATGCGAGAGGCGAGTTCCTGCAGCAGATGTCACCGATCATGTCAATAATCGAATACGTAGAAAGGCTCACGACTTGCCTTCCTATGATGGAAAACCGCTGCACTCTCCAGATACTCTGCTACCTCTTCTTCACAACTAAGAGATACGATTTCGCATATGTTGTCGTTTATCAACAGATTGGAGCGCTTTGCAGGACCAGCCCTCGGGGGACGTGTGGCCAGCCCGTAGCCCGCCATAGATATAGACAGCGCCGTATCAAGTGGCTAGGTTTCTCAGTATCTCAGACAGCGAGGTAAACGACATAGAGTGCGGTGGAAAGAGAGGAGACGTAGGCGAGACTGGAGTAAGAGGTAGATGTTGCGGCAGGTTCAAATAAAGTAGGTGACTGCCCGATCGGGTAGCGTATAGGCTATTGACTGAATGGATATCCGCTCCTCGCGAAAACGCATTCGGTACTCCCGAGCTGCTGCAGTTCCTGCCTCCACGGATTGCATCCGGAGTGCCACAGCGATCCCGGGAGAGCCGGAGGAAAGCGCACCGAGGACGAGTACGCGGAAGACTCCAAATAGAGACTCGAGCCACTGGATACTGAGGAGGCAGAAGCTGGAGCTCAAAGCGCCATATCCAGCCATAATTGCATGAAGACGAAGTTTCCACGGCATTGCAGATACCGGGTTTCATTGAATGAAAATATGCAGACAACTACTGGAATGCGTCGCAAAAGGCAGTTAATCGTACATCTGCGAACAAAAACGATATTTGCTCACGTCTACGATGCTTTTTTCTGGATCTCCTGCCATCTTTCTCTTGTCAGCCCGCGTGAGCGGACCTTCCAGCCAAATAGCCCTATACTCCTAAGCCCTTTCTCAACGATGAAGCCGCACTTGGTGAAAGCAGCCTCCTTCCACCGATCGAGGTCAGAGTCAATCCCTTTGATGACCTTCACCTTATGATCTTCGGTAAATGCTTGGGATACCGCAAAGTGCAATAAGTCCTCTTGTGCCAGGGCTGCGCGATATTCTTCCATAACGTAGAAGTGGCGGATAGTGGCCACTTGGGAGGTTCCCTTCTTGCTGAACTGTTTCTTGATAGCATTGTTTTGGGCTGGTGTACCGTTCGTGGAGAAGGTCTTGTCCAAGGCTGCGTCCAAAGAAGCGTCCAGTGCAAGCAGGCCCACAAATTTACTGCCGTACTCAAAGATCCAGATACCAGAAGATGGTGATCTCGAGTAGTAGGCTTGAAGGTCGATCATGTCTTGCCGGTGCAGGACTTGCTGCGCCTCGTCCTCAAAGGATGGACGGTTTTGCCTACGACCGAGCACTCAGAAACAAATTTTCTTCAGTCCAAGATGAGGAGAAACGTACAAGTCAACGATGAACATAAGGGGGACCAAAAATGCAGCAAAAGCGGGGAGGGGCTTCAGATACGTCCACCAAGGCAGTGTCGGGTTCGGCCACCATTTCAAGTACTGAACAAGGACAGCAGCCAACGCTGCCCAGACAGCCAGAAAGATAGGATGTATGTACGCTATTCCACGTCAGTATTAGACGACCACATCGTGAATGAAGCACTTACACCTCCGGTTTGCTACTGCGAGGCCTTCCATCTGAGCTTTGCCCACAGTGAAGCGAAACAGCTTCTCATCGGCATCGCCAGGTTGGAAGGGGCGAATTTTTGCAGTCTTGTCGGCCATGGCCCTTGCCGGGGAGAGTTGGCGATCACAAGAGAGGACAAGATTGAAGTCGAACGGTTTGCGTTCCCATTGTGGTGTGGTGGTAGACAACGACGCACGTTGGACTTGCTCGCAGGCGCCGGTGCCTGGAATGAGAATCTCTGTGCCAACTGGCTTGCTGCAGTCTGCTACTGACTTACCGCACACGCTTGTGTCTCGATATTCTGGACTGTGCCGGATTTATTGTATGCCATATCTATCACCCGGACTGCGCGCTTTCGAGCCAGTTACGTGAAGAATTGAGGGAACCGCCTTGCCTCGTGTTCGTTCACATATTCCATTCGGTCACTTCTGTCGGCTTGCAGACTATCTTTGCATCGTATCTCTGCGACCTGCGCTGTCTCTTGTCACACTGAAAGACTCGGGATGAACCCCTACCATTCTCCACAGCCTGGAAATCCTGCATCCCTCGGCATCAGTTCCCCTCGTTCACTTCGCCCTCGCGAGCAGCTGCACGCTTCAGCACCTCGATACCACCCCTCTATTCCTCAGGCACTATACTCACCTAGTCATGTCCCAGAGTCGGTAGCAGACCGCGATCAGGAGGCGCATTACCATGATCCACCGGCTCTGCACGAAGAGGAAACTTCCATGGAGGGTACACCAGACTCTCGAGGCAGGTTCATGGGTGGTCTTGTGAATCGTCTCAGAAGAATCTCCGGCGCTTTTTCGAAACATCATTCTCGAGAGTCGTTGTATTCAGAGTATCTCGCGGAAGCACAGGCAATGGTCTCGCAGGATGGCCGCTTCCCTACTCGAGGTGAGTCTCTAGGTAGGCACCCTCGTGTCGCCTGACCGACGCTGTATGCCACAGTCACTTCACAGGCCCTGTCGGAGATCCCAGAGACCAGTGCCGAGTTGGATTCGGAGCCTCAGCCCACCGACGACGGTGACGACGCGAGAACTATGTACCCGAGTCGTTTCGAAATAGTCAGATCGGACGGCACCCCGACGTACATGGACTCTGAAGCAAGCTCCGAGCATTCCAAAGCCGAATCTATCCATATTCCGCTTCCTCCCCCGGACACCTGGGAATACTACCGAGTGCTCATCATCATCTTTTTCCTTCGCATCTGGCGGCTTCCCTGGTCGTCCCACAGAATCGTTAGAGACTACGTCCCCGCGAGAGACGGGAGAGCTCGGAAAGCCGGGCACCAAAAGGTCGTGGAGTCGTGGTATAAGCCGAAGAATCGCAAGGATGACATGGAAAAACCGAACATCTCCCCTCCTCATCTGCTCATTGTACCTGCCACACCGCAGCCGGGCAGCATTCTGTCCGGGGCATACTCCTCCGCGCTCCCCCAGCCTGTTGTTATCCCTTCACCCTACTCCGAAGCTACAACTGCAATACGTCCTATGCGTACCCCGGGGACGGTCACTAGCGCGGGTATGAATCTACCATCACCCGGGATGTCGTCACATGGCCAGGGCTATCAGTCGGTACGGTATAGCTGGTACTCCAGCTCTCCTCAGCATTACCCCTGGCAATATCCTTTCCAGTCCTCCTTCACGTCACCGCAGACATACATAGACACTCCAGCGTCGGGTTATCTCTCACCACGCTAAAGTTCAGGCATACTGTCGAGTAGTACTAGCTTAGCACCAGTACTTGGCACCTATGCTACCGCCCAAAGATTTAGTCTTCGCATCGCCAGGGGTATTCGCTTACTCTGCTACGTCAGGACTAGTACTGTTAACGATACCATAATGATCTCCATGAGCGTCATACTGTAAGGAATACTACAGTACGCACGGTACTTGTCTTCGTTTCTCGCGCGGCTCGGGATGACCCGCGCCACAAAGGCGGGCGTCTTGCATGTTATCATCGATCGGATAGCGCCCGACTGCGGCTCTCAGACGTACAAGATGTTGATCACCAAGAGCTTTCACGACGTTCCGACCAAACTCGATGCAAACGGCCGACCCGTCAGGATCTTTGTCATTGCTCCCAACGCACCGGGATACCCCAACGCCAAGTTTCCAGGCGAGTACCACCATCGGTATGAACTCCACCCCTCATTACACTGAACATCGCCCTCTCTGTTCAGGCGTTGTTGTCTTTAGGTTAGCTTTATTAGACGCTGAATAAGCACTATAAACTGTGTAACCTCTTTGCATAGCGAGATTTACCAGGTCACCGGTCCAGTCGAGAGGTTCGCAGGCCAAATCGCAAGCCAAGGCTTTGTGGTCGGCACGTGCTTTATGATACCAAAGACAATAGCATATTCTGATATAGATTATACCAGCATGTCCCTCAACGTATCACGAGTTTGAGGGACCTGAGCCCATCCCGTACGACACCGAAGGTCAGCCAGCCTCCTGGCTTCTATCTCGGCTGCATGCTGAAGCATTGAATCAGGCACTGATCGCGGCAACCAGTACAAGGTTCGAAATGCCATAACCGCTGCTCTGTTGTTCACTCATCGTTATCTTTCCACAGATTGAGAAGGAGCTCGCAGCATACGATGAAGTGGGCTTCTTTAGTCTCATATCTAGTACATCTACTCATGTGCCGTCAGGACGCCACCCTAGCCATTGATCTTTTGTGCTCACTCAAGAACTGCAACGGTCGTATTGCAGGTTGGTATACTATGACCCCTTCCGACTGCATCATGCTCAATCTCGATGTTCTGCAGCCACTGGCATGTGCCTCGGCGGACACTTGGTGAGTTGACACGACACTGTTGTGCTCATAGCTTACTAACCGTGTCATCTGTCAGGCCTTCCGTGTAAGCTCTAATGTCTGCGCTCATGTATTTGCTGGCTCATATACACGGTGGTCAGGCCGCTTTCGACCCTCGCGTCCTGTCTTCTGTCTGTTTCTTCGCAACGGACGTTCACTCTGCGACGCTAGGCAAGGGCAAGAACGACGACTCGCTCGCGCGAGTGCGCAAGGGCGACCTGACCAACAAGGGTGAACTAATGGTAGGTCTCTCTAATGCGCATGATCTGCCAGGTGAAGCTAAGGCGCATACACGCAGATGATATTCGGCAAGCAGGTAAGTATCTTTCATCGTAAGAGGTGTACGATCTGGAACGACTCTTCTTCAGGACACGCACGTTCCACGTGAGGGTAGAGATTTGATTCGAAAAACTCTGGAAGATGCCAATGTCCCTGTCTCGGTACGAGTCGCAATCACCTCATCTTAGAGTCCTCGCTGATGTCATCGCAGTTCTTGGAGGTGCAAGCCCAGCACGCTTTCATTCGCGACGAATCATCCAAGGGCCGCTGGGACGCTGCTCTCACCCGTTCGTTATTCACTTTCATGATGGAGGTCTTTGAGCGCACGGTGAGCAGGGACCTAGGAGAGCGGGTCTCCGGGAACGACAAGATTGAGCATGTTTGCTGAAGTCTAGACGTATCATTGTGACAACAGGCGGTGATCATAACAATATATGAATATTCTAGCGAAGGTTCAAGCATTCGGCCCCAGCGCCGGTGCAATGGCATCGAGGGCTTCAATGCTGCTGTCCACCACTGGCACTGCGTACGCTGTAGAATCCAAATTTAAAAAAAAAACAAGAGTGGACAGCACCGCAGTGGGAGTCTACGACATTCCCGAAGGCTTGAAGACGGCTGCGCAATCCGCAGCTATGGCACCGACTAAGAAGCCGAGCGTGACGACCCAGACTTCATTTCACGGTCTGGTAAAAACCACCCACCGTGACATGGTATCAGCAACGCAGGAGCTTGTAGACCCACGGTATCAGGAGCATATCAACCTCGAGGACGGAATAGCACTTGCATCCTAGAGGCCACACGTCGGCTCGATCTTGAGCCGTCCATGTTCTCCAAAGCATCCGCGGATGCCTGCATGACCGTTACGATTTCTGTTGTGATGCTTCCCAGAAGTGGTTTTTCCTAACCGCTGTATATTAGCATCGGTGTTTTCCTGGAGCATATGTCATCTGTTCGCTGTTGCCTGCGCCACGCCAGGGGCCGCGCGCATTGCCCCGAACTTGGACGTAGCTTCAATCTTGCATGCGTTTACATGGGATCCAGAGGTCATACAGAACCACCGTTTTGACTGTCTCCCTCACTGCAATGTATTGGAGAACATTCGTGATTCCGTCGATGGGCTGTTACAATGAGACCTGACACTCAGACACATAACTTGAGACCCTCCAGTCAGTGAAATTGGAAGAAGCCTCGTACAACAGAGTCACGCCGAGTAAAAATTAGCGATACAAACGATGCAACTTCTCATTTGGGACAAGAAAACTACCGCTATACAGGGACATTCGGCTGACGATCTCGCTGATCGTCAGCCGGCGAATCGTTATCGTAGATACAACAGTGGGAATGGGATAGTTACACAACTTGCGTCGAGGTACCATGCATGATGAGAGCGAAAGAGAAACAAAGGTAGCAGAGACGGAGAAAATGGTGATACATCTAAGCAGTTTACTTCTTCTTGCCCGCCTTCTCTGCAGACTTGGTGACTATAATAAAAACGCTAGTGAGCGATGCAGTGAGAGGAAGGAAAATAACCACGTACCCTTGCCACCGCTAGCCTTGTCAGTCTTGTCAACCGATTTGATGATACCGACAGCCACAGTCTGCCTCATGTCACGGACGGCGAAACGACCGAGTGGCGGGTAGACGTTGTACTCCTCAACGCACATGGGCTTGCTGGGAACGAGCTTGGCAATGCAGGCGTCGCCCGACTTGACGAACTTAGGAGCATCCTCGATCGACTTACCCGTACGACGGTCAATCTTCTCGATGAGCTCGGCGAACTTGCATGCAATGTGCGCAGTGTGGCAATCAAGGACAGGGGCATAGCCAGCACCGATCTGACCGGGATGGTTCAGAATGATGACCTGCGCATTGAAGGAAGCAGCCTCCTTGGCGGGATCATTCTTGGAGTCGGAGGCGACGTTACCACGACGGATATCCTTGACGGAGACGTTCTTGACATTGAAACCGACGTTGTCACCGGGCTGACCCTGTTCGAGTTGCTCGTGGTGCATCTCGACGGACTTGACTTCGGTGGTCACACCGACAGGGGCAAAGGTGACGACCATACCAGCCTTAATGATACCGGTCTCGACACGACCGACGGGCACCGTGCCGATACCGCCGATCTTGTAGACGTCCTGGAGGGGGAGACGGAGGGGCTTGTCGGAGGGGCGGACGGGGGGCTCGATGGCGTCGATGGAGTCGAGGAGGGTTTTGCCCTTGACAACACCGGCCTTGGTCTCCTTGGTCCAGCCCTTGTACCATGGCATGCTGGGTGAGGTAGTCAGTACACGAGCATGTGTAATAACATCGGGAAGATTTACTTTTCGGACTCCTCCAACATGTTGTCACCGTGCCAGCCAGAGATGGGGACGAAGGCGACGGATTTGGGGTTGTAGCCAACCTTCTTAATGAAGGTTGAGGTCTCCTTCACAATTTCGTTGAAGCGGTCCTCGCTCCACTGAGGGCTTTGTGAGTGACCGTATTGAAATTGAGGGGAAATGAACTTCATACCTTGGTGGTGTCCATCTTATTGACGGCAACGATGAGCTGCCTGACACCGAGGGTGAAAGCAAGGAGAGCGTGCTCGCGTGTCTGGCCATCCTTGGAGATACCAGCCTCGAACTCGCCGGTACCACCAGCGATGATGAGGATAGCGCAATCAGCCTGGGAGGTACCAGTGATCATGTTCTTGATGAAGTCACGGTGACCAGGGGCATCAATGACCTATTAAAACAATATATGAAAGGATGCCAAAGTGCAATTAGCGGTGTACGTACAGTGACCATGAACTTGGGGGTCTCGAACTTCCAGAGGGCGATATCAATGGTGATGCCACGCTCACGCTCGGCCTTGAGCTTGTCAAGCACCCAGGCTATTCACAAAGACCTCGTTGAGTTCGAAGTTCTCAAAAAGGGGGCCGAACATCACGCACCGTACTTGAAGGAGCCTTTGCCAAGCTCAGCAGCCTCTTTCTCGAACTTCTCAATGGTACGCTTGTCGATACCACCGCACTTATAGATCAAGTGACCGGTAGTGGTCGACTTGCCAGAATCGACGTGACCGATAACGACGACATTAACGTGGGTCTTCTCCTTTCCCATTTTTTGAAGCTAGAGCAAGGGGTTAAACTGTCAGCGCACCGTAGAACGAATATCGTGCGCATCCTAGTCCGCATAATTGCTTGAGAGTAGTGAACTTTAAATCCATCCCCCCTGCCCATGACAATTTCGAGCCCCTTGCAGGCTGTATGCGGCAAGAACAGCGCAGAAAAAGCGTCAGCGAAGATGAGACAACTTACTTGAAAGCGTGAAAGAGAGTAAAGGAAGAGGACGAGAGAGAGGCGGTAGCAGGTGAAGGTAAAGAAGAAACGTCGAGGGTTGAGGGGATTCGAGCTTATATGGGCTTTCGAGACACTAAATTTTTGGTGATCGATAGATCAGATTACAAGAAAGCGCCCAAAGGGCAACGCCGGCCGGACACCGCACTATCCGGCGCCCTTCCGGAATACAAGCCAGTTTGCCTTTCTAGGAAATGCTCGACTTGATTCTGTTAAGCTAAGTCTCGACTTGAGAATAAATTATCATTTGTTCAGGATACTCTACAGATAGCTGTATGCTGTCAGATCATTAGCGAAGTAATGTAACGCAATTGCTAGGGACTTCGGCTACATGAGAGGGAGCTCCAGATGCGATGAGATAACATGAATGGCATTACAGAAGGGACGCATAAGGAAAGAGGTACGGGACGGATGAAGTGAGATAAAGACAACGAGGCTGCACACACACGTCTAAGGTCGCGCGGCATCAGATAGATGAGCCTGAAGGGAGGGATGCAGTCAGCTGAAATGTAGCTGTGGTGGGGGGAAGGTGGGGGCTGTGTCCTCACCCAGTTGTCTCTGCACAAGCCAAAGATCTCAGTCACGACCATCCCTCGCGACCACTCAAGAAGCGACATTGCAGAATCTTCTCAAAGGTAGGTCGCGCGTTGACTTCAAGCTGAAGGCACGCGCGTACGAGCGCCGCTGCATCTCCAAGCGCGCCACCTCCGTCAGGTTCTTCGCCCTCGCTCTCTTTCCCTTCCGCACAACGTTCGTCCAATGCCATCGAGGCATTCGAAAACGGTGACTCCAGACCTTCTTGGGCTTCGGCCGCCGTTGTGAATGGACATTCACCTACGAGCATGACATACGCCACAACACCAAATGCCCAAACGTCCTGTTCCTTGCCCTGGTAGCGCTCACCGCGCAGAATCTCAGGGCCGGCATAGTCCAGGCTGAGGGCGACGTCAGGATCGTCTCGCGCAAGTAGTTGCCATTGAACTACTTACGTGCCACTGAACGTATCCCATCCCCCTTTCTTCACCAAGCCCGAACTGCCAAAATCAATCAGAACGCACTTCCCGGCGGGCCCCAAAACGACGTTTTCATCCTTGATGTCTCGATGAACTAAGTACATGTGAGCTTTAGCTTGCATCATACAGTCAATCGACGCACCTATGCCCTTGCCGTGGAGAAAACAAAGTGCATCCGCAATCTGGCCCAAAAAGCTGCGAATCATGCTCGCGGGAAGGCCGTGAGGGTAGCTTTCTACAAGGTCAAAGAGGTCGGCTGGTGGTGCAGGCGATCCTGGGAAGGGCTCTGGGGTGGTGGAAGGCAAAACGAGATAATAGTAGTGATTGTCTTCGAAGAAATCGAGGAGGGGACATATGTTGGGGTGTCCGTTCACGATCTTGCCTTCTACCCACCAATCGTCGGGCTCGAGGTTTAGCCGTGACGGGTCCCAAGGTCTCCTGGGAGGAAGGACGTATGTCGTAGACGAGATTGCTGACATCACATAAATCTCGATGGGTATCGTTCCGTACTTTGGATGCCGCTTCCAGCAGTCTGCTAAGATTCGAGATTTTATTATTTGCTTGATGATCAGGGGAGGCTGCGTCAATGATAAGTGATGAACGGCTGCTGCGACGGTCGGGCTGTGAAGAACTTACCCCTAACGTCCCGTCGAGATTCATCTCTCTAGCACGCTTCACTAAACCATAAGCTCCCCGGCCTATCTCTCCTTCAATAACAAACTCTGAGATACTGCGCTCTCCTACACTTGGAGTCTTGTCCACACTTGGCGTGGGCGGGCCCGTACTGCTAGCCACGCTAAGGAAGCTAGCTGCACTATTTGCACGGACTAGTCTTTGTGGTCCCGTTGGAGGGGGCGATGGGGGTTGGGAGGGTACGATAGAGACGCGTCCTGCAATGAGAGAGACTCGCTGATGAGATGAGCGACGTCTTGAACGAGGAGCATTCGCATTGCCGAGTCTCGGTGAGGAAGGAGAGGACGTCATAGGAGAGCGAGCAATGGCAAGGGAAGTAAATGAGCCGATTGGAGATAGTAGACTTGGAGAAGCACATCTCGACTGCACGGGGGAGCATGAGAGGGGCCCTGGAGCGAAACTACCGGAAGCCGCGGGCTGCGACAAAGGATTCGTTGGTACCGCTGGCGATGGAGAAGTTGAGGGCCCACGGGACATGCTCGGAGAAGAAACCCATGCAGAACGAGTTTTTGCTAGCAGGCTCTGTTGGGGCGCCGCGGGACTGGTGTTCTGGGCGTTCGATGAGTGTGTCTCGATATGCAAGCGTGGTGGTTCGGGGTCTGGTTCTTTGTCGTGCGATTTCCAGTTGAAGCCGCGACCGAAAGAAGTGACTCCCCAGCTGTTGCCCACACTCGCGGCTCGATAGAGCTTGGCAGGTTGCGCTGGGACCCAGTCGTCATCGTCGAAGGTGAGATCCACCGCGGTAGCGGCGGTGGCAGTGAGCATTGTTTTAAGATAGGAAACCCCGCCTCTCGCAAGTATATGTTGTTGAAGGTGGTGGTTCGGAGCAAGAGAGGATGGGGGAGCACTGCGAGAACGGGACGCAGCCTGGGAGCGTAAAGTGGGCGTACCCTGGTGCAGCAACTGCCTTGGTGGGCGGTCACCTGACTTCTCGCGGCTTTGACGGCATCGACTGCGGGTTAGCCACAAATAGCCATCCTCAGGGTCTGACTCTGACTCGGATGGCCACTCATTGGCAACAACATCGACGGCCATGGTGTGCGGGAGGAGGAGGGTTGGACTCGCTGCTCACTCCTGGTCCCTGGATTGCCCATATATTCGCGGGGACGTCTCTGATTCGACGTTATCTCGAGAGAACCTCACGCGAATCCTGTCCGGATTCTACTTATGGTAACCGCTGCAGCGCTTTATAAGTGTTTGAGCTTGCTTTTATGGATTAAGTGCCGCGTTCAATGCCAGCAAGGCAACGCCGTTCTCTACTGAGTTTCAGTGTGAAATTGCATTTCCGTCCGCCACATCGTGCACATCAGCTGGCCACAAGCTGGCCAGCAAGAGCATGAACCGTTTATACCATCACTGACTCACAGGCCAGAGGTCACACGTGCGGAGATACCGAGACTACCTACGGCATTGTGGCAACTCGCCCGGCCGAGGAGCGCTCAAGCGCCGTCCGGTGTCCGGAGATGGGCGCCTACGATGTCCCAGAGCGGTAGCAAGTGCGCTAGGAAGTCCTCAACGAACTCGCCGTTGCTGTCGCCGCCCTCGAAACCGTGAGTACGACCTCCTTCACGGATTCATTGAACTCTCCTTACTGCTGCGAGATGAATGCTGCCGATTTCATGCCATAAACCTTGTCAACGTGGGCTGGATTGATTCGCACGACTCTGGGTGAACCAAACAGACCGCTCGCTTTTGTCTCGTCTCTGAGAACTGGCAAGGCTGACAATTCTACTCGTGTCCATAGTCCACCATGGCTAAGACCACCATCGTTAAGAAACGCACCAAGCCCTTCAAGTTAGTCCATGCGAGCCTTGTTCCCCAGGAGCCTCATTACTCAACCATGTATCCTGCAGGCGCCATCAGTCCGACCGTTACAAGAGCGTGAAGGAGGCATGGCGAAAACCCAAGGGTATTGATAACAGGGTGCGACGACGCTTCAAGGGTCAGCTTTCCATGCCCAAGGTACATTCCTACGCGTCTCATCCGTGAAAGTTGCTCAGTTTATATACATTAGATTGGTTATGGAAGTAACAAGAAGGTATGTCCACGCAATATCAAGAAGATTGCAGCCTGTCGATAACTTTGCATGCCAGACCCGCCACCTCCTCCCTAACGGTCTCAAGAAGTTCTTGGTTAGCAATGTCCGGGAGCTCGATCTCCTGCTCATGCATAATAAGACCTTTGCCGCGGAGATTGCGCACAACGTTAGCAGCCGCAACCGTATCATCATTATTGAGAGGTGCGCTCTCATACTCCCCGTACGTCTCGTTTCGACACTGATGACTTTGTGTAGGGCAAAGGTCTTGGGCGTTAAGGTTACAAACCCGGCTGCCCGCCTGCGGTCAGAGGAGTAATTTATATGGTCCCCAGTTTTTCCTCTACGCTCTCTTGTTCACCTTATCCATGTACCATCCGCATATGCCAAAAATAATGGCCATGCGCTCATACTTCTGGCTACATCCGGGGAGTTTATTGCGAGTCTTGTCACGCCGTGAACAACATTTACCGTGTGCCTTCCCTCCTTTATATTGGGGGAGCCGCTCCCATATGTACTAGTACCAGAGTTCCAATCCTCCGTGAGCTGGACAACATTGGCTGAAGTCCATGTCCCTGAAAGGGACCAGCCGGTATTCGGATCACCAGCGCTGGTCATGATGTATCTGGAGCAAGGATAGCTTGCGAAATCAAAACATCTTCTCTCAGCACCTTCATTTGCAATGGCGGTTAGGTACGCAGCCCTGGGACGCGAATTTCCTGAGTACTTACCGGATACTACGTCGCAGACGTGCAACCCACGCTGGATCCTGGTACACGGATGATCGCAAGTTGACTGCGCACTCGTGTCGTTGTCAAACACTGATGACGTTCCTTACGTGCAGGGCAAACTTTGGACAATGAGCTTGCAAGGAATCTTGCTGCAGTACAGTCATCTGAAGAGTTCACGCCGCCCGTAGCAGGATGCAAAGCAGTTATCGCTCCGTATGTCCTGCGTTCATCATCCACTGTTATCTGGTGCTGATCCTGCAGGACACAGGCATGCTGGGTATTCATACTCAGGACCTGCCGCAGCATGGGCATACAAAACTATCGATACCACTGGGATGTATGTTGAGAATGCTACAGAGGCCAAGGCACTTGTTTACTAAACGCCACAGCAAGAGAGTGTTCATTCTCGGCCCCTCTCATCACGTCTATCTCGATGGCTGCGATCTCTCTCAGTGCAAGACGTACCAAACGCCCATAGGAGATCTTCCGCTGGATATCGAAAGTACGCCTTTCGAGCACCGTTCGGAATGAGACGCTTACCTTCGACCAGCTATTGCCGAATTGAAGAAGTCTGGGAAGTTCGGAGTGATGAGCGTGGAGACGGACGAAGATGAACACAGCATTGAGCTACACTTACCGTATGTGCGCAAGGTTTTCGAACGGTATGCTATCATTACAACACTGCCAAATGCCTTCTAATTTTGTCATAGGAAGGACATTTCTGTCGTGCCAATTCTAGTGGGGGCTATTGATAAGGACAAAGAAGATGCGTACGGCGAACTCTTGGCGCCTTACCTTGCCCGTGAAGATACCATTTTTGTGGTCTCCAGCGACTTCTGTCACTGGTACGCTGATACGTCGATTGTCTCACATCTCAGCACTCAAGATAGTTACAGGGGACAACGTTTCCAATACACGTACTACTATCCAGAACCGCCGCCTACGCATCGCCCAGCTATTCGTCTTAGCCGGTCCAACGCATCTCCGGCGGACTTGGCAAATCATCCCGTCCACCAGTCTATACGAGCCCTAGATCAGGAAGCCATGGAGCTCCTCACTATGCCTCCCGCCAGCGCGACGTCGGCCCACTACGACTTCACGGACTATCTACGGCGCACCAAGAATACGATATGCGGACGTCACCCCATTGGCGTCCTGCTAGGTGCATTGAGCGCTTTAGAGCAAGAAGGCCGCGTACCGAAGCTGCAATGGGTACGATATGAACAGAGTAGTGCATGCCAATCCGTCAATGACTCTAGCGTAAGCTATGCAAGCGCGTATATCACAGTCTAAATTTTCTTCGGAACTCGTAAAATACCAATGCACCTCTATTGAAGATATGAACAATCTCTCATCTATTCCGAGCGTGTCTTTGGGCTTACATGCGGGCATGAATGTCCGCAGCTGGCAATTGGAGGCCGACAGGTCCACCGTCTTCGCTTTCGGTGCCTGGCTGTCCAAGATCATCTACGACCTGCGGTGGTATGCCAGTCACTAAACTGAAAGACATTTCCAGGTTGCCCCACGTACCTTCCCGTCGGCAATGACAATGTCTTCGAAGCCCCAATCGCGTGTGGCACCGTCGTTAAGGTGGCTGCCGTCCCCCAAGCTCACAAGTTTCCAGCCGTCGAGAGGCTCGTCTCCCGGGATAGTACGCCTGAAGGTCGTCAGCGAGCAACAAGCTATGCGCATAGGCCTCGCCCTATCGCGAACGAGCGCACGAGTCAAGGCGATGATCGTCGCAGCGTGACTGACGATCAAAATGTGTTTATGCTTGTCCTCAAAGCGACGTTCTAGTTCGGGAATGAGAGCAGCCAGAAAACCTTCTGCGCGACTATGGACCTCGGGGACATCTTCTCCTCTGCGAGAGGGGTACCATATGGAGCTCCAGCTAGAGTCTATTCCACTGAAATAGCTCCGGAGGTTCTCAGCAGAGGCGGGTCGTGGGTGCAATCCGCTGCCTGGCTTCACCGGGGAGTACCATTCCGAAAGCCCTAGGAGAGGTAGCATTAGCACGGGAATCGGCGTGCGTTGAGTCTGACGGACGTGCCGTGCTCGATATATATAGGAATGTTCAACGCGTCTGATACGGGTTTGGTTGTCTGGAGACAGCGGTCTAGCGTGCAGCAGTCAACGCAAATTTAGCAGACGAAGATCTATCATGCATACAATACGGAGAGGAGAAAATTGCGGTGGGTCGCTGCACCTCTGGCAGAGACAAGAAGTGGTCTGCTAGCTCTTGAGCCTGCGTATGTCCAAACGCTGCCAAAGGTGGGTCGCGGGGAAGACCTGCGCGTAGCTTTAGAACAGAGTTTTCACCGCTGAATATCAATGGGCTTCTGTTTACCACGAACCTGTCTCACTTTTCCTACAGAGGGCAAGGGTCAGCACGTATTTTAGACTTCGACAGAAGACGAGCCCACCAATTCTGCGTAACCCAGTTCAAGCGGTACCCTGGCTTAGATTACTTCAGTGATGATCGGCTACTATAACGTGCTCAAATATGCATACCGTGTCTAGCAATGTAGATGGTTTCGAGCATCGTGTGCAAGTAAGAGAAGACGGGGTCGTTGCAGCGCAGATGTAAGAGCTATTGCCGACGTTGCCATACCGGGTGCTGGGCCGGGCAATAAAGCTCGCCGGGACACAATGCGGGGTGATACTCAGAGCGCGAGCTCGTGCGTTTTCAAGGCGGCTGATGGAACCTAAGTGCCCGTAGTACCCGACGTATGTAGACACATATCTCGCGATCGTCATGTCATAGCTTTCGTTTCTCGGTGCGGACACAAAGGAGCGCTACTACAGGATAGAAGATCGAGCATGGGACGTGAGAACCGAAAAGAAGGGAGACGACAAGAAAACAGGAGGACGAGGATGGAGAAAAGCCACAATGCAAAGAGATATGCAACAACACTTTCAGAGAAACAAATACAGGCGAAGTTGGCACGATAGTTACTGAGGCTGTTGAGGTTTTGCTACATAGCAACCTTCAGGACTGCTGAAAGCGTTCAGAATGAACTTAGGACAGAGAGGGGAAAGCCGTCTGGTCATCCACGTTCAACGCGGGTGCGTTACTATTGCCGTTCTGACCACGGCCCCTGCCACCACGGCCTCGACTGCCACGAGCAGGCCTGTCGCCACCACGACCGCCCCGGATGCCACGCTGGGGACGTTCGAAACGAGCATCGATCTCCAAAAACACCTTCTCCTCCTTCTTAGCGCGAGTTTTGGGAGCGGAAGCCTTAGTCTAGAGAGATCTCAAATTAGCTGGCGGTGCATTCCATCGATAAAGCTTGGCTGACCTTGCCGACGAAATAGGCGTCGTCATCGTCGTCGGCCTTCTTGTTGACAACGACAGCATCTTTCCAGATGGTCTCATCACCCTCGTTAGCCTTGCGGGTCTCGAGCTGAGGAATAATCTCGAGCTGCTTCTCCTTCTGCTGCTTGAAGTACTCGTCGAGTGTGAGGGTGTTGTCCTCCTCCTCCTCACGGCGACGGCCCTCAGCCTTCTCGCCCTCAGCGGGCGTAGTGCCCTCAACGACCTCAGCGCCCTCAGCGCCCTCAGCTGGAGCGGCCCAAGCGTCCGTCGAGGCCTCAGCGCCCCAGCCCTCGGCGATAGGGTTCCCAGCTTCGGCCTGAGCATCTTTCTCGGCAGCAGTCTCGGCCTTGAGCTCGGCGGTGCCCTCGTCACCGCCCCATCCCTGGTGGACCTTCTTCTCAGAGTCGCTAAACAGAAGCTGTCAAAGGGAAATGTGTCAGGAAAGTATGGCACGCACGTCTTGCCAGTGGCACTATGCCTGTCGAAGGGTCTGCGACCGCCACGGCCACGATCGCCACCGCGACCCCTACCTCCACGTCCGCGACCACGGCCCTCTCCAGCTAGAAGAGGCGAGTCGGTGATGAGTGCTGGGAATGGTCGTGTCCATTGTAAGGAGACGCACAAGGCTTGTGGGGCTCAGCACCGTCCTCAGCAGCTACCTCGCCGTTCTGGCTCTCACGGGGACCAGAGGACTTGCCGCCGCGCTGGTAATAGCGTCCACCGCGGGAAGCGGGGCCGCCCCGGGTCTTCTGGGCACCGCGACCGGGAGCAGGGGCTGGTGCAGGAGTCTCCTTCGCAGGAGCAGAGGCGGGAGTGGAGGGTCGCGAAGACGCATCGTCTAGGGTCCGGAAACGTGATAATGGTGGTGATGATGAGTGCACGGCGAGTAGAGTTGGCGGAGGGGAGGGGGGGTTGATGGTGATGCTTTAGATTATACTTTGAGAATAGACTGCGAAGACATACAGACCTTCGAGGAGCGCAAAGGGGTTTCTGCTGGCCACCGACATTCTGGACGGAGCCCTTTTATCGGACAATCCCTGTTTGCTGTGTGGGCTGTTGAGCAGACGGCGAGCGCTGACAGGAAACGACCTTTTCCTGCGTTTGTCTGCAGCAACCACGGGTCGGGGGTGTACGGGACCCCGGCACTCTCCTGGAACCCCGCGCTTTCGGGGTCCTTAGTCAAGCCACTCCCCGGCCGCTATACAGTTCATACTTGTCATATAAGACTGAAGCGCGTGTATCACAGACACCTTAACGCTTAAACCACAGGTTAGTGTTGCCCTAGTGTCTGTCGTCGGCGCCGTCTCTGATAACCTTCGAAGCCTTTAAAAGCATCTCGACGATGGCTCGCCCGCCTGCTCGCAGGACTGGTGTGAGCCGAGGACCTTGAGACCGTCACGAAGGGCTGGAGAACGAGAATGCCGTAAGTGCAAACGATGGGGCTTGGGTGCGGCGTGCTTGTGCTCTGGTAGATGGGACTCCTGTCTTAGCAGTAGGCTCTTCGTAGCTGCTGTGTGAGTTACGTCGCAATGTCTCGTTGTACATTTTTTCTACTGGTGCAATCTATGTGTTCTACATTCTTCCGGAAGAGCCTTCCTTCACTATGGCAACTATGATGAGCAGTGCTGGTCTGAATCAAGGATCTTCTCGTGCGCTTGTGGCTACACGATGTTGTGAATTTGTTGAATCTGCAGCGGAAGATGGAGCCTTAGATATTGAAAGTTCTCTGAGATCCTCTATGCAGTCCTTAGCCATGCTGCTTCAGCGGCTTCACATGTGCTACCCTCTCCCCATGTGATACAATGATACATTAGCGTTTCCCGCGAGTATCTAGACTTGGATGCATGTATGCTATGCGTTGCCTTTAAGCTGCTGCTTGTGACAAGGGCACTTGTCAGCTATGACTGAGGATGCAGCGCCCTTGTCTCGGCTGCATTCGTTTTACCTGTAACCCCCACCACCCGCTTTCTTGGTAACAACTCAGGTGACATCACGCCTCAAGCACCGTATACTGCCGACGGTCTGTGTCTCGTCTGTTACTTTGTGCTGCTATGGCTTCTAGGCGATTAGCAATCTCCTCTCTGCTCTGTGCCGACGACTCGGAAGCTGCCACTGCCAGCCATTCACCTTCTGAATTCACAACCGACACATTAGCAGTTGGGACAACTGTACAAGATTCTCATGCATCCTCTTCTACATTCTCACCAATCTCCTCTTGGGCCAATCCTTCAGCCGAAGTTATCTCTACCTCTGTCAACTATGGTGCACACTCTAGGCGACGTAATCCTTCACTAAACTCCTTCGATTCGCGCCCATCATCCTACCCCGTCATAGCTCGGCGGAGTTTCAGGGAAACCGCCTTGGACGACTATACGGAGGAGACAGGCGGTGAGACCCACCACTCGGTCAACGATCCTGTCGTCGAAGCTTTAGACCACCCCTCTCGGAGGCGACGTCCTGGGTTTATCCACACAGTGTACCCTTCTGAAGAAGACCAAGAAGATTGCTACACAGAACGCAGAGGTATACATAGATCCACTGAATGTTCGTATCCGACGACATTGTGGAGGCCAGTGCTCGGTAGAACGTGAGCTGACTCCGTCTTTGTCCCCCCCTAGATCAGCCGTTCGTGCCTTCGCCATCCCGCTCCCCATTCATTATGTATGCTTCAACACATAGGCAAATCTCCCATTCGCCAGAGCAAAGCTCACACCGACATGTACTTCCTCCTCAGCAGGAATATACGCCATCATTATCTCCGCGGTCAATTCTTCAACAGACCCTGAGCCCGGCGATGGACCCTGAATTTTTTGCGCCCTCGACGTCTTCGCCCCATCAAATACCGCAAAACGCGACGCAGTGTTCACCTGTCCATCCGCGTCACAAGATCTCCTCCCTTCTGACCAATTCTCTTCCCCCTCCTCGCGCGTCTGCTGCATCGTTACCGCACATCCTCAACTCGCCTATGTCGTCCACAGTGTTACCTGCAGATACGAAGTTTACTCGGGCGAGCTTGTATCGAGGCTCAGGTATGGAAGGATTGGAGGCTCTGGTGCAGGCTGCGACTCAGGAAAGGCAGCGATTGGGCGGGGAGAAAGTACAGGAGGAGCCCATCTCACCATCACCCTGGTCAGCCAAGCCGGCAAGCCCAGTCCTTACACCGGTAGCATCGAATCCTGCTCTCAGCCTAGCGGCTAACCAGAGCCTGGCAGTGACTACGACACATTCAGCGGGCAGTCGCGAATACAGTGGGCCGGGCTCTCCTTGTGGCGCGCGCACGACTTCGCCTTCGCCATCGCAGCCGTATAGGAGTCCAGTACATGCATCGATACCTCCTCCAGACCATTTGACCACATCCCTTCGCGCGGTTCTCGAAGAGCTGCCGGCAGAACAAACCAAAAACTCAGCAAGCATCGTGATGGATGATGCTGAGATTCAGTCACCCCTACCGATGCGATATCGTAGTTCCTCGTGTTCAACGCACTCCGTTCACGCCTCTTATACGGCTGAAGAGAGCCAAACCCCAGTTCCTCCATCCGCAGAAGGCGATGCTATGGAGGTCCAATCCGAGGACCACAAGGGGTCTGAACACAATACGGCAGTACTCGCGACGGAATCTCACGAACTTAAATCGGCTCGATTGGCTTACGCCGCCAAGTCTCCCATACAAGTCCACAGAATCGAGCCGTTATCCCCTTCCCCCGCTCCCGTATCTTCTCCAGGCCCTCCACTCCAACAAACTCCTACGAGATTAGCAAGTAGTATGCCGCTTCATAGCGCGACGTTGAAGTCAGAAGCCATCGACAGCCTGGTGGTACCCGCAACATCAGACAGTTCTGATGGGCAGGCGCAGGAGGCCAAGCTTAAGGCGAATATAGGTAAATCAGATGGTGCAGCGCTGGTTAAGTTGAAGGGGAGGGTAAAGCATAGGGAGAAGAGTTCGAAATCCAGGCGCACGTCACATTCTCGAGACAGCTCCAAGAAGGACGACACGGATGACTGGTTTCTAGAGCAGTTTGGCGAAGCCGAACCAAAGAAGATGTCCGAGCTATCCCCTAACACGAGGCCGGTTTCTTCTTCGTCACGTCTGGCTAAGACTCCAGATGGCGAGATGACACACCATTGGAAGAAGCTATCAGCCTCCCCATCCGAAGGCCACCGACACAACTTGTCCTCTAGGAAGCCATTGGCTAGACAAAGTCGAAGCCCAACGCCACACGAGATACTTGAAGCGGAGCTTGACGACGTTCCACTGGCACCAAAGCGTTCGCCTTCGCCACCCGAGACAACCGCTCCGTGGCCCCTACTTCCGAACCTGAATGCACAGACCTTGGCCACATCTACTAACTTAGACCTTGACACTGAACTTGAGCGTACCCTGCAAGACGAATCGCGTGCGCCACTTCCTCCAGCGAAGCCCAAGCCGAAGCCGAGACCTAAGACTAAGCCGAAGCCTGAAATCAAGCAGAGGGTGGACATGGATGTGGAAGATGAGTTACTAGCCTTGTTGGACGACGGTAGTGACGAACATAAGGAGAAGCATCGATCAGAATACGCCCATTCCCTTCTGGCCGAATCTAATCTTACCGAAGAGGTGGCCGAGCGAGTGGTGGCCAAGCACGTCATGGAGAGAAACGTACATGGCGTCTCTGTTGTGGCCTCGCCGATACCTGAGATATCCTCGCTCATGCCTCCTCCCGGTAGTAGAGGCGTTAGTCAAGTACGTGAAACGTCGGTCTCACGCAAAGATAGGGACGAGCGCGAGCCGACTTCGTCTGGGCCAACCGCCGTTGGTGGGACACCTGCGATGACGCCTACTCCCACGCCTACTCCCGGGCCTAGTGGTCCAAGCAAGAGCAAAGAAGCCTCTAAGGTCAGTTACACGCACGACATGACATGCAGCTAACATGGAGTTGAACAGAAAAAGGCGCCTCCGAAACCTCGAGGGAAGGTTACGACCGCTATTAAGCCCAAAGCGAAATCTTCAGTCGTGAAAGAACGCTCTACGACACCCGCGACACCACCTCATCTTGTACCGAATGCTAGCGATGGGCCTCCTGTTGCGGGCAAGAGTAAGAAGATGCAAGGGAGTCTAACCGCGAAACGTGCGGTATCTGCAGCTGGTGGAACTTCACGGAGTCGGTCGACGTCGGTGATGCCAGGTGAGAGCGAAGCTTCGGGACGAAAGCGTTCGGGCCAGCAAGTGCAGGACGAGAAAGACGAGAAGGAGGAAGAGGAGCGAGAGGTTGACGATAGACTTTACTGCGTTTGCCGCACTCCGTACGATGAGGACCGGGTGATGATAGCATGCGACCGGTGAGTCTTGCAGTGGTATTCCACTCCGTATCTGTCCATAAACTCATTATACGACCAGTTGCGACGAATGGTATCACACCCAGTGTGTTAACATGCCAGATCTGGAGGTCGATCTCGTGGACCAGTTTATTTGTCCGATTTGCGTCGCCAGTAGGTCCTCGTCGATAGCGAGCCTTATGCAGCCCCTGACCAGATTTTGCAGACAACCCTCACCTTACTCTCCGTACAACTTACAAGAAGCGGTGTCTAGCGGGTCTTGCTCATTCACGACCCACTTCCCAGCATGCTTGTCACAAACCTGCGAGAGGCGCATTCTCGAAGTACTGCTCAGACGAGTGCGGCGTTCGCTACATGCGCGAACGTATCGAACGTTACGTGCGAGACAACACCAAGAATGTGACAAAGGCGAACAAAGAGGTGAAAGAAGAGGAAAGTATGCGCAGTCTCTGGGAAGGTGTGAAGAGTGCCGGGCAACGCGAAGCAGTTGTGCTTCGAGTGCTCGATGGCGTCGATGAGAAGGGCGAACCCCGCACCGAGATTGTCGTGCCCCGCCTCTCGAAGCATGCGAGACTCATTTCACGCCTTGAAATGCAGCTTGCCAATATTTTGAACCGGCGAGATGGGCTCAAAGCTGAAGACGAGATTGTCGCCTGGCGCGAGGCTGTAATTGGATATGCTGCACAGAGGGCGGAGGGGCATGGAGAGTGCAGTTGGGATGGCAGGTTGCTATGGTCCGCCGATGAGGTGAGAGAATACGGAGCTGAAGTGGTGGACGCGTACGAGCGAGTCGAGATGCAAGGTGATGGTATGGCTGTTGATGGCCGGGACAACGAGAGCTGCCAAGTGGAGGAGGGCGGTTGGTGGTGTACAGGAAAGCGAAAATGTGATCGGCACGCCGGGTATGTCTCTTGCCCTCTGTATTCGCCACCCAAGCTCACTCTCGTGTCGACAGATGGCAAAAGCTTCGTCAGGCAGAGATTGACCTCGAAAAGGAGCTCTTTGAGGCCGAACTGGAGAGACTGACTACACGTGAGCGTGAAATTAGGAAGCGCATTGAGGACATCCAAGCTGCCCATCCCAACATCGACTTCGCCTCCCTCCACCCAGCCCCAGCGTTGGACTCGCATGCAGCGCGCTCAGAGCCGATACCCTTCCTCAATGGCGTACAAGTAAACACACTTAGTCGGAACGGGGATGTCGATGACTCGCTCAAACTGAACGGCGTCAACGGTGTCGACGGTGGAGAGAAGAAGGGAAAGAAAAGGAAGGTAGATGCACGGTAGACGTTCTTACTCTGAATGCACACCGGCCGCAGCACTGTCCGCATGTTGGGCACTCCGAAACATTGTTTGGATATACATACAATGAGTAAGGCTGCAGGACATATTCGACCAGGTATGATTAAATGTCAAGGTCCTCATCAGGATCGTCGTCGTCGATGTCATCTGCTGAGTCAGGGTCGTAAAAGATCGCGCCGGTTTGAGGGGCTGACGCAACAACAGTGTGCGCGTACGGTAGGGGAACCTGGGTCCTCGACTGATGCTGTTCAGCTGTGAGTGTAAGACTGAAGGACAAGTTCTGGGCGGGATCTGGTGCCACTGCAATCTGGTAAAGATAGTAAAATCTTCATAATCATTCGCGAAACTCGTGAAACTCACCTCAGTTGAGAGTGACTTGTCCGTATGCAGGCCTCTCAAGCTTTGTAGACCCTTGAGTTCGCATGCCACTGCTTTACTCACCACCCACCCCTCAAGCACTCTCTCAATCCCTTTTCTTCTTCCAATTCCATCGCCAGCATTGCCCCTCACAAGTACCTCCACCACGATCTCGTCTGCCGCACCGCACCCTTCACCTGAATTCCCAAAGGCGAGCTCCTCAATATCGGAAGATCGCGCGGTATAAGGTATAAACACACTCCAGAACTTCTCCAATGACGATAGAGGAGGCGGTGGAGCGGAAAGGGATCGTGCTAGGTGGACAAGAAGGGCAGGTGCGTGCGCAGTGATATGTATGAGGGAACGGGAGAAGGACGGGGTAGTGAGGACAGAGAGCATAGAGGGCGAGATGGTGTGAATAACCAAGCGTGAGCCTGCGAAGAACAACTTTAGAGTTGTGGATGACAAGACGACATTACGACCATGCCTACTTGGACGACCTGCAACAGTACTGAGAAGTGTTGACAGGAAGGCGTACGCAGCCGCTTTACATTGGAGGTTGGAGAGTAGCGTGTCCAGAGAATCAATGACTATAGTCAACGACTGTGGGCTACTGACTGCATGTAAATTGTCCAGTGCTGGACCGTGCGTACAATCAGGGAAAGACTCGCCTCCTCTGACGGCAGATAAGAGACGTTCTCTGCAATCTCCGCTGTGGTCACTGTATCCAGGTATATCTGCGGTACAGTCTATGGTCTGTAACCTTTCGTGGCATAGTTCACCAGTGAGCACCTTCAGTGGATAGAGAAGGTTGCAAAGCACAACATGCGTTTGCGTCCGGCTGAGTAGAGAGCGGAGCAGAGGCAAGCTTGATTGGGCCATGGACGACTGGAAAACAATTAGTGCATGAGCAGAGGCAAAGGAATCTCTCAGAATGGTTTCGAGCATCATTAGAGAAATTGGAGGTGGTAAGCACTAGAAGGTGTCAAGGTGAGCCTGGAAGCCATACGAGTAAAATCATGACAGGGGAAATTAGGTAAATTCGAGTGAAAATCAGCTGAACTGGCAAAAACAGACGCTGACAGCAGGATTTGAACCTACGCGGGCAATGCCCAAGTGATGTTTGAAATCGAAGGTTCAAATCACTCGCCTTAACGACTCGGCCATATCAGCTTGACTGTTTTTGCGGCTCTGAACCTTATTATGAGCAATAGACAGCGCTGTTATGTAACGTGCTCTCTTTCTCCAAGCGTGGTGGGTGTCATTGACATTCCGCAAAAACGAATTCACAATGGGTTTTCATACCTCTCACAGCTAGCATCCGTCTTGTGACGTCTCTGACGTTCCGGAAGTCCGTCTTCAATTTTATTGCCCACGCAGCCGCTCCGTGCTGCATCTGGGACTTTCCATTACTTATTGTGGCCTCCCTACAACTTGTCTCTCTGCTCACCATACGCTCGCCTACCCCTTATTCTTAGGATGGGATGTCCAGGGAGCTCTTATGGATCTGTGGAGTTTGCCTTCAATGATGCACGCACCCGTCTGGCTTTGCCAGTGGATGTAGATGCGTTTGGCGTTGCCCGCTACCTGGAACACCCAAATTGCTTAACAAGGCCATTGATATTATTGGAGTAGGTGCGCAAATCATGCGGATATCGCGGCGGTCAGTACTGACGATGTCCATTTGTTTTTGAGAATTTCCTGACTTGTGTACTCATATGAAACGATTCCTCTGGGCGCTATTTTCTTCAAAGACGAATTCGCTAACGGTGATCCTACTATGCCCCGAGTTAGGCGCTTGATTGGCGAACAATGAAGAGAACAATGGCTTGGTGTACTCGTCCTCGTTACGGTGCTTTTATATCTCGCTTGTTCGTTCTGACACTTACAAGCATCCTGTAACCGAAACATGGAGGGCGTTGTTGTACTTTTGACATGCATGGTGTCTACTCTGGCGTCTTTCACCGCGACGACGTTGGACAGCCGAAGATATAAAAGGTGGGCATGTCAGTGAACTTGAAAACAATTTATCCCTTCTCAGCTCACGCCAACGCGTGCAGGATCGAACCTTTCTGCTGGGCAGATTTGCTTATAGGCGTCCCAAAATTCACGGTCTTTACGAACTCGGACGAACGTGCCCTCCTCAGCTTTCTCCATCACGTGTTAGCACCCTCGACCTACGTTCCACCTGCTAGCTAAAGCGACAAGGACAGAGCCATCACAACCATGATCACTGGCCTTACCAAATTCATCAACCTCTACCTTGCACCCGTCCTCTCGCTCACTTCCGTTGCTCTCATCATCCTCGCCTACTTCGCTCCCTCCCTCGTTTTCCCAGCGAAAGTGGCGCTTCTGACAGTAATCCCTTCAACATCCCTTACGCAGCCTACTGACACCAGTGGGGTCGACGCCGACGGCCCGAGCGTGTTCCTCGGCGCGCTTGGCTCATGCTCACGCCCAAACGATGGTGCAGCCGTGACCTGCCAGCCGGCAACAGTCTCACCTCAATATGGTATGTCCCTATTTCTACTCCCTCCCGCGGCTATAGGCTGAAGTTCATCGTCTCTGCGTAGATCTGTCAGTTCTGCCATCCTCGGCGCCCATGCTGCTCAATGCTCCCACCGCTACCACACCCGTTTTCATTGCTATCGCCTTAGGCTTCGCTATCATATTCTTCTTCCTCTTCACACTCACCGCGTTCCGCAACCAGCTCGGTGAAAAGCTCAGCGGCACGATGGATAAGCCCGAGGTACAGCGCGCAACTGCATGGATCGGACTTCTCGGATTCATGATTGGCTTCACGAGTTTCCTGGTTATCAGGATGTGGTTCGGCAAGGCTGTCGAGGATTTCAATGACGCAATTTTGCAGGGTGGGCAGAGCGCGCCTGCTTTGGTTGCCGCGACGAGCAACGGGTTTGTCAGTGAGTGAATTAACGCAACAATCCAATGGCGGGCTCGGAATTAATATAATTTTTGACAGTGGTATATGTTGCGTATGCATTTTACGCTGTTCCCCTCGTGTCTTCGCTCTCGAAGCTGCACGTTATGTCAGGCAAAGCATAGTGGCCAGCGGTTGTTTCGTGACTGCTCATCGGACATCGAACATCAGACAATAGTACTATACCCTAGACGTCATAGCATTGTTTGTAGTAGCCATCGTCTCATTGACACCGTAGCACTGCTACCTTCGATAATAATACAAACACTCGATCATTTGTGGCGATAATAGCCGTGAACTAGTATTGGCGGCGTCAATTGCAATGTTAAAACGAAAGCAACAAGTAGGAAGGTGTTACAGCAGTGTGTATGTATGAGTATAGGGCTCGCGGTGTAATGAATCTGGCCGGTGCATCACATGATGCAACATTCTACCACAGGTAGACTGTAGCCCTGCTCAACTAATCCCAGGAGAGATAAAGTCGACAAGATGTAGTGAACGCTTGAGGTCGTACTGCTCAGTAGCCATCGCCTTCGCCGCCCTCTTTACAGAAGCCACGTTTCTCGAAGAGAACGTTCGCCTTCAGCTCGTCTCGCGCCTTCTTGTCTGCGATATCTTTCTGATGATACGGCTCGAGAGTCTCCCAGTCTACTTGTTTAAGAGGCACGTCATCCTCTTGATCAAGATCCTAAACGGGTCATCAGTGGACCAATCTACGTGGTCGGATATGAGGAAGGAGCATACAATCTCGCCAAGCAGAACCACGTTCTCCCCTCTGATGAGGTACAGTCCGCGTTTCATCTCTGCGTATACGTCCTGATGGTATATACGTTCTACTGTGTCTTCAAGAACCAGGTTTGCTGCCAAATAGACTTGTTAGCACGCTTGCAAAGAGCGCGCGTCCTAAGGAGTGCCAGATAAAATTCACCAAACTGATCGTACGACCTCAGCACCCCATGCAGCTTTCTACCATCTCTGAGGACCACGAGCATCTTTCCTATAGATATGGCATATGGAGAGGCAAGGGCATATCCGGAAGCGTATCGCAGGGAGCGACGCATAATTTTCCGAGTATAGATGGTTCAAGGCAAGAGGGTTGTATGGGTGGGTGGTACGGCACTGCGGATGTTGGTGACAGACGTACTGTCGACGCAATCCACGAGCGACCCAGACGTCGTGAACGGTATCAGCGAGTCCATCGTGAGCGTACGAAACGGGAGTACCGAAGAGTGGTAGAGAAATGAGTGGTGGTAAGAACGGAGGTACGGAGACGCCCGAGCGAGCTGGCTTTCTAGTACCTGATGAGCCTGAATCGCACTCGACTACACCACATCGACAGGCGGATAGCGGTAATGGATGTACAGTTATATTGAGATCCCCAACAGCGCGACAAAACATAACACGACATATGAAAAGCTGATATGAGTACAGTGGTATCCAACGATCGCAGCGTATGCGGGTACTAGAATTACATGTCAGTCATACCGAGACTGTAAACGCGAAGCAGAAAAGCGAAATGTGAACGGTGCTAGCTCGCTTCTGCTTCAGACTGATGTTGAGCCTCTCCCGAAGGCTCCTGCAACCGCCCCTGCTCCTGAGCATCCAGCTTCTCCTGAGGTGTGGGCACGCGTGCAGGCGTGGGTTCTTCTGGTGGTTCGACCACCTCGCCAATCGCAGTCTCACCAATAATGTATCTTAGAACATCGCTAAGAGTGATGATACCCAAAAGACGACCCTTCTTTCCGCCTTTCCTCTCTTCTTCCTGATATTATAAGTAAGGCAAATATCAGCGCTGTGGATGACACGAGGACCCGTACCTCGCCTTCAACGACCACCAAGCGATGCACTCGTCGCTTCTTGATTAGCTGCATGAGGGTCGCCAATGAATCAGAAGCTGTACATATGACAACTCCAGGGAAATCTGGAGAGCGTTGATTGAGAGCCTCCGAGATAGTAAGATCGAGTGCCTGATATGCTCCGAGACGCACGAGTGTCTGAAGAGAAGAATCAGCAGTAGCCCGCGTAAGATACAGCACTGCTCACAATTACATCCACGGTCTCGTACAAATTGACGACGATGCCGTTCTCGTCCACTATAGGAACGGCAGAGATGCCCCGTTCGGAAAACATGTGGACAACGTCGAACACCGGGGTTGTCATGCTGGCGGTGGATATAGGATAGAAGGGATTTCCATCCGGGCTACTCTCGACGGTTGGCCGCCAATTCGCAACATATGTGCCAATGCCCAATTTGCGCAACGGCATATGCAACAGCGTTATTTCCCTGGCACACTGAACCAAGGGTGAGTTCGTAAGATGGGGGCAAGAATGCAGGACTCACGTTGATAGACACGAATTTGAGGAGACGGTACTGGGTTAGCACCGAAATAACGACTTCATGTCCTGTCTCCGAATCATTGTCGAGCAAGGGCAGTCGCCGGGCATGAGTTTGTATGAGCCGTTTGGAAGCATCGTACAATGTGGCGGATGGATGTTCTCTGAGAAGCGGTGGGGGCTCTACACCTAGCTCTTTCTCAATATCTACTAAGCGTTGAGCTAACCTGGACACAAGATGGTGGCCTGGTGCGACTCACCCCGCAGTGACTCTAACCGTAAAGTCTCTACGTCGGCAGCAGCACCCTCATAGGTAGACGATTTGTAGTAGTACTGAATCAGGTGAATAATATCAGATACGGTGAACATGCCCGCAAAGCGTGATTGTTCGCTGTTCCAGAGTGGTGCAGATACAACACCTAACGGCAGATGAGATCGAGCGCACGATGATGGAAGACTACACACACCATTGGACAACAGACACTGCAGAGCCTTTCTAACTTCTAGCCTCGCATCGAGGACAATCATGCGGAAGCTAACTGGAAAGGAATCGTAGGTAGTGTGGCCTCTGAGGTAGGAGCGGATTGCGTGGAGGGCAGCGTCATGGCTTTCCTGAGTCAGGGGCGGGACATGTGAGCCTGCGCGGGGTCGTTTGACAGATATTTTACGCTTGATTTTGGGCGAGGTGCTTGGAGAGAGAGTAGCGTTCATCGGAGACAAATAGCCATGCAGTGTGCACTGAGTCTGGCGGCGGACAGTGTTCTACCAGCGTCCGGCGCTTTAGGGACACGCTCAAGGGATCTGCTGTGTTACGTAATAATTTGGCAGCTACCCGGCTGCAGCCCGCTGCAGCAGCAAAAAAGCTGGCCCAGAGTGTTTTCAAGTTGTTCGCTGCATGCAGAGACGTTTCCAAGAGCACAGCACAGATCTGTTCGCTACCTGAAGGAAACATTTCGAATGCAGGGCTATGCTGAGTCGGGGCGAGTGACGCTCCCGGAGGCTGCCGTGATGGCGGCACTGGCTTACCTCTGTCCCAGCCGCTCCAGCCAGCTGCGTCTCAGCGATTACCCCACTCGCGCTTTCTCTTTCCCTCGTCTCGCTCTCCACAGTGCTTTCTCAGTCTGTATTTTACTTTGGACTTCTCTTGATTTTCCTCTTCGTACCTGGCGATGACGGTGGAGGAGCTGTTAGACGTTCGCAACATGTGGGACGGCCCGTCCGACTCCCATACACTCGCAAACCTCCGCAAGCTCTCGAACATCTTGCTTTCAAGCCCACCGCGGACAGATGGCCGTCCGGACGGTCTTAACCCGCAACCAACGCCACCACGCGATGCGTTCTACATCCTTCTGCCTCTCCTTATCGTGCTTTCGACGTTTTTCTTCCTCCTCCTGCTCTTCCTGGTATGCGTCATTATTCTCAGACGACGTCGCGGCATCATGCTTCGAGACCACGATGGTCCAATAGATATGAGCAGAGAGGATATGGTCGAGGGAGAGGGTGGGTTCGAGGGTGTAGAATCTCGCTGGCTCGAGAGCGCGAATGAGAATGAAAGGCGGATGTATCAGAGAGCAAAACGTATGCAGCCATCTCGTGAGATTCAGCCTCAGACTGACAGCGTCATCTCGCGCAGAGTACCAGCTACAGTATCCTCCCAACTCGCTCCCGACAGATATCACGTTGTCCCAGTTCCTGTCGATACAGGAGAAGGGCGTCTCAGCGTGGTCGTTCGAACCCGACTTTGAGGCACTCAACTCCATGCTGGTCCATGCTCGGACAGAAATAACTTTCCTTCCGGATCCATCATCAACCACGTCTGTACAGTCCAATTTACCCCTCCCCAAGCTCAATGAGGTATATTACTGGGAGGTCAAGATGTTTGATCTTCCCACGACAACCAACGTTGCTGTGGGCCTCGCTACGAAACCGTATCCGTCGTTCCGCCTCCCAGGGTTTAGCAAATATTCGGTCGGTTACCACTCCAGTGGTGACAAGTCTCATAACTGGCCCTTCACCGCGACGTCATGCGGCCCAGCGTTAAAAGAAGGCGACGTGCTCGGGGTTGGGTACAGACCCCGGACGGGGACGGTCTTTTTTACGAAGAACGGTCGGAAACTTGAGGACGCCTACGTCGGTTTCAATAGCTACAACCTATTTCCGACTGTGGGCGCAGATGGACCGTGCAGCGTTCACATCAATTTTGGGCAATCAGGTTTCGTCTTCATAGAGGCGAACGTGAAGAAATGGGGTCTGGCACCGAGCTCTGGCACACTTGCGCCTCCTCCGCCTTATGGTAGCGAGCGAGGCAGTATCTTGCTCGCCGCCGGAGGAGAGGTCACTCCTTTGCCTAGCGCTGTCGGTTCACCGGCTGCCGCGTCCTCTCGGTCTCGCCGTTCTCACCGCTCTCGGAGGCCAAGGAGTGCGTTGTCTACCACGACCCCACTGGCGTCTTCTCCTCTCTCATCGACTCCGGTTGCGTCCCCTACCCCTCCTGACACGCCTCCACCGCCTATTACGCCTATCGACGAAGAATCAGACGGAACCATTACCTCCCCTGGCCCCGGACCATCCACCGCGCGGAGATACATATCACCTACGGACATGCCATTCCACACTGCGCCAAATTCCAATATTCCCGCGTCTCCGACTCAGGGAGACGGTTCGGTGAGATCACAGTCGTCTTCTCGCGAGTCTTCACGGTCGCGGTCGCGTTCTCCTCTGCCGCCGCGAGCGCCAGGTGCGAATTTGTTCAATACGCCTCGCCGACAACCGTTCACGTTCACTCATGCGCGGACGGGTTCGCGCTCGTCCTGTTCAGGTCCCGAACTCGCCATTCAGGTTCACCCTCCTCCCGAATCCCCGATAAGCCCTGACCCGCCTACTCCGGACGTTCGAGACATTCATCTACAGGCGCTCGCATCTTCCAATTCTGCAACGATGGCATCTGCGGACATCCCAGACCGCGAGCCTCCCGCATATTCGCCTTTGGACGCCTACGCCTATCAGGACGGAGTGCAGCTCGACCTCCCTGCCGAGATTATCGCGGCGGCGTTGGAACGCGGCACTCTGCCCTCCATTATTGGGCCATCGCTCGGCACTCGTTCAGAGAGACGGAGTCGTCGTCGTGAGCGGCGTTCATAACATGTACCTCGGTACTGGCACATTTGGCTGCTATACCTTGTGGTACGGAGGTATAACCGTTTACTTTCGTTATACTGTGTGTATGTATTTCTATATAGTGCGTAGTGTGGACGTTGAATGCCGGTTTGGAATTACTGTCACTGTAGTAGGTTACCCACACCACTTATCATGTCACTTCTCGATATCTACATCTTTACTTTTGTCGCAGCAATACTCTCTATCTTGAGCAAATGTATCTGGACGGAGAGTGATGCGGATTGAGTTATAAGTAGACGATTTGGGGCTACAGAGATGCAAGGCGAATGCGACGACGAAGAGGAGACCAATGCTATGTACATACAGGACGACAGAAATATTGATGCAGCGGTGAGCTACGACACTGAGAGTGCAGGAAGAGGCGCTATTTGAGCTAACAGCGGACTAAGACTCTTCGTCTCCGTTGTGTTCTGTCGCAGCGGGCTCGGCATATGGCTGACATGTGGGCGATGCAGCGGCATCCTCATTGCGCTCTCGAGGTCTTCCTCCATCGATGTCGTACTGATCCTCGACATGTTAGATTGGACTCCGAGCGAGTTCTCCGCCGAACGCGTCCCGTTATCCTCCTTCCTCCACCCGCACGTCATCCACCGTCGGAGTCTTGCGCGAAGATTCTTGTCGAGGGCGATCCAAAGCCCGATGGCAAATGAGACCAGAATAGCGACGAAGATCGCGCCAACGATCATCTCGGGAGCCATGCGATGGTCGTACTTGTCCAAAGCGGCGTTTGGGTTTCGGAGAGAGGGGTCGTTGTATTGCATGTTCCCTTTCGCGCTCGCCGCGTTCATGATCGCTGGTCCCGGTCCAAGGCTCGTTTCGCAGAATGGGAGGACGTAAGGACAGTGTTTAGAGTCGGTCGTGATACGAGTAAAGAGCGGCATAGGTCGGAATGTCGGGTATCGAGTAAGGAGCGAAAGCGCGGCTGTACTTGGGCTGCGGACGGAGGTGCAGGCTGAAGAGCAGTATTCAAACTGACGAGCCATCTAAATAGAGCATTTATTTTGAGGCTGACGGCCGAACGGGCTGACCGGAGCTCTAGCAAAGCGTATATCTAGTACAATGTTACCAGTTTACATATCAGGCCGGGTTCGAATACGGATCTAAGGCTCAAGACGCTTGGGGTCTCTCGGGAAGAGAGAGGCACGACGAATGTTGTTCAGCTTGAGGAACAGCATCAAAACACGCTCAAGGCCGATGCCTCCTCCACCGTGTGGCGGGCATCCCATCCTGAAGGCATCCACGTAGGAAGCCATTGACGCAGGGTCAATTCCTTTCTCCTTCATCTTCTCAGTGAGGAGAGCAGGATCATGGATACGTTGTGCACCAGACAAGATCTCCTCGCCACGCATGAAGAAGTCATACGAGTTTGAAAGTGTCTGCAGGGTCAGAATAAATACAAACCATATGCGTCTCAATTAATTCACATACCGGGTCTTCAGGGTCAGGCATGGTGTAGAAGGGACGGAGGGCCATGGGAAATTTGTCGATAATAAAGTAGTCGGTATCATACTTGGCCTTCACGATTCGTCCGAGACGCTTCTCATTCTCTGTGCTAGTAGGAGGTTAGCTCAAATACGAGTAATGGGGACGGACAGCCTTGCTCACTCGATATCGTCCAGGGTCTCCTTTGGGACACCGTCCTCAACCAGAAAGTCCACAGCTTCTTTGAAGGTCAGCTTCAGAGTACCTTCAGATCCCTCACGCCATTTGAACTCGTCAGCAGGGAACGCTTCGCGGACGACTTCAATCTCGTTCTTGTACCGGTCGCGTAGGCTGCGGAACATGTGCTTGAAGAGGTCGTCGAGCAATTCCATGACTTCATGGTAATGTTCCTCGATGGCCATCTCAAGATCAAGGCCGACGAACTCGGTCATGTGTCGGTGAGTATTCGAGTTCTCCGCGCGGAAGACAGGACCAATCTCGTAAACACGCTCGAAATCCGCTGCGATGGCCATCTGCTTGGCGAGCTGTGGAGATTGAGCGAGGAAAGCACTGCCTGTGAACAGATACAATGAGAGCTGTGGAAGAAGACGGGCTCCAAGCCATGTACATGCCCTTGAAGTAGTTGACCTTGAAGACCGACGCTCCAGACTCCGTCGCGGCACCCTGTAGCTTAGGACTATGGATCTCGATGAATCCCTTTGACTCCAAGAAATCGCGGAAAAGGTGCCCAATGACATGCTGAAGCTTGAATACAGCTTGGTTTGTTTGCGTCTGTCGGTAGTGGTAAGCTAGTTGATCTCCAGGACTAAAGTGAGGCATACCCGAAGGTCAATGATACGATTATCAAGGCGGGTGTCGAGCAGAACACGCTTGTATTGTACGTCCTCGTTAGCGGCAATTTCGGCCTCAGGACGGTTGGCATCCTCAACGGTGAACGGCAGGCGACCATCAAGACCGGAGATGAGATATATCTAGCAGGGACATCAGCAGACATCATGGGAAAATGTACGGTGTGCTAACCTTGGAGAGGTGAAGTTCGACGTCACCAACGGACGCGCTCTTGATAACCTCTGGACTCTTCTTTACGGCACCTTCGACTAGGACAATGCTCTCATCCTGCAAACTAGCCGCCCACTTAACCATTTGCTTGCTAACTTTCTCCGGAGTCACTATAAGAAGCGCCTGAACCGAGTCAGTACGTTGACGCAAGTTTAAGAACACCATCTTGTTGCCCTGTGCACGGGAAGTTTGCACCCGGGCACGAAGAAGGACGGTCTCTCCGTCCATGCTGGGGTTGAGGGAACAAATCTGTACGCGCTGACGGCGGGGACGCGATTGCGATTGGTTGAGAGATTCTTTGCCGTAACTTGCAACGGCGTAATCCTACGAAGTTGGGTCAACAAGAGACTACAAATCTGTAAACGCGTCTCGTACCTCATCAGCAGCAGCTTTCTGTGCCTCGAGCTCTTTCTGCTTAGCTGCTTTCTCAGCAGCCTTTTTAGCCTTCTCTGCGTCTTTGGCGCGCTTTTTTAGCTCGTTCTTAGACGGGCCCTGCTCAGCAGCCGCAGAGCCCTCAGTGGGGACGCCGGAGACACTAAAGATGCGAGGCATCTAAGTGAGAGGACGAAAGCTAGACACTTGTACATGATATTTACGCCTCGGGTGCATTGTCGGCGATTTTGATCTCCTGGGTGCCAGCCATGGCGAGCGGGAGGGAGTCAAGGGTATAGTGTACGAGTCTGACTCGCAGGGACTTTGTATCGGCTTTGAATCAAGCCTGTCCTTGAAATCGGATTGCAGATCTCCAGCCCTAACCTGACTATCCCTAACCCTAACCCACTCAAATCCCCGCTCTGTCTCAACTAGCATCAGCCCGCGGAACGGCTCGGCGGGACTCGCCCGGTCTATTGCCTCGGTCTACCGCCTGGCAGCATATAAAAACGTCTCTTCATCGTGTTCGCTCGATTCTTGACAACCTCATTCAGAAAATGCAGGCCATTTCTCGCCCCCTCACTCGTTCAGCTCCTCTGAGTCTGCGTCGCGCCGCAGCTCTGTCTACGTGGTCCGCTGTTCCAGCAGGTCCCCCGGATCCTATTCTCGGTGCGTGTCATTTCGCTTGCTGCGTTTGGGAACGTCGGCGAAGTGGAAGCTAGGATCCCCGCTGCCCATTCAAGGCCGTTGAGGCCGCGATCCGGCCAGGCTTCAAGGCACCACCTTGCCTAACTTCTTTCTCACAATACACACGGTCTCCCACTAATTTGCGCATTCTTAGGTGTGACTGAGGCCTTCAAGGCCGACAAGGACTCCCGCAAAATCAATCTCGGCGTCGGTGCCTACCGCGATGAGAATGGCAAACCCTATGTCCTCAACTCTGTGAAGAAGGCCGAGCAGATCATCGAGTCCGGTCAGCCGGACAAGGAATACCTCCCCATTACTGGTCTTGCGGAGTTCACCAAAGCAGCCGTTAAGCTGGCCTACGGTGGGGACAGTGCTCCTCTGGCAGGCAACTCTGTGCGTGGTCTTCATGCCATTGGTTACTCCTTCCTCACTTCTGTTCGCAGGTTGCTGTCACGCAAGCTATCTCTGGTACGGGTGCACTCCGCATTGGTGGCGCGTTCCTTGGCCGCTTTTATCCCCACGCAAAGACTATCTATATCCCTTCCCCGTCATGGGGCAACCACACTCCCATATTCCGCGACTCTGGTCTCGAGGTCAAGCAGTATCGCTATTTCGATAAGAAGACGGTCGGCCTCGACCTCGCTGGTCTAAAGGAGGACCTGAAAGTGCGTCATGTGGTCTACCAGTGGGTGGGGGTTATACTGATGATCGTATTCTTAGAATATGCCCGAGAAGTCTATCGTCCTTTTCCACGCTTGCGCACACAACCCGACCGGCATTGACCCCACCCCCGAGCAGTGGAAGGAAATCTCCGAAGTTGTCAAAGAGAAGCAGCTTTTCCCCTTCTTTGACATGGCCTACCAAGGCTTCTCTTCTGGCGACTTCAGCCGTGATGCCTTCGCTGTCCGGCACTTCGTGGCTCAGGGTCACCAAGTCGTCGTTTCTCAGTCTTTCGCGAAGAACATGGGTCTTTACGGCGAGCGTGTCGGTGCCTTTTCCATTGTTGCCGCCGATCCCGAAGAGAAGGCTCGCGTCGAGTCTCAACTGAAGATCATCGTCCGTCCTATGTACTCCAACCCGCCTCTCCACGGCGCTCGCATCGCGGCCACCATCCTGAACAACCAGAAGCTCTACCAGGAGTGGGAGGGTGAAGTCAAGCACATGGCGAACCGCATTATTAGCATGCGCGATCGTCTCTACAACAATCTTGTTGCGCTTGGCACTCCCAGCGAATGGGGTCACATCAAGAGCCAAATCGGCATGTTCAGGTGAGTAATCTGCTAGTGCGTTCGCAACATGCTCCGCTCATGCCATATCTAGCTACACTGGTCTGAGCCAACCTCAAACCAAAGCTCTGGCTGAGAAGGCGCATATTTACTTGACTGCTGACGGCCGCATCTCCATGGCTGGTCTCAACGGACATAACATCGACTACTTCTCGGAGTGCGTTAGCAAGGTCGTCAAGGGCACACTCTAGACTATCTCGGACTCTAAGGGTTTCTGGGGCTTAGATGTACTAGATGGGCTTAGAGTCACGGTCGACAACTCCTGCGATCTTCAGTCATAGACAGCGGTCACGATATTCAGCCGTGCAGTTTCTATTGTTCTTGCAAATATTGCGATCGTTTGATCACGACGACTATCCTTGCCTTGCCATCGCGCTTATCGAAGGCGCCTCAGAAAGGAAACTGACATACTTTGAAGGCACGCTAATCGAAGCCATCCGCCGAGGGACTCGACGATGCTGACGTTGTGTCTTTTCCTTGGACCACCACCATGTCGTTTGCGAGTTCGCCCCTGCGCTGGCGACGCCCCGGACGCAAGTCGTCTACGCCGTTCTTCCCTGGTGCTTGGCCGGACGGCTCGAGCCAAGATATGACACTCATGCAAGAGCCGTCTACCCACTTTAATCGCAGAACCCCGAACCAAGATCGTCTTGAAGAGCAAACACTCTCAAATCTTGACTACGTTGCGGATTTTCACCGCCGTATCTCCGAATCTTTGAACTCACGCCCGTCCATCTCGCAGCCGACACTAGTGACGCCTAGCATGTCGGCAAGCTCATATATCTCCTCTTTTACAGAAGGAGCCGTGCGTTACACCTTGTCGAATTGCGCTTCCCTTGCTCTTACTGACAACATACTGCCAGTCTAACTCCGCATCCCCCACCCTAGCTACGCCGGAAACGCTTTCTCCTGTCGAGTCGCTATCTCCAGTCTCTAAGCAATGTCCTTCATCTTGGCGCAATTCGGTCTCCCATCCTCTGTCCACATCCTGTGGCCACATCGGTCCGCTTCTTAGAGAAAACTCGTATCTTGTCGAAGATGTACGCGCCACATCAAATACCGGATCCGCTTCTATTTCGCCTCCGCTGCGCTTGCCTCTGTCTTTGCCGACGCACACACTTGCGTTTTCACCTGACTCGGCGGCGTCATACTTTAGCACCTTCGAACATGTACCTCGCACCGGGTCCCATGAGCTGGCTCGAAAACAAATTTCTACTGCATCAACTGTGCCGAGCGTGGTCTCTCCTGCGTTGTCCGAACTTCCACCTATCCCTGTGTCAACAGACTTCGCCCAAAGCTTCTTTCCTATTCTTGATTGCAGCCCTCAAGATGTGCATGACTCGTCCACCTTCGAATCGTCTACCCATGGCGTCGATGCAGACTCTCCTGTCCTTCCCTCTGACGAGGATCATGGTCCTGAATTGAGCCTCCGTCCTCGAACATCGAGGAGACATGGCATAACCCAGGAACTTGCTCCGAGCGCTGTGGACATGGACGCCTTTGCTATCTCCGCCGACAACGTTCCCGACACAAACTCGGTACGCTCGATTCCGACATCTTTTGTCTCAGACCTCGCCGCGGGCTCTGTCGTCGACCATGAGGCCTTTCTCTCTGTTGCCACAGCCAGAGGTCGCACATATAGGCAGTCGTCTTCCTCTCTGAACATATCTACAAACACGCTCAGCCTTGGGTACGACCACGAGGGCGTCTACGGCCTGAGAGGTGATTTGGGATCCAGGCAGTCTCGAGGCGACATGCAATCACCGACTCGAACGACGTCTTGCGGTAAGCCTGTATCAACTGTCGTCGCGGGTGGGACAGCCAAGAGCAACCAAGCCGTCAAGGCGAATTCTTTGCAAAGCTCAAGGTGTTTGGTGAGAAGATCAAGAAAGCCTTTGGTGTGCGAACTAGACAAGCAGGCTCTGGTATTGGCATAACGACCACGACAGCTATTACCGCTGTCGAGTACAAGTCGGTATGGATCGATTTACCTTCAATATACCACATAACTCGAGGTTCAAATTGAGCGTCAGGAACATCCCATTCCCTCGCCGAAGCATAAGAGCAAAAGCAGGGACAAGCTGCTACAGAATCAACGTCGCAAGTCCATGCCGGCCCATGCCAGAGAGCACCAAGTGTCCCATCCCCAGCCTTTGCGACCCACCTCGTTCCTAGCGATGGATCCCAGGCCCTCTTTTGGGCAGCCATTCTCCGGGAACGACAATGTGCAGTCCGGAACAGTTCCTTGGTTTTCTAGAGGGCCGCAATCCAGACAGCCCTCTGGACTACAGGTGCTTCCGTCTCCAAACGCTCAGCTGTCCGGTGCATCAAGCGAACCCCCGTCGGCAGGACCTCACCGCACTCGTAGTAGTTCGTCTCCCGCTATGGCTGGACCGAACGCATGTACCAAGTCTGATAGGCTCTTTTCATCGGAGAGCAAGTACCGTCTCGAGATGTTGAAGAATACGATACTTCCTCGTCCGACCATCCCGACCATCCCGACCGATCGACCCCTGTATCAGGCCACTGTCGAGCGTGAATATGAGGCACTCACTACTGGGGCTCCTCCTGAGGAAGAGGATTTCGAGGTTATCAACGGCAGCACGAGTGACCTTTGTCCCCCTTCCCTCGGCGACAGTATGCGCAAAGGTAGCGCCACCTCGGCGTTCCACTCATCCAGAGACTTGAGTGACGCAGCCAGAAGGAAGGACAGCAACCTCCAGAACCCTGCGAAGCGACGACGCCGAGGGTTCTCCTTTACCAAGCGAGCGTCCAAAGCGCTTGGTTCTCCGGTTCCTCCGGTCCCTAGCTTACCACACGACCTGCTTGGAAATAGCGCTCGCCCAGGGAAGACACTGAGTACACTACTCAAAGGCCTGACCCCCCAGAAGAAGGCCGAGTACTTGCGACGCTGGCAACAGCAGCAGAGTGTCGGGTCGCCCGTAGGATGCGCAGAATACGATCCAGATGCTGCCTTGGACACCATAAGTTTCGCGCACGTTCCCGACTCTACCAGATCGACAACGACAACCACGGATGATTTGGTCTCCTCCGACTCTGTTGACACGCCTCTACACGCTATCCACATGGATATTCTCAACGGAGACGCTACTCTTGGTAGCTCTATCGGAGCCATGTCGGAGGATGAGACCGGCAGCGCCGGACACGATCTGGAAGACCGCGAGGAAAGGGGATTCCTGAGAGCGCTAGGGCTAGAGTTCGATATTGCAAGGGCTGTTGAGGAGTGTTAGGACGATTCGACATCTACAACTCCCGCGGTCGGACGAAGTCCATCTCGCAGTTTGGACGCGGCGCGCTTTAGCACATTACATCTGGGACTATCATGTGGCTTCTGGACTGGTCATGTAACTACTTCGACTGTATAGACTGGGCTCGAGCTCGTCGCAATATGGTAAAGTAAAGTAACAATCCTCGATCCCATGCGGGCGGTGTCGGCGTGTCGGGGAAGTCACGTGACAGATGAAAGCTATCTGATAAGCGGCGGGAGAGAAATGTGACGCACTCCGGCAAACGTCCTGCCGCTTGACTCCCTCGGGCGGAATCTGTCCTCTGTCCTCCTCCCTCCTCCTCCCTCCTTCTCTACACTGCCGCCTACGGACTCGGGTACCTGCTAACCTACGGCACAGAGCGACTCTTCCTTGTAAGCGTCCTTGACGAATCACTCTCCATGGAGCCCCAACATGCAAAGCTCGTCGCGGCTGCGACGGGCTCAACTGTAACGGCTCTCACGAGTGAGTAATTATCAGATATGCTCGAGATACTAGTCTAACTATGCCCCAAAGTGACCCCCTTTGATGTCGTAAAAACGCGTTTGCAGACCCAGCCGGCACGACCTCAACCTCTGTTCCCCCGACCACCTCCAAATGTGTGCTGTCAGCCTGCGAACACTCCGTGCATACGGAGAATGTCAACGGTATCTATGCGTGCCTTCGAGGGAGAGGTCGTTTGTGTTTGGGACCATGGCATGTTTCGGACAGAACGTGTGAACGGATTCTTTGACGCATTCCGGCATGTCTGGCGCGCAGAGGGCATTCCGGGTTTGTGGAAAGGTGCTGGAACGACTCTGTGAGTCTTGCATATTCTCCGCGCGGACAAAATAGCATCTCATTCTTGATTGTTATAATTTTGTTCTTTAAACAGGATGATTGGTGTCCCGTCCTCAACGTGCTATATGCTCACATACGACCATCTGCTGAACGTCACGCTGCCGCCCCTCCTGCCATCAGCTGTCGTCCCACTTACTGCCGGTATCGCTGCACGGACGTTAATCACCACGGTCGTCTCACCCCTTGAGCTCATCCGCACCAACCTCCAGAGCACCCCAATCTCACCAGACACACCACATACGCTCCGCTCTACCCTCGCCTCGATAGGCGCACTTGTGCGGCAGCATGGGAATTTGCATCTTTGGCGAGGTTTGGGAGCGACGCTATGGCGCGACGTCCCATTCAGCGGTCTGTACTGGGCAGGGTACGAGCTATGCAAACGGACACTCAACAGCGCGGGTTACGAAGGTGCCAGTGTCGCCTTCGTAAGCGGGGCCTTAAGTGGAACGACCGCTGCTCTGACGACCTCGCCGTTTGACGTGCTGAAGACCCGCCGACAAGCGCTCGTCATGTCCGGAGAAGCAGGAGTGACAAAAGCTGTAGGGATGATCTCCGTCCTGAAGGAGATTGTTCGGACGGAAGGCATTTCTGCTCTCTACGCGGGAATTATGCCTCGAATAGCAAAGATTGCTCCTGCCTGCGGTGTCATGATTGCTTGCTTCGAGGTACGTTACAATTGCAGGCGCTGTGTAGACTCGTTTCACTTAAGTCTTGTATTCTTCAGGGCATTGGAAAGAGGCTAATGCAAAAGGACGACGAGCGGGTATGACGCTCATAGACGGCCTCCACCTCAGCTTTCGGCGGTGTTGGTAATTTATCATAGCCCTTCGTAATTTGCATCACTACTATCCATCATATCTCACATCATGTACGTAGAGTAGTTCGCAGCTTTGTTGACTGATCAATAACCCTAGCGAGGTGAACATCCCCGTGCCGTTGCGTGTGCGTTCGCCCGAAACGCCGAGAATGAATTTAGTTTTACGTGAAGGTGTGTTGTCACAGGAACCCCGGACGACGGTTCTCGATCCCTCGTTGTTCTGAAACACCTCAAGTGGGCACGCACTGGGAGTAATCTGCCGAAGAGGTCAGCAAAAGGCGGTAAGCGTAGGGAGTTCTGATACTCACAAGGGTTCGTACTGGTGCAAGTGTATCCGGCTGTTGTGCACACGAAATTCGTAAATATCCATGGTGGGAAAAATGAGACGAGGTGCTCACCGACACATGCAGTGGGCCCGGTCCATCCCTGGCCTCCGCACTGACCGTAAGCAGTCTGCAGGGCGCCAGTGGATGACGGTGTCGAAGATGTACTGGAGGCGCTGCTAGAGTGAGAGCTAGAGCTTGCACTTGTGGAGGTCGTATGTGAGGCGGAGGACGATACAGTAGACGAATGTGCACTCGAAGATGCAGACGTGCTGCGAGTGGAGGTCGATGAGGCGGTGGACGACGACGCAGCGCCCGCAGTATCGCCGTAGAAGATGCCGCGACCGTTAGTTCCGACATAGGCACTATGATCCACGTCAGCATAGATGGATCTCAGCGGGTAGCGACAACCTACCGCCCGTAGATGCGCGGATCGCCGGCGATAACATTGGCACTGGCCGAGCCGAATCCGTGTGCGGCGTCGTTGATCTGCACCCAGTTGGTGCCTGCGTCGTCAGACCTGAAGTAGCCGACGACACCGGAAATATCTGCGATAGCGAACAGGGCGGGATAGCCTCCTGTGCTCGCTGGGGCACCGAAAGAGATGGACCAAGCCTGCGCATACAATCAGCCCGCTGGGGCACCAGTTTATCAGGACATGCGCACCTGGGAGACTCCGGAGACGGCGGAAAATGAAGTACCGTTATTTATCGAGTGGAAGAGACCCGTGTCTGTCGACACCCAGACATCACCGGTAACTCCGGGGTTCGCAATAACAGTGGAAGTAGAGCTCGAAGTACCGAGAGTTGCTTGTTTGGTGAACGTCTTGCCACCGTCTGTTGAGAGGTAAAACTGATTGCCTGAGCCGGCGTAGAAGATCGAGTCGATCTTCTTGTCAGATGCAATGGCCGCACCGGCTGGGAGGGAAGAGACAACGCTGAAGGCATTGGTGTACTGAGAGACTTGGACACCGTTGGCCGACGAGCTCCAGAGGACGGTGTCACCACTTGCAGAGATCGCGACCTTACCGCCCGACACACCCGATGGGGAACCATAATCGAGAGCCCTTGCATACAAGGGTTAGCACGTACTACGTATTGAAGCAGCACCAGGTGAACTCACCAGGTATTTCCAGCATCGTTGCTGATAGCAGCCTGCGGTCCATCCGTACTAATGCGAATTGGTACGTATAGTTAAAACGTGATAATAAAACGTACGAGTCGCCGTTGCCAACTCGCACAACGGTTTGGGGATCGTTTCCGGCATAATCCAGACCGGTGACGCCAGTACCAGTAGCAGGAGCAAACTCTGCAGAAGGCGCCTGGTCCAGGTTGGTGTGGGCGAAACCTATCACGACGAGTCCATAATTACTGCGGACAAGAACAGTGGTTTACGCACCCTCTTCATCCAAGACGCCACTGAGTAATGTCGGACCAGTCGGTGGAGAGAGAAGGGCCTGTGCAGACGTTTCTTCGATACCGTCTGCGAGCGATTCGAGGGTAACATTGCGAACGGTGTCCCACTTGAGCAGGTCATGACCGCCATAGATGGTGGCACCGGTGCCGTACAGCCAATGGTTCGAGTCGAAGGGGTCGATAGCGAGGGCTTCCATCATCCAACCGATCTGAGTGACGATGCTGTCGGCTGTGCCGTCTGGACCCAACCAGGGGGCCAGTGAGTCGTCGTACGTGTAGTACCTGTTCATGGTTGGATACGAGGCCCAATCCCAGAGACTTGTCCAGGTGTTACCGCCGTCTGTGCTACGGAAGACCTGGCCGTCGGGCCACCAACAGTTAAGTGCCGCGACCATGACAGTACCGGGATTCTGCAGATCAACTGCAAGACCTCTGTATAAGAATCAGCACATTTGTCGATTTTGGCCATGCGAGGTCGTACCCAAATCCGAAATAAAGGTTGCCTGTATGAGAATCAACTAAGTGTTCTGGCTCAAGAGACATGGTCATCTACTTACTTCCAGAGACAGGTGTGATGTTCTCCATTGTTCCAGAAGTGATGTTGTACTTGTATACGGCTCCCTATAGGACCGGTTAGTACGATTTTGCAAAGACTAGAGCGTGTTTCATACGAGAGTTCCGTCATATGGTCCAGCACCGTCGGAAGTGGAGATGTAAAGCGCCTTCTCCGCGGGGGAGAGAACGCCCTTATGAGCCATCCAAGACGAGTTTGTGCCCGGGAGGGCAGACCCTACGAAATCATGTCAGCGTATATGGCAGGTTAGAGAGAAGCATCACAAACATGTGGACCCTGCGTCGTTGGACATGAAGAGATTGCTCGAAGTGTTCGTGGCAACTCCTACGAAGATACGAGGAGTAGCATTTCCAGAGGATCCGGACGTAGAGTCGAAAGTGACAAAGGAAACGCCGATCTTGTCGCTGTTGTATCCGCTTGTATCCGTGGGATCGGGTACGTATGTACCTGGAATGCACATTAGTTAAAAGCACCCATCGTAGCGTCCTCAGTATTACCCACCAACATCAGGAAGACTCGAGACTTTAGCCCAACTCTGCCCGTAATCGGTACTTTTCCATAGTCCGTTCCCACTGCGAGCGCCGAAGAACAGAACATTATTGCTGTTGGGGTCAACTGCAAGTCGCTACAAAATATACTGAGATATTTGCATCACAGTTAGTACATCAAAAGTACCTCGCCCATGCCACGTCCGGGCATGTTGCCTCCCACCTTGAAGGGCAAAGGAGATGGTGTGAAAGTCTGGCCTTGGTCGGTCGATATCAGAACCTGGCCGTTGTTCGGGTCCCAGGAGTTGGTGTACATTCCCGTCGCCTAAATACACCATTCAGTAGACGGCATAGGCTGGAGGTGTGCCATGTCATACCAGGTACAGGCGGTCTGGGTCTACCGGGTCGGTCGCAAGCGCGTCTACGCCCCAGTAGTTCCACCTTGCGTTGTCGACAAAGTCGAGGAGGGGCGTCCACGTATCGTCCGAGTTGAGCTTGTAGGCGCCACCAATATCGGTACGAGCATATGCGAGGCCTTGCTGGGAGGGATTGAAGACAATGCTGGGAACGAAGCCTCCACCGCCCCCAATCTTGACATTCTTCCACGTGTAAGCCTGTGAGCTCACGGCATGGGCAAAGGGAACGGAGGACGCTGCTAGAGCCGAGAAGGCAGTCAGCCAACGCATATTGGAAGGCTTGCTGTGGGACGCACTGTAGAGCGAGGGGACGGTATATATCTGGCCGTCGCAGACGCGTCCCTACGAGCCACGACAGACCATCTGCACAACATGACCACAGACATGCGCTGCAATCCCGACTATTGTGCGTCCGAAGATCATGCGCGATAAGCACAGGACGATGAGATGCTTGAACGCGTGCAACGGCGAGCAAGCTACTCCTAAGCGTGCGCGATGTAATAACACCGAAGATTTTGGCGGACATACGTGCACCGAAGCTGAACCGCGCGCATGACCGATCGGACCGCCAGGTACTTTCCGCTACATCTGATGAGGGTCAGGAGTAGCTTGTACAGTACTACGTTAAACGCCCATGCAGGACCTGAGGCTTGAGGCGTTGAGCATGCGGGATGCTTCCATGCGAGATGCTTCCATGCGAGATATGGGTCACGAAGTTGAAGCTTCGCTTTGGGTACGATAAGTGTTGAGGGCAGTATTCTCATGCACCGTTTGATACCTAAAATGGAGAGTCCTGAACAGTAATAATCGCTGAGAATGTTTACTGACGATGTCACGATCAAGATGCAAGATGACTGGGACGATAGGCGAAGATATTGAATAGTCAGAAACGGGACTATCGGCTAGCATTTCGAACTTTCTTCGAGCACCATGAAGGGCCACTAGCCGGCTGCAGAGAAAAGGTACGCTGCGTCGAGGCTTATAGGATCGCGTCAGTTGACGATGCAAGTCAAGACATTTGGGCAGAATATGCCGGATATCGAGCCGTTGGTGACCGACTTTCTAAATTATGCGACACATCGATGTCACAGGCAGCATATGGTCACGGTGTGCACCTCTTCAATATTGCAATGGCAAAGAACCTCAGATCAGGGTTTAATGAACTTTTCTCTCCCGAGCTAAAATTGTGCGATTCGCAGACTTAGAGAGCACAAGGACGAACCCACTGACCTAGTGCGAGTCATCGCACTTCGGAACACTGAAGGGACAATATGCATAGTAGTCCCGGGGAAATGTGGTCAATTTCAAACAAACGTAGAGAGATGTCATGGATGCTGACCTGCTACATGCCGGAAGGCTTAGCTTGAAAGAGTCAAAATAGCGGATGTCCGGACGTCTGGCAAGCTCACGGACGGTAGTCGGTGGATGGAGTATAGGTGACAGCGTCATTCGCCACACATGTTACTCTGCCCGCGGGTTGCATGGGGCAAAGCGAGCCATTGTGGTGATGGTACGCAAGGGAGGCCAAGCTGGCCCCGCGGACGTTACCGGGACGCCACAAAGTATTAGGCTACTGAAAAGGGCGGTTAACTTACGTAAGCCCGAGCGAGGTTACATAGAGTATACGCCGGGGTGCCACTTGGCCCTGGTCACCTCGCTGGTGACCCCTGTCGCCAGCGACCGAGGTCACCACCTGCGTACACGGCCCGTTGCTAGGGGTCGCGCCCGAAGCGGTAGCCCGCCCGGGTGACCACCGGAGTTGTCCGAGCCCGCGCGATCGCGATCGGCACCCGCCCACCTTGCGCGCCCGAAGCGTCGGTCGACGTGCGCTCGCTCCCGGGACTGCCGCGGCCACCGATGCCGACCCTAAACGAGTCAAACTTGTGTAAATAGTCGAAATAACTCATTTTAGTTTTTATGTAGCCGCTATCTTGTCTGGGCTGTCTGATTTTGTCTGATTATGCCCAATTTCGTGAATTTACTTGCCTTGCGGCGCCTCGATCACCTGCGGCGCGCGCGCGCATCACTGAGCAAGCGCACTACGGCGCTGTGCACGCATCATGGGCTGACCGCAGGTCGGGCTCGGCGAGGGCAGGCCCAAACGAGATTAATTACTTAATTAGGAAGCTACAGGTACACGGTATACCGACGGTGTACGGCACAGGGGCTGAAGTCACCGGCGGGATGTGCGGGCAGGTGACCAGCGCCTGTCGGGCAGGTTACCCTGGTG